TGTCCAGTTCTGGGCACCACAGTTCAAAAAGGACATTGACAAACTGGAACGTGTCCAGAGGAGGGCAACCAAAATGGTCAAAGGCCTGGAAACGATGCCTTATGAGGAACGGCTAAGAGAGCTGGGCATGTTTAGCCTGGAGAAGAGGAGGTTAAGGGGTGATATGATAGCCATGTTCAAATATATAAAAGGATGTCACATAGAGGAGGGAGAAAGGTTGTTTTCTGCTGCTCCAGAGAAGCGGACACGGAGCAATGGATCCAAACTACAAGAAAGAAGATTCCACCTAAACATTAGGAAGAACTTCCTGACAGTAAGAGCTGTTCGACAGTGGAATTTGCTGCCAAGGAGTGTGGTGGAGTCTCCTTCTTTGGAGGTCTTTAAGCAGAGGCTTGACAACCATATGTCAGGAGTGCTCTGATGGTGTTTCCTGCTTGGCAGGGGGTTGGACTCGATGGCCCTTGTGGTCTCTTCCAACTCTATGATTCTATGACAGGTACAGGAACTCAGGCAGGATCTAGCATACAGCAATGTTGCTCCCACAATCTGGGGCAGGGTCCAACAGCCTTTTATCTTTGTCGGGGTAATGGCCGGTCCTGATCCCCCAGCGACTCACCTCCCTGTTTCGCCCGAAGGCGAGCACTCCTGCAAGTACTCAGGTCTCTCCTTCTCTCATACCTTAGTCTTTGCAGCTTGGGAGACGTCGGTGGGTTACTAGACCCAGGGGCCGCCTCAGCCTCCCCTAACCAAACCGGTAATGGAGCAGCTGTATGTGATGGCCCAGCTGAAGACAACGAGGTAATATGGGCAGGCTCAGGCCCCTGACTTGGCCCAGCTGGTGTTTGTTGCAGGGCAACCTGTGCAGACTGGGACTCTTCAGGATCAGGCCCCAGACTTGGTTCAGATGATGCCTGAGACAAAGGATCTGGTGCAGACTGAGACTCCTCTGGTTCCGAGTCCAAGCCCGAGTCCCAGGCCATCACAACTGGTGTACTAGAAAAAGAAGTGACGGGCTTGGCAAAGTCCGTGTTAACTGAAATAATGGCATATTTGCATAGAATTGTAAGTTGGAAACAACCCTGAGGGTCATCTAGTCCAACCCCTGTAATGCAGGAATTTCAGATGGCTATCCAACCTCTGCTTTAAAAACTCAGAGGGAGAGTCCATCACCTTTCCACAGCCAAACAGCTCTTACCCTCAGAAAGTTCTTCCTGATGTTGAGTCAGAATCTCCTTTCTTGTAACTTTGAAGCCATTGGTTCGGGTAAGAGCAGGAGAAAACAAGCTTGCTCCATCTTCCCTGCATCTGCTTTTAGACTAAAAGCCTAATGGGGCAGAGAAACTTGTCAAACTTGTCAAACACCAAGTACATATTAAAGTACGTAAAAGAGGTACGTGTCCACTGTTCTTTGGACTATGATCCCATATATTAAGCCCGCTGTGTTACAAAGAGCCAGTGTGGTGTAGTGGTTAGAGTGTTGGACTAAGACCTGGGAGACCAGGGTTCAAATCCCCACTGGGCCATGAAGCCCACTGAGTAATCTTGGGCCAGTTGCCGCCTCTCAGCCGAAATTACCTCACAGGGTGGCTGCTGGGGATTAAATGATATGGGGGACAACCATGCAGGAGTGCCAGCTTGGCCTCACGACCATGGGTGCCTGAGGCTGTGGGTGCCATGCAGCGGGCATGGCCCTGGCACTGAAATTTGTGGGTGCCCGGCCCCTTCATGGGGAATTTTGTGGGTGCTTGGGCACCCAGGGCCCCAGGTGCAAATAATCAAAGCTTATTTGGACAGTCTGGGGCTTCTTTCAATTCTGTAATACAGTGGTACCTCGGTTTAAGAACAGCCCTGTTTACAAACTATTCTGTTTGTAAAACCGGAAGTAGTGTCCTGGTTTGCAAACTTGACCTTGTTTTAAGAACGGAATCCGAACAGTGGAAGGGCACCGGTGGCGGTAGACCTCATTAGGGAAAGCGCGCTGGTTTAAGAATGGTTTCGGTTTAAGAACAGACATCCGGAATGGATTAAGTTCGTAAACCGAGGTACCATTGTACAAGGTTTTCCCCTTGCTAGACTTTGCCCCAGCCAGTAAATACAGACTGTCTCTTTACATAGAAGACAAAAGCCATTGTTGGCAGTTTGGAATTGGGCATGCTAGAAATTGATTCACAAAGAAATTGAAGCCCCACCCCCAGTCAGTTATAATCAGAACAAACTTAGAAACACCCACAGATTGAGCATATTTCAGTGAACTCTTAACCGAGAACTCCCACATGAGTTATCAAGGATGCAATGTCTAGACATATTTTTTGGCGGGGGGTGGAATTGTTCCATTTTGGATAAAAGCCTAGCTTGCTGCAGGCCCAGCTCATAAAAGCCTATGGATGCAGATCATCTTTCAGAAAATAAGTTGTTATGCTACACACACTTTGCACTTTGGTGATGTCTCAGTATTTGATTTATTCCAGAGTAGTATAGATTTGATACTGGGAGAATATGTGGGTCAGGAAAGGAAATGATAATCATAATCAACAACAAAAGAGAAACAAAACCACACAACGTATTTATATTTTTTTAAAAAGCTTTTTAGGGGTATATTTTCACCATTTGGAAATGACATCCACCAGCTAGACTGCTGACTGGGAGTGGCTGCCAAAACCATAGAACACCGGTCCTGAAAGACCTACATTGGCTCCCAGTACGTTTCCAAGCACAATTCAAAGTGTTGGTGTTGACCTTTAAAGCCCTAAACAGCCTCGGCCCAGTATACCTGAAGGAGAGTCTCCACCCCTTACCACCTGTTTTTCTATCTTGGACTGCTGTTTCCTCCTCGCATGGTTTATTCTGTTATCACCAAGTCGAGCCCACACCTGCAGAGGGCAGGTACAGTAGGAGAAAATAGCAAGATACCCTCTTGTGGTACTGATTGAAAACAGCATAAAGAAACCAGAGGGCTATTTACAGGATGAGGATGAGGTTCTGAAATATATATATTCTAATACAGGCATGTCCAAAGTCCATTTGGGGGCCTAATCTCGCCGGTCGGTTTAATCTGGCCCCTGTGGCAATTTATTTCCTGGGGTAAAATCCTATAAAAAGCTCAAGAACTTCAATCCTAAAAAATGCTCAGCAACTTGGGGGTAAAATTGTAAAAAAAGCTCAACAAATTTAATCCTAAAGAAAGGCCAACAACTGTGGTCGGCCCTTCAGTTGGCCCTCACACATGTTCACTTCATCAAATCTGTCCCTCTTTGAAAAAAGTTTGGGCACCCCTGTCCTAATATATACATTTTTGCAAGCTATTTCCCCTAACAGAATGCTGGTTTGCAATCTGGATCCAGACCTGATCTGGAAATCTGAATATTGTACACACAAGAATTGGGAAGCCAAAACAGCTGTAACTTTGTTTTTTTCACCCACGTGTATGACATTTGGAAACATGGTAACCTCTCAAGAAGGGATTAGCCTTGACAACTTTCAGATAGCTCCAGGGATTGTTGTGCTAGCCACTTTTAAAGTTTGGTTTAAAGTACAGAGGGGGTGGAGGTGGGGAAAGAGAGAAAAGTAGGAGGGAGATGCAAAGGCAGAGAGGGAGAGAGAGAAAGAAAGAGAGCTGCACTATTTGGTTCATGAACCTGAGGTTCCCCACAACCGTAACTGCTCTTGGTAAACAGAGTCATTACTTACCTTTGGTGCGCATGTGTGTTCCCTTTTAAATACAGTGGTACCTCGCAAGACGAATGCCTCGCAAGACAAAAAACTCGCTAGACGAAAGGGTTTTTTGTTTTTTGAGCTGCTTCGCAAGACGATTTTCCCTATGGGCTCGTCTTGCAAGTTTGTTTCCTTTTTCTTAACACCATTAATACAGTTGCGACTTGACTTCGAGGAGCAACTCATAGAACGCGGTGTGATAGCCTTTTTTGAGGTTTTTACAGACTTTGGTGATTTTTGAAGCTTTTCCAAAACTTTCCCGACACCGTGCTTCGCAAGACGAAAAAAATCGCAAGACGACAAAACTCGCGGAACGAATTAATTTCGTCTTGCGAGGCACCACTGTATTTACTTTGAGCTCCCCCTCCCTACCGTATTTCAAAATCTAAAATGTCTAAAATGTCAGGATACATCTTAATTGCACAGTAAGGTAAAGGTAAAGGGACCCCTGACCATTAGGTCCAGTCGTGACCGATTCTGGGGTTGTGGCACTCATCTCGCTTTATTGGCCGAGGGAGCCGGCGTTTGTCCACAGACAGCTTCCGGGTCATGTGGCCAGCATGGCGAACCAGAGCAGCGCACGGAAATGTGGTTTACCTTCCCACCTATTTATCTACTCGCACTTTGACGTGCTTTCGAACTGCTAAGTTGGCAGGAGCAAGGACCGAGCAACGGGAGCTTACCCCGTTGTGGGGATTCGAACCGCCGGCCTTATGATTGGCAAGTCCTAGGCTCTGTGGTTTAACCCACAGCGCCACCCGCGTCCTTAATTGCACACATGGACACTAACAGGCCATGCAGTGCACAGCCTGTAATTTCACACCCTGCTGTTGTAGAGGCGTACTTGGAACTTTTGAAAGCATGTTGTTTGGTGACTAGAGATGTTGCTTCTCAGGGTCAGGCTCCAGGGTTTGGGCAGCAGTGCAGAGGGGGGTGGGATGCTCAGCAAGATGCCCCTAGTGAGCTACCCCATTCCACAAGCCTGTCAAATCTTCACTGCTTCAAACAGATCACTGCTGCTACTCACTGCTTGGTGGCTTGAGAAGCTTGTGAGCAGGTGAGCAGTGATGCATGGTGCTAGTGAGTTGCAACTAAATGTTGGGGCCTCAGGCGCTACCTGGGGATATTGGCCCCCAGGGCTGGCCCTGCTTCTTGCATTTCCACTAGTAAGAAGTACAAGGAGTGTAGATAATACTGATGCAGAAAAGTGATGTCAGGTCACTCAAAATATGGCCCAGACCTGGAAAGAGAGACCAGAGAAGCCCATGGAACAAGTCCAAGTCAGAACAGTCATTTTGAATCAATGTGTTTTATTCACATCTTCAGAGCAATGCACAGATGGGGGGGGGGGGAACAGCAAACATTTCAAGGCCTTAAAAAAAAAAGATTTAAAATAGTGAAATAATTCTGAACACTGAAAATCAAAATTCCACCAAGAGCTTCCCTGCTTTTGCATGCATGTCTAATTCAAGTAATAGAGTGTTTCAAAAATAAACTTGCTCATCATCACATGATGGAGAGAATGTCAAAAACTTTAAAGCTTTCTCTGGCATAAATCCCTTACCAAGGCATGGAAGCGGCACGCAAGAAGTCTCACAGCCAAACTCGCTTATCCCCTGGGCTGAATATTTTTCTTCCTCGCTTGTAACGTTTCGGCTACCACTGTCACTGAGCGCTTCTGTGCGGCTTCTGGTATGATTCATTACCCTGAGCTGAAATCTACTACTGTCGGATTACGAGGATGATAGTTTGTGATGGCATGGAAATTTTTTAACTACAATTTCCTGCTGAGAGGGGGAAAGGGTGGTGGTGATGATAAAGGAACAAACCAAGTTTGGTTTTCTAAAACAAAGCTAGAATGGCAGAACATGACACATCAGTTACATAAATATTTAGAATTGAGACCTTCTGTCCTTGCTTTGCTAGCTCATGAAGAGCAATCCTTAAACCGTGTCACTTACAGAGTGACAGGTATCATAGTGAATGCATAGGGATTAATAAAAATCGCTGCTCTTTAAGACAAAGATCCAGTCTGACTGAAATGAAATGAAAACCTTTGAAACAAGCAGCAGCAGCAGCTTTTATCAAAAAGCTCTTTCAGGTCTCCCCACTTCTTCAAATGAGTTTTAAAAGTAGAGACATGCAATCTAAATATACACTTCCAGAGTACTTCCTTGCTGACAAGAAACCACCTTAGCATTTATATAGGATTAATGGCATGTAGAGAATGAAACCTTAATTCAGATGGTTGACAAAAAGAAAAAGATAAAAAGGAGAGGGCACCCTGGCTGATATGAGGACAGTGCCATCACTTCCTATCTCCACTGTGTGGCCACTGGGCTTAAGAATAATGTGGCAACATATTCTCCATGTTGTGTCTCCTGGGAGAAGATTTATTCTATGCTATGCCAGAAGTGCATTGGCAGGACAGCTCCAGCCTAGAGGAATTATAGGCAAGATATGGGTAAATTGAATTCTATACAGAAATGAGAAGAGCAACAACTAAATAACAGATTAAAAAGTCTGATTTTGCAAAACTATGGCTAACAGCAGAGTAGAACAAAATCCTTCTGGTTTATTCTCGCTTGGCTTTTCTATTCCTCTGCTGCTCACCATCCTGTCTTGTGATTTGTTCTTCATAAAAGGGTTCATGTTTTCTCCTACCCTACCTGTCTAAGAGCCCCCCAACAATTCAGTTCCCTTCCTGTTTGGTGAAATTTTATCCCTAGATTCTGGCTGCTGCATTCATCTCTCTTTAAAGATGTTGACACCTTGATATTTGTTTTCTGTATAAGCTCAGTATATACTAGCTTTGGTGTGTGCTGACTGGAAAGCACACTCTTTTGCCAAAGAACCTGGTTTTGGTTTTTGTGCCACGTGGTTGCACTGCTGCAATGACCACAGAAGTGAGACAGGAAGCATTCCTCAACCTAAAGCCCCCTTTTGTTGGATAAATTAGCACTTGGCTCCTGAGCCCTACAAATAGAAACAAACCTTCCTCACATCTATGCAGAGAAGTAACTTGCAGAACCTTGCTGAATCTTCTCAGTCATGGATATCAAGGGCTGTTTTCCTCTTGCATGACAAACACAGGAGTGTTCCATCTGATCACTGGGAGCGGCTAGGCAGTCCTCACATTTTTTCATTAATTGATACTTCCATGCTACATTTCCAATTGCATGAGGGATCCGTGGGAGTGCTCCTGCGCTTAGAAATTACAAGGTGTACACAGTTGCCCTGAGAGTCAGTTCAAGAACAAGAGAAGAAAAAAACCAAGAAGTCTGTTTCCATGTTTCTTGCTCGCCAGTTAGACTGAGTGCTTCCCTCAAAAGTTCTGCTTGCATTTAACCAATATCCTGAACTGTTTTACTGCATGAATGTGCAACTTGCAGTTACAATTTGCATATATGTGGCCTTAGTTTTGCCCTGCTAAAGGTGCCCATTTTTTCTTCTCATCTGCCAGAAGTATACATAGAGAAAACTAAGATGAAAATGTCCTTTGGAAAATATACTCTCTTATAAAATAAGATTATGTATTTTTTAAAAATGCCTCTCTTACCCAGCACCATAAAAGTTATATGGAATATCTCTTTTACAGCAACAGTCATGTGGCATCCTGTCTTCTGTTGTCTCTCTCAAGTATTAATAGAGATTCTCTCTATCACACTCTTTCAATGATAGCTCTTCTACGTAGAAGGCTTAAACTCCTTAGCTTCTTATACAAAAATAGAAAGCTATGAGACATATTGCCTCTGCAGATTTATTAAATACTGTTCAGACTCAGCAGCCTGGATTGTGGACTATTTACAAGTCTTATGTCATCTTGACTTTAGGAAGGTTACAGAGACTCTTAAATAGTTGGGAGATCAAAAGTGGAGAGATGTATGTGAAGTGGATGTAACGGAAAGCTTGACACCATTCTTCACAGAAATGTCACACATTTGCTTATAAGGTAAGTTAAAAGGAGAGAAAGACATACCACCACTGACCAACAGGAAGAGCATCCTTTGCCAGCTCACATTCTTCATGTCAACGATGTAAGACACTAACAACAGAGCAGTATCCTTGCTATGCTATACAGAAGTTCCCTTTTACTCCCTCAAGTTTAAACAGTTATCAACCCTAAAAATGGCTTGACATTAAATAAACAGAAGGCTTGGCTTGCTTTAGATGAGACACTAGTCCAAGAGATTCTATTGTCTGCTAAACACCAGGGCAGCGAATGAGGGGTAACTTTGATGTGCATGCAAGAGAGAGAGAGGAGTTATATGAGAGGGTTCATAAGCTCTTCCACATCTGAAGGGAGGAACATTAGAGCATGTGCCCTTCCCAAGTTATACTGTATTTTGATGGGCCAGGGGTTGAAGAAGTGAGAATGACTGCCTACATTATTGTACAGTGTGGGCTGCTAATTAGGGGACAGCAACAGAAATATGTACTACATGGCCATTACCTGCTGCAGGTGTAAAGGCAATGTCTCCATAGACAAACTGAGCTTACTTTCAGAATCTGCCTTCCCCAGTGAAGATCTGTGTCAAATTGCTCTCTTTTAATATTCTTTTGGCACCTTGCATCCCCCCCCCGCCTATTTTTTCATCTACCCATATGGTCCTGTGCATTTCAGCAAAAGCTCCCAGAGATTGGTCTGCTGCACAGCAAAGCATGCAGATATCATTCTAAAGTCCAAGACTACTACTGAACTGAATGGAGGATGCGAGGCAGCAGTCCTTAGTAGCTTGTACGTTTGGCTCCTTTGTGCTTAAGTGGTCCACACTACATACTCCTGTTTATTAACCCACTGTGCTTTCAAAACAAAAGGCTTCAGAGTGGGGATTCCAGATTCTTTCCAACAATTCTTGCCTCAGAAAGATCACTACAGAGAGGGATGTGCCATCCCTAAACTTTCCTTGCACTGAACCACAGGGAGATGGAAAAATTTAAAACATACTCTAGTAGTTTCGTTATGGCTCTCCAGAGGTTTTCCTACAGTTCAATTAGGGGAGCCCTCCACCCAAGTGATTGACTTATCTTTTGTTGGAACAATCTCCCAATAGCCTTTATTAGACCTATCTTCATTTCATCTCTTAACCTCTGCAATTGCACAGCTTGAAGTGCAGGTATAATAGCTTGATAATCAATGGTATGGAGTCAGACTTCATTCCTGGCACTCCTTACTCCCTGCCAAATCCTGCTAGACCAAAATAATAATTGCCAGTGCTTGAATAGCTGAAAGAGAATAAAAATTCAAAACTAGTTTGGAAAAAAGCACAGATGTTTGATGAGGATTTCAACAGCAGTGCTTTGAAGAATCTGTCTCTTTCCTTGTTCCCTTAAAGCCTATCCCCAAGTTCTGCACACAAAGAAGTCGTCATGGACGTCAGTGATAACTTGGATTCTCTTTTAGGCACTATCAACAGGTTAGTCAGTTTGGCTCCCCACCAATAGCAATACCCGGGATTCCTCTTATAACTGGAGGCATCATCAAGATCTTCACAAAAGATCAATTTAACCATACCCATATTCAATTAGAAAAAAACACACAATTAATAATCTCTTCCTAGAAGGGAAGCCACTAAATCCATTCCAAGTGGCAGAAGGGATTGTACTTCTTTGGGATCCTTTCAGCAGGTTCCAGAGTCTGAAATGCAATTAGACCACTGCCTTTCCAAGGTCCCGACCTGCTCAATATTCAGTAACATGGATCTCTGCTGCTGAGTTGTTCTTTGAAGGCCTTTCCCAGCTCTGATCTCCTGGCTCAGACTGGTCCTGGAGGGGCTGCTTCAGTCTTCTTCCGCAGTCTTGAACATGAGGATGGCATTGTATATTTTAAGTGCTGGCCCCAGCTTGATACTCAGAATTTTAACAATGTCTGACTGGTTCAGGAGAAGGAAGGCTTCACCATCGATCTGCTGGTGGGTGGAAAAATAAAAAGAAAGTCAATATTACAGCTGGGACAATCCAGCTTCCATATGCTTAAAATTAACACAGCATGGGAAGGGCACTAAGAACGGCATTTGATAGGATAATCAATTACACCCTTGGTAAGCTTTTTCCAAGCAGTATCCTTTAGTGTACTTCAGATCTTTTGCAGGTGGCCGCTTTCTGTAAGGGAGGACAGGGTTATAGACTCTAAGCGCCTGAATAGAAATGGCTACTTTAAAAAGTTCTTGTGGTGGGGAAGTGTCCAAGCATCCTTCACACCATAGGTCTCACATTCAATTCCTGGCATCCCCAGTCAAAAGCAGCTGAAGCAGGAGCTGGGGAAGAACTCTATATATCGGAGACCCGAAAGCAGTTGTTAGTCAAAGCAGACAAGATTGGGCTGGATGCACCAATAGGTCCACCCTGTTTAAGGGAGCTTCATACATTGCTTGGTAAGAACAGAACCAATGTCTGAGAAGCTTTTGTACTTTACAGTTCAACAGAGAAATGGTGCTTCATTATATATATGGTATATGCTGAAACAGTCTCAAGGTCCTTCCCTTACTGCAAGGGGCAGTGAACTATTTTCAGCCTGAGGGCTGCACAATGCTTTCTGGGCAACCTTCCAGGGGTGATATACCAGTGGTGGGCAGGCCAGAGGCTAAAGTGGACAGAGCAATGAATATTAAATTTACCTCTGTATAGTAGGCTAGCTTTAAACACACTCCTCTCTCCTCCATCCAGGCAAGCCAGAAGCATGGGAAGAGTCCTTGCATTTGGCCCCCAAGCCCAAGGTTCCCCATCCCTAAATTACTATGCTAACTTTAAGGTGGTTGTACATGGGGTCACCCAAAATTCTCTTTAGAGGTGCCTCACTACACACCCCACTTGGCTGTGTTGCATTGAGGTGACTGGGTGGTATGTCTGTTACTACTCCTAAACAATAACCCCCTTGCTTTCCTGACAGACCATGGTTGGACCTAGCAGGGGAAATAGGAGGGGGAATGGGGGGGTGGGACTTCTATCCGCATTGAAAAGAAACGAAAAGCAGAGTTCACCTCAAGTTCTGCCAGCATTCAGAAATGGAGAGGGCTGCTTTCTAGTGGAAGGGATAAAATCTTCTAATTTTCATGCCCCAGAGCAAGTGGGAGGAACAACCCACATGAGGAAACAATATTTCACAGATGAACAACCCTGTTTCAACCTTAGTACATGTGCTGCTAACGCTCTACATTTGTGATGCTGATTGGTGGTTTCTATGTAGAGTTGATAGGAACGTTATCCATGAGACATACAGCCGTACCTCCTCTTACGTAAACTTCGGGACACGTAAGTGGCAAACCCAGAAGTATATTTCTGGGTTTTTGCCACACGTGCTTGTGCAGAAGCGGTCCCTCCGGTAGCGGAAACCTCGGGGATTCGACCAGAGCTCTGGAACGGATCCCGTCCGCAACCAGAAGTACTACTGTACAGTGGTACCTCGGGTTAAGTACTTAATTTGTTCCGGAGGTCTGTTCTTAACCTGAAACTGTTCTTAACCTGAAGCACCACTTTAGCTAATGGGGCCTCCTGCTGCCGCCGCACCGCCAGAGCCCGATTTCTGTTCTTATCCTGAAGCAAAGTTCTTAACCTGAAGCACTATTTCTGGGTTAGCGGAGTGTGTAACCTGAAGCGTATGTAACCCGAGGTACCACTGTATTATGAATTGTCAGTGGTTGTACAATTGCTTAGGAGTCCAGGGAAATGGTTGCTACTTTTGCTATATTTGTCCTTCTTGTAGTGTTATTTTTAAAAGTCTTCTCTCTCTCTTTTCAAATGCAAACTATGGAATCTTCAATTGTTAAGGCAGAAATGTGATGTGCCTTGTGCATGCAGTTGAGCTTTCTTTTCTTTTGCAAGATCTCAAAAAAGAAGTTTTTGAGCTATTTTTAAGGAAACTCACCAAAATCTACACTTCCGACATGGGTTGCCATACATCAGGATTTTCCTGGACATTTAAATGATTTCTGACCAGATACTGTTTCCGACAGCCAAATCCCGGATGTATGGCAACCCTACTTGTGAAGGAAAGCTTTGCCCTTTTAGGCAGCAGCTATTGAGGAGCCCGTTCATGTATGGACTGTTTTGTTCCTAAATCACTCCTAGTAAGGAATTGCTGGATCCATTTTCTGGCCAGAATAATAGGCTGACCATTGGAGTGTTAAGTTTACATATTTGTTAAATGATGTAGACAAATGCATAATTTTCAAAGCAGCTTTGTTTGCGGTTTCAGTGGCTAAACTTAGAAGGAGCTTTGTAGACAGGAATGTAGTAGACAGTGGGGGTGATAGGAAGAATACCCAAGACCTGTCATTTTTCTTCTCCAGTGTGGTTAGTTTTTATCTGCTGTTACTAAATAATGCATGTTTTGTGTGTTTGATGCTATATTTTGAAGGCTATTGCTTACAACAAAACAAATGACTGGTTTGTAATGTTAGAATCATAGAATTGTAGAGTTGAAAGGGACCATGAGGGTCATCTGGTGCAACTCCCTGGTAGAGTCTCATGCTCTACCAACTGAGCTATATAAGCCCAGCATGTTGCTAATGTGCTGTTGAAGTGTTGCTCAGGAAGCACAGAACAGTGACTAGTCTTCCACCAACAGAAGCACCAGTGTAGTTTAACTACCATCGGGCTGCAGCTTGCCCTGGTGGAATGAGGACAGGTTAGATACCCAAAAGAGAATGATTAGAGAGGTACAACAGAATAACATCTTCAGCAATTCTTTCTTTTAATACACAGACTATGAATAGTTGCATTCAAAGACTGCAAATTTAAAGTTGGCAGTGTGCGATTGGGGTTTAGTTGAGCAGGATCGAGTACGAATACATATTTTAAGTTGCCAGCTCAACTTTCCATCTATATGTGGGAAAGATGGGAAGATGCAAATGATACTGAGGAAATGAAAAAAAAATACCCACTGTAAAGACTTTGAAGAGTAGCAATGAAAATTCTTTATATAAGAGCTTATATAAAACAGTAATATAAAAATAAGTATCCATACAATCATTGCCCAACACACACAGTGAAATTTTACTGCAGCTCAATATGATGAAGGTCAAGAGCTTAATGCCCCTCAAATGATAGCTTATGCTAATTTATTTAAAGAGGATTAAAGCTTTGAACAGATCGATGAAAAAGTTTTGACTTGCATTAAAAGTTGGAAACTAGTAATCAGCTAAATAGGATGCTAATTTAATTGTACAGTACAGCTGGGCATCAAAGGCTTCAGCCCAGGAGTCAGAAAGTTCTCTGTCCACTCTATCCACACTATCCAAGTCACTTAATAGTCCAGCTCCCTGGTTTCTAGAATTGTGGGCACCACAATTTATGAAGGATGTTGACAAGCTGGAACGCGTACAGAGGAGGGCAACCAAGATGATCAAGCGTATGGAAAGGCCGAAGGAGCTGGGTATGTTTAGCCTGGAAAAGAGGAGACTGAGAGGAGATATGATAGCCATGTTTAAATATCTCAAGGGCTACCACATGGAAGTGGGAACTAGTTTGTTTTCTCCTGTTCTGGAGGGTAGGGCTTGAACCAATGGCTTCAAGTTACAAGAAAGGAGATTCCGACTAAACACACAGAAAAACTTTCTGACAATAAGAGTGGTTCGACAGTGAAATGGTCTCCCTCAGGGGGTTGTGGACTCTCCTCCCTTGGAGGTTTTTAAGCAGAGGTTGGATGGCCATCTGTCATGGATGCTTTAGCTGAGATTCCTGCATTGCAGGGGGTTGGACTAGATGACCCCTGGGATCCCTTCCAACTTCACAATTCTATGATTCTATGAAAATGTGTGTGTTCAGAAACAAAGAATGAATGTTTGATCAAGTTCTACTCATATTAAGAAAACACTGCAGAAAACTTTTGGATTCTTTCATTCCTTTCAGTTCTAACTACTACCAAGCTATTCAGTTTCAGAAAGATCTCTTCAGACTGTTGGCCCGCATACAGGCATAATTCTCTGGCTGCAGATCGCTAGCAGCTTTACCCAATCTACTTGGCTACCTTTTTACATAGCTTGCACAATTTGTTCTCACATCAACTATGGCCATTTAGTAAATAAAAATTAAAATAAAAGCACAACAGGCTACCATCTCTAGAATTATGTACCTAAATATGGTGTGTCTGGGCAGCTCAACTGCTGCTAATGGACTATTAAAGCAGATTTCAGCAATTCTGTCACCAACATCTTTTTCTTAGCCAAAGTCTCGCAGAGAGGATATTTCTTCAATTTGGTTTAATTTCAGCCTGATCAGAAACCTGTCCAGTACATGCCAAATGAGCAGTGCTTTTCTTCTAGAAAGAAAGGTGCCAGTACTCACTAACATGCTGTTGGACTCCAACTCCCATTAGTCCCTGCTAGCATAGTTCAGGGATGGTGGGAGGTATAGTCCCCCAGCTTTGGAATGGCATAAAGTTAGCTAGCCCTGCTCTATATCACATCTTCCTCCAATGACTAAGAAAGCAGAATTACATAGAAAGACCAGAATATGCAAATCTACTTAATTTCCACAATACAAAGCATTTATGGAATGAGAATTTTCTCAGAACTTGATGTGGCTTGTGGCTAACTTTGGTGCATTGTTTTGATTTTCTTCTTCTCAATATCCCCCTCCAAGTGCCACAAATTATCCAAATGGAACAGATAGCAAGATGATGTAGCCTGCCATTAGCATTACATAGACAGCACTGGATTACCTCTTGTCGGAAGAGAGCAGCCTGATCCTTGCAGCCAGGAAGACGCTGGACAAATCCAGCCACCTAATGAAGTGTGGGAAATAACAGACAGAATTATTAAAGGGCTGTCCAGCAACCTAATAATAAAAGAAGTCCTGTCTGAAAAAACAACTTTTCATTCATTCGAACAAAATATTGCAAACATTAAGATTTTTCTTTCTTTGTATCTAACCAAAACAACACTGGAGTTGATATAAGGTTTGACGTAGATATGTACAGTAATATAGCACAGACAAGAAGCGTAGCAAGCACGAAGGAAAGAGAAGCCTTGAAGGTAGACAAACTTAGGGCCAACTCAATTGTGCATGGGTGCACACCAGAAAAGCAGCATGCGGTCAAAGAGATGTACTCCTGGATCCTTTGCTTTCTGGCAGAGGATGCAGGGACACATATATTGGACTACAGATACCTATAGATGCAGATTAGCTGCAACACAAAGAGAAACAACATGAGGATGAGTTTAAAAACAAATACTGAATTTGAAGCAACGAAGCCTTATCAATCCAGGAATAATCAGCTCGCCTTACACATACAGCAGAATGAGGTAGGGTCCTGAGGTAGCTGAATGGACTTAACCACTTCAAGTTGCAGATGAGGGGGCATGGGATTCCATTTTTGAGTGCTCCCCATTTGGAAAAAACCTCCCTGTAGACAATATTTAAAATAATCAAGGACAAAGCTTTTAACCTAATCCACTCCCTGCTTTGCTAATTTTCTTTCTGAAAGCTTTTCATGGGGGGGCATACAAAAGTGTCACCCCCCCCCCCCGCACCTTTGGTGAGTAACAGTAGAATGTATTCTACCGGCTCATTCTGTTGCATGTGTAGGCCAGGCTATCTTCACAGTGGTCTGGGGCCTAAGAGACAGAAGATGGGAGAAAATGGAAGGAGTGTATAAATTTTACTACAACTCTCAACCTGTATAGCTCTCCCCAAAATAAAACATGCTCTGATCCGGCAATTTTTCAGTAACCTCATGTTCCCTGAAGGGATTTACTCTATTATACAGACCTTGAGCTGTTACAGATGTGACATTCCTATCACCAATACCAAAGGACAAATAGTAACAAGGGACACTGTCAGAAACAATTTCTTCCTTTATATACCATAGGTTATCTAACTCCTTGCCTCTCAGCTTGCATAAGAAAAGTATACTGCCGATATGAATATAAATTCCTCTCTTATGTTTCTTTGCATAAGATCCTTCCTAGTTTATTATGCATATCCTTATGTTGGCATTACAAGAATTAGCCTATGCCAGAAAGCAGGTCTCACTCTAAGATATAGTAAAAACCTGCAACTCTGGCTGATACATTAATGACAACAACATGAGATTATTGAGCACAGGAAGCTGCCTTACACCAGGTCAGACTGTTTATCCAGTAAGAACAGTACAGCTTACTGTGACTAACGAAGACTCTCGAGAGACTCCTGCAGGGGTCTCTAATACCACCTACAACCTGAACATTTTAAACTAGAAATGCCAGGGATTAAATATGGGATGTTCTGCATGCAAGGCGTGTGCTCTGCCATTGAGTTACAGCACCTTCTCAAGGGCTGTATCAAAAGTTGCCCCAGCCTTTCTTGTATGAATGGGAACATGCACAAGAGAATAAAGAATGGTCCCAGGAGGAGGCCCATGTAGGGAAAAGAAGGGATAGAAATGAAAAGTTGCTCCTAGCTGGTAGGGGGCAAGATCAGATTAAATTCCAATGGATACTGCTAAGGGTAATTTCCATCATATGCTCCATTAAGATATGGGGAGGTGAAACCTAGGAATTTGGACATTGTTAAACACATCCCATTGCACTGCAGATGGTGCCACTATTGTAAAAGACCCTCAGTTCACCCAGCAAACGCTTTAAACTGTGTGTGTTTGCAGTAAAAAAAAATGCACAAAAGAAAGTAGGATTTGACACTGTTTTGAAATTCTGCAAAGAGGAACCAGCCTTGCTAAGCTTTGGACAGGATTCCCATCCATGTATTAATTTCTTCTGCGGGATTAACGAAAAGGGAGATAAAACTGTCACACATGATACAAAATCACCCTCCCAGCCAGTTACATTTAGAAAACATTTTAAGAAGCATTTGAGAAATAATCAACACTCAAATGATAGGTTCTCACTAGAGGGTAAAGATTATTCAGAACGAGGCTTTCCTTGAGATTTTGCAATGAAGGAGAAACACTCCTACTTCTGCAGCAATTTCCTAAAATTAAATTTAAAATGTCCTCTTTGGTTTCATTAGTATTACTACTTAATGCTGGAGGCCTCCCCCCCCCTTTTTTTTTAACAGAGGCTATGGGTTCCTTGTTCCAATTTTAAGTTCATAAACAAAGTTCAGAACACAAGAAGAGGCTGCTGGATCAGGCCAACAGCCAATCAAGTCTAGCATCCTGCTTACAGGTTTCCCACCAGATGCATGTGGGAAACCTGTAAGCAGGATTTGAACACACAGCACTCTGCCCCCTGTGGTTTCCAGCAACTGATATTCAGAAGCACTGCTGCTTCCACTACCACTATGACACATTCGGTATTCAAATACTAATGAGCACAGAACTGCAGCCTTTGCCTCTTACTTGGGAGAAAGCCCCATTGAACCTAGTGAGGCTTTCATCTGAGAAAACATGCATAAGATCAAAATGCAAGTTGGGCAGTTCCCCAATGATTTCACAGTGCTGTTCCTTCTGAGCTTACAGCATTTGTGATAAGCAAATTAAGTGCCACATACCAATAAATTTCACTTCCTATCCTAGGATGATGATTGGCTAGGGAATGTCTGTGCAGTCAGACCCACTAAGTAGGAGTTCTACAGCCAGGATTTTGAAATTGGAATGAGATGTTCTTCTCCAAAATACAGATAAACTCAAGGATATTTAAGGTGAAGAAAATAAATGAAGCATGATAGCGGGTTTAATATTCTCCCCCTGCAATTACAGAGTTTAACTGGATTAAAGGAGCATGGTGGGCAGAAAGAATATTATCGTTAAGAATTGTTTGATCAGCAATTTTAAAAAGAGCTCAACTATTTTACAGTGTTGTCTCAAGAGCTGTATTCTGAATACATAGCTTTTCTCCTTCAGAAGTCAAACTAGTCGAGGAGGCTTTAAGTTGGACAAGCAAGTGTTCCCCCCTCATAACAACTCAAGAAACTGCTGGATCAGGCCAATGGCCCTCAATTAGCATCCTACTCTCACAGTGGCCAACCAAATGCTTGGGGGAAACCTGCAGGCAGGGTCTGAGTCCAAGAGCACACTTGCCTCCTGTGGCTTCCAGCAACTGCTATTCCGAAACATTACTGCCTTGAACTGTGGAGGCAGAGCATAGCCAACATTGCTAGCCTCATCCTCCATGAACCTGCCTAATCCTCTTTTAATGCCATCCAAGTACCATCACTGCCTCCTGCGGGAGTGAGTTCCACAGTTTAACTATGACTGTACCCTATGCAAAGAAGTAATCTCCTCCCAATCGAAATATTTCAAGCTCCAGTCACCTCACTCTCTTTCTCCAGGCCAGAATAAGGACCACTATGTAACTATGAAGCAAACTGTATCTGGAGTTCTATATTTTTGCAATGCTTGACCGACTGATGTATTCTGGCTTAGGCCAGAATGAAAGCTACAGTTCTACTGCAGCTGCCTCTCTTTGGCTAAAAAGGACTGAGAGGGATATTCACATCAATTTCTCTCTGGCCTAGGAAGGAGAACTATGGCAATCAAGAGTATACTCATTTGGTTTGTTTTAATAAATCATAGTTAAAGCCCAGGGGTGACCAACATGGTGCCCTCCAAGCATTGGACTCTAATTCCCATCAGCCCCAGACAGCATGGCCAATAGTCAGGGACAATAAAAGGTGCAGCACAACAGCATCTGGAGGGTATGGCATAATACTGAATGTGGCACAATGGGTCAGTGCCTCTGGCTGTTAACCAGAAGTTTGGTGGTTCGAGCCCACCCAGGGATGACTGTGGGCAGGATTCCTGCATTGCAGGAGGTTGGTTTGGATGACCCTTGGGACCCCTTCAAACTCTGCAATTTTATGTTTCTATGAAAGCTTTATATCTCCTCCTCATGGCCTTGCTGGAGCAAGAAAGGTGAATGTGTGAGCTCGAGTCTCATTCATGTAATGGCAAATCATATTATTATATCAAAACAAGACCAGTATAAGATGGCTTCATATATTTGTATTAATCAAAATAATAATCATAACAACATGTTAATGATAAAGTAGTAACATTTGGCTCAAACTTTTGAAGTGTCAGTCTTTCATGATATCAAACATCTCCAAATTTTGAAGCATAAATGAATAAATTTTACAGGAACAACTACTGCAACTACTGTGAAGCATAACCCTTGAAAAAAGTATAATTTATACATTTTCAAAATAGGGCCAAGTGACCGTCAAACCAAATGGACTTTCATCTACCCACTCAAATCAGCTCAAACAAAACCACTCTTTACCACTTTCAGCCTGTGGTATAGCGATTGCTAACTCCCAAGGCAACTGGTGCAAATGTACAGCGCACGGCTCAGATATGCTGTGTCACTCAATCCCTGACTGCAGGGGAAACATATTGGCTTGCAGCAAAGCACAACGTTAGTTTTGACTGTAAACCCATAGTCTCAACAGAATGGGTCTGTCTGTCAGCAATCATGCAAACTGTGGGGGTATTCTGTGCCACAGTCATGCAAGCATGCGCAGGACAATTGCAATGTAAAGTGAGTCAGCAGCAGACAAGCACAGAAAAGGCCATTGTCGAAAGAGGCCCCAAAGGGGGCAGCTGGTAAAAGTGGCATGGCTGCACAAGGAAGGATCCGTGCAAATCTATGTGTCTTGATCTAAAGTTCTGAATTAGCCACAGCTGTAAAGCAGAGGAAGAAAAGAATCACTACCACTATATTAAAAATGCTTTCCAATTAGACGGGGGGGGGGGGATCAGGAAGCACAACTCACCTCTTCAACACTCCATTTGGCCACATTCTTGGCGGTGAGGCCAGAGACCTCCGGCAGCAGCTTGCAGTGTTGCTCCCAGCAGAGATGGAGGCGGTGGGTAGGGTTTGCAGAAAGGGAAGGCATGAAGACAGACTGGTGGAGGGCCTGCTGCAGAGCAAATGCTGTGTCTGGGAAGAGGGAGGGCAGGGAAGGAAAGAAGATGAGTCAGTCCTTGTTCAGGTGCAATTTAGAAGTGCAGGGCTGGATGTGCTCAGAGCATCCCTCCCGAAAAAGGTAAAGAAGAAAGCCCTGTGCTGTTACACATGCTCTCAGGGAAGAGATGCCCCGATGCTAACACAGGAGGGATTGCCAAGGAGGAGGAGGTTGGGTAACTGCATCTTCAGATGGAAATTAATGGCACCATTCCAGCTTACAGTTACTGTTCAGAGCACTCTGCATACAAGATAATGACAAGCACTGGTCACATCCCTGGAGAGATGACTCCAAGGTCAGGAAGGTTGGCAGTTCCTTCCAGACGTTAGTATCAGTCTCCATTTGTCAAACAATAGAGGCATTAAGAACAAGAAAACATCTCCCGCCTGCCTGCCTCTCTATCCCTCTCATATATAGAAGATCATCTGATTATTGCTGTGTCATGGTGCAGTAAAGATTTGTGGCTATCTATGCAGCATATACTGGAGCCACTGATTAACATCGCATGACACAATTTCTTTGATTAACAACATTAGCATGATTTATTGGGTTAACAACATTAGCTAATTATGTTTGCCGCTCCCCCTCCTCCACCGGGACACATACACAAAAAGAAAGGTATTTCAAAACACCAGGACCTTTTAAGTCATGGTTATTGTAAAGGTCTGTAGTGACATCTAGTGGCATTTTCAAATAACTAAGATATACTGCTTATAAGAGAGCAAGGACTGAACAGTCTGCGAAATGATGTGTTCTTACTCCTCCCCTAGTTTAAAAATGATTGAGGAATACTAGGGCTCAAAGGGGCTGCTTATGATGAGATTGTACAACTCCCTTCCCTGCATTTTACAAGGAGGTTGTTAGGGAAACAACATGACTCCTCCCCCCAATACATAACAATAAAGCTGTTTGGTGCTGTTACAGCACAAGTGGTTGAAGTTTTTGGAAGGGTGAGAAAGGAGGGGGGGAGCTACAACCTCTTCCTTTCCCACTTCCTGAAACCTCTCCTCTGTGAGCTAGTGCTATAAGCTTGCTAGAAGATGAGCAATTACGGGCTGGGGATACACTACTTTTTTGTTGTGGGCCCTCACTTTTTTATATGGATTGTAGATTTTTCTGTTATATTGACCAGTGGTCAGTGGAAAGAGATGGAACACTTATGGCTCTCCAATGAGTAATCCGATCTCTGCAGAAACAATGAACATTCATTTTAACAGGTTTGCCAGAAGAAAAGAGGTGGGAGAAATGTAAGCGGCAGCAAGCATCAAAACAAATAGTTTCACCTTATCATTGAAACCACCCATTTAGCAAAATATATAATTTTCATGACCAAATTTCCAGTAAATCCACAATTGTTTCAATGGTTTTAAAAAGCACAAACACAAAATTAACTAACCTCTTCCATCAGCCTCCTGCTTCACTAGCTGGAGCTGTATATAGCTACGTGAGCAACCAATCCTGAAAACACAGATTTGGGCAGTAAGGCAAACAATTATACAGAAGAGACAGAAATGCTTCTCCAAAGAACGCTTAAATCACGGAGCTGAATAAAAGGCTTCAAAATATTTTTTGTAGCATGTTTAGCCAGCATTTGATAAAATGAGCTCTGATTCACAAATGCTTATGTCACAATACAATTTACCCTTTAAACCTTTTTAAGTTTATGCTGCCACAGGCCGCTAACCCCTTTGGAATAGAAATTGTTGGGTCCAATGCCAGTTGAGGATCACTCAACTGTAATGTAAAAAAAATGGTTTGGAAATTGACTCAGTCACTTTTAACTGATTTTCGAATTGTTCAGGTACATTTATTGATACTCCATGAATTTGTTTAATTCTCCTTGAAAGCTACCCTTGCATCTGTAATCAGTATCCCAACATTTTTCCTTCACTTCAAAACTAAATGGTCCAAGTGGGAAACTTTATTGGGAGTAGGTTTAACAAGTTGAACAGCTTTGCTTACCCTTTTGATTTGATTTTAGTAACAGCAGATGATTCCCCTTCCACTGAGTCCTTCTCTTGGCTGGTCTCAGACTGCTCAGAAAGACTGTGGACACTGCTCCGTCCCGATCTCTCCCCATCTTGTGTGGATGATTTTCTACTAAGAATACAATATTTATGTCTATAAAAACCACTTCCCAACACTCCCAACTAGCCATGAATTAGAACTCAGGGCAAATCCTCACAAATTAAGGGTTGTGATTGTGCAGATAAAGCCTGGCAAAGTCCTCAGGATAGGATGTGGTGATGCAGATAGGACTGGCTGAGCTGTCAGTGAATCTAATTAAGTTCTGTGGGGCAATTAAAAATACACAAAAAGGTTCCCCACCAAAATCAGTCACAAAACAAGAATCTTTCCCCACCCAGCAACAGGGTTAACAACAACTGCTGTTAGGAAAAGGCCACAAAACCAACACAGTATCATTGTTCAAGTGCCTGAGAGAACAGGGACATCTTTGCCTGGCACCAAAAAGATCACAATATTGGCACCAGGCAAGCTTCTCTGGAGAGTCTGGGGCAAGTGGAAAGCAAGACCAGTGTAAGAGTAGCTTAATAAATGTGCCCAATATTATAGTAGGCCTTAAGGTTTAGTTTAAAACTTCACCTGGACTGTGGAGAGTCTTCCTGAAGGTCTGTAAGTCTTGCAGAAGTCTCAGGTTTCTTGGGCTTCTGAACACTAGCACTGGGTGAAGGTTTTTCTCCACCAAGACGATCTTGTAAAGAACTCTCCCTGCTGCGATTGATTTCAGAATATGGGCAGCCAACTAATCTACATCAAAAGCAGAAAAATGTTTCCACAAGAAAAATATTATGCAACCCAATTGTTCCACCTTCTCCCTCCGAGGCCTATACTAACTAGCAAAGCAGTATAATACAGCAACTCTGCAAGAGCAACAAATGGCAGGCATGTAAGATAAAGGCTCCTGGGAAGTAAATGCTTAGCAGCCACAGGCTAAAACAGAAATTCTGCAGAGAGATGCAGTTTTCAGTGAAAGGAGGAGGGAAGGACATCAGCTGCCAAAATGACTGCTCTTCAACAACACCGAGTAGCTGAATGAGCTTGGGGCAACATGAATGAAAGTAAAATCTTGCCCAGAATTCAGGAAACAGGGCACATAAAAAGCTAGCCAGAGGCAGGGGGTAAGGTGGGTCAGCTCAAGAGAAGAGTGACTTAATGTAAAGAACAAGTCTTTTTTAAAAAAAAACCCAACACCCATTTTTTTATAACTGCCTTTTCCTAAAGGCTTTTGCTTTGGAGCTGTTTCAAAATGTAGCTCTGCATAGTTGTTTTTTAGCCTTTGTTTTAACCACTTTTGTAATGATTGTTAATGCTGCTGCCTTTGTCCATGTTTTCAGCCGCTGTATTTAATCATCAGTTTATGATATTGTGAGCCACCTTTGATGGGCTGTGCCCCAAAAGGTGGAATATAAATAATTTTACAAATAAAGAAATAAAAATAAAAATAAACACACAAATTAAAGAAGGAAGCAAAAGGAGCAGGTGGGGATGTGAGCTGGCACAAACACAGAAAGGCAACTGCTAAAAAATGCCTACATTTCGGCGGCCTTTTCAATGGCTAAGATTCTCAAGGCCAACCTAGTCTTCCAATAGAATTGCATCACTTGTTCTGGACACTGGGACCATATTATACAGGTCTGAGAAAACTTAGGTTGGTTACTCTTCCCCACCCCCACCCCAAATGATTCTGACCTTTAAACACAAGTTTCTTTCTCCTTCCTGTAAATCAAGCTTTGCCTCCCTCAAAAATGAAATGAAATAATATAAACACAAGTTTTTGCCTATCTGAACAAACACCTCTTCCCATATCTGGAATCTCATCCACCTTAAGATTTGACAAACATTTATGTTGATGTTATTCAGATGCCAGCTTAAAGCGTGTCTTTTCACAAAGGCATTTGGGAAGTGTGATTGATTTTATGCCAATCTGGTTGTTTTACTGCTGGTTTATGTATCCTGATTTTTATTGGTACCATTATTTACTGAAGGTTAATTGTCCCTCACTCTGAGGTCTTTGGATTAAAGGACAGTATATATGTATCAGCCATGAAACTATCTGTCCAAGAAAGTTCACTTACACCTTCCATTCTGGATTTCAGGTGACAGGTGAAAACTTTTTTTTATTTCAAATGGTTTTTAATGTAATTCCACTCAGAAAGCTTTGCTGTGGAGGGGGGATAAAAATTCAAAATAACTAAAACCAACAAAACAACAATACTGTCACTCCGCAAAACATATGCATCATGTTTGTTCCCCTACATAAAGAGCTTCCTCTAAACGGCCAGTTAGCACATCAAGGGAGAAGGCTGGAGGAAGGAAAAAACAATCTCCTTATCCCAATATGCTACCTTTTTACAATCTAGGAGTTTTTAACATGGGGGAACATTCTAATATGCAATCCCGCACCAGCTTAGTGGCACAGAACAGAAAGGAGCACTCTGGAGGTCTTTAAGAATCCCGAAATTCATGAGAAAGTAGGCTATGAATCTTCTCTTTTTTATGTAGGAAATATTACGCAGAAAGCAAGATGCAAAGCAGAGGAGTCCATGTAATCTTGTGCTTTTTTAGTGCTGCACCTGGGTTGTGCAACATGTATCCCGCCAGAGCCTATATGTGCAGTCAGCTATTTTAATGGCAAGAATCCCATTGCACAGATTGGTTTTAGTTTCATGTTTAGAAAGACTTATGAGAGTGTCAATGAGTCAAAGTAGTAGAAACAGCTCCTTGCTTAAAGTCCTGCCTTGCCTTACTGACTTTGCCTTATTAATTTTTAAATCTTACAGAGTTTATTGGGGAGAAGCAATTTAATGGCTTTTTGCCCAACAAACACTGGAAATCCTAAACACACGCACACACACACACACACACACACACACACACACACAGAGCCAGCTATGAAACACAATTCCTTTCCCAAGCTTTGCTCCTTTGTCTCAACTTTCTCCTGGGTGGGTTGAGAATGTTGTAGGACACCTCTTCAAGCCACTCCAACTTTCCCTTCTTGCTGGCAAAGTTTCAGGAATGAAACCATGAGATTCTAAACAGCTAGAGCTGCCTCTTCTCATGTGAGTAGCTGTAATATGTAGCCAGGTTCTGATGCTACCTTTCTGTGGTGTCAGTATAAAGCTTGTCAGTGAAGCCAAATACAAAGCACAAGAGGGAGCTAGAAGCACAGCATTTTATAACTGAGACACGCATTCATATTTGTAGTTCACTGAAGCTGCATTACTTGATAAACAGGTGCTGGGCAACTGGTACATATTGCCCTACAATCTGCTGGCAATTACCCCATAACTCTTGGGCACACGTACGTGTAATGCGTTCCATATCTGGGTCCCCTGACATGACCCAATCCCTGACAACCAGGAGTAGGGCATCCCTGTCCTACTGCCCCTGATGGGTCCGCAGTCCCTAGAAAAACAAAACTTGTTCAGGAATAGATTTCAAAGTCTTGTTTTAAATAATTTGGTAAGGAGGGGAGAAAGAAACTACAACATTATTCTTTGTCTCACCTGGTGGGAGTTGCAAGGCATGTCCAGTTTTTGCACACCAGCCCATGGGGTGAATGTCTGGACTGTCAGCATCAACCCAGAAATCAAAACTGTGGTCCCAGCCATCAAAGTGTATCTAAAGAGGAGGAAACCCATATTGGAGGAAGAAAGAATGAAAGTCATAAGATAATGTTTCTTTTCCCCCTTTTTAAATTAATTTTAATTGCATTTTAAAATTTACAGATAGACATCATCTTTTCTTCTACATTTACGTACATAGTCTATTTATTCTTCTATGCATGTTCATATCCATACCTCTTAACAGCTTCATCATCTCTCTTTATTTCATTTTCATTATCATAAGATAATGTTTCTTGTAACAACTCTAAGAGCTTCTAACAGGAGCAGAATCTTTTTGGTTGTGGCTCTGGAGCTGTGGAATACATTCCCTGGAGAGTCTTTTGATCTTCCTTAGTTTTGCTTTAGACAAAACTGAAACTCTCCCCCAACCAGGGATTTACCTGGGTGTGTGCTTTTTGAACATAAGAGCCCTGCTGAATCATACCTTTGGTACATCTAGTCTACAATTCTGTTTCCTACTGGAGCCTCTGGAAGTCTACAAGCAGAAAATGAAGGCAGAAGCCCTCTTTTGTTTTTGCTCCCCAGCAGCTGGTATTCAGCAGCATACTGCCACTGAACTTGGAGGTTGCTATAACCATCAGGACTAGCCGCCACTGTGCTCCATGGAAATAAGTCTGAATTGCTTTTGAATCATTTGTGAAACTGTTTTATCATTTTATGTACTAATTTAAAACAGTATGTAAACCGCTTTGAGAAGATATGTGTAAAAAGGCAGTATACACCTATAGTTAATAAATACACAAACAAAGCCAGTAAATAAAATGTCACAGGCAGACTCGTTTAAAATGCATTGCAATAGTCCAATCCTGAGGTTACCAGAGCAGATTACTGTGGCCATGTTATCCCTGTCCAGATAGGGTCATAGTTAGGCCACCAGCCTAAGCTGGAGGAAGGAACGCCATGCTGCCACTGAGGCAACCTGTGTCTCAAGTGACAGCAATGCAACCAATACAACTTCCAAACTAGGAACGTGCTCTTTCAGAAGGAGTGTGATCCCATCTAGAGCAGGTTGCACACCACTCAGCCAGACAGAGGAAGCACCCACTTAACAGCACCTGTCTTCCCTGGATTAAGTTTCAGTTTATTTGCTCTCATCCAGTCTTAACCAAGCACTGATTCAGCATGTCCACTGCCTCCCTTGCAGAAGATGAAAAGAAGAAATAGAGCTGTGTGTCATCAGCATACTGATTACACGCTCCAAAACTATTTAGGACCCCACTTAGATGTTAAACATGACGGATGGGACTGACCCCTGCAGGACTCCATACTGGAAAACTCATGGAGTCAAAAAATGCACCCCAAGAACTGCCTTCTGGAGCCAGTCAGCCAAGTAGGGGGGGAACCATACAAACTGCCCAGTAAAGCTAAATTTCCTGGGTTAAAAATAATATTCTGGGTAAAGCTAACTACCCAGTAAATCTAAGTTGTTGGTTCCGATAGTTTATGGCATCACTTTTGACTTCTAATGAATGTTTACCCATAACACAAAATCTACAGCATTAGAACTAGAAGAACCTTATTGACAGATACACAGAATAGAATTACTGTGGATATCCAACAATGGAAAACGACAAATGTATAGTCAACAGGTATATCAATAGTTATTAATGAAACCACAGTAGGTGCTCAACTGGAGACTCTTAGTTTCTTAGTCTCTTATATGCTTCCTCTAGAGCATCTTGAATTAGGCACTTTCAGAGGCAGAATGCTGGTCTATAAGCATCATTGCTTTGACCTTGCAAGAGGGCTCTTATAGCTTAAATCCAATTCTGATAAATAAAAACTGAAGGAGCCCACTAAGGAGCACTTGAGAAAAATCTGCTGCTGCTTCACCTATTCTGTGAACTGAGGGAGATTTTCAATCTTTGTATCTGACAAACCTCCATTTTATACAATGAGTTGAATGCAAAGTTGATGTGTTTATGTACTCATTACAGGATGGTGAGTGGAGGCGTTCAGCATTAAAAAAAAATGAGGTTAACCTGATGTTGAGGTTCGTATTGCAAGTCACCCTCAAGGTATGCGAGCTCTAACATGGCAAATTTATGTTAGATTCATACAGAGAATTGCTCAAGGGGAAGAAAAATCAATTCAGAAATGTCATTCCAGAATAAGTGGCATTACAATAGCATCCAGCAATAGTGAGCAGGAGCATTGCAATTCATGGGGGGACTAAGATCAAGCTGTCATATTACTGCTGAAGATGCTTTCTTTCTTGAAAGCTCAAATGTAATGTTCCTTTCATAATCTTAGAGTAGCACCATGGCTTATTTGAATGCACATACCTTGACCCGATGGTCATCTTTTTCAATTATGGTTGCCACTCTAATTAACATGGGATTTCTCTTGTCTACAGCTTCTAGTTTCATGTTAGGCTGGAATCCATGAGCTGGGCGCTGTAAAGGAATGCATTGCAAATGCAGTCAAGCATTACTGAGAGTAAGGTGAGCCATATATAATTTAAAGGTGCAGTCTGGATGTAATGATAAACCACAGCCTAGCATTAAAAAAGTAAGATTGCTTGGGCAGCACCATCAGCAGCTTCCTCAGTGCATGCCAGAGTGTCTCTGGAAGAAGTTGCTTTCTGGTTTAACTAACCACAATTTCTTACATCTGAACTAACTTGTAGTTACAGTGGTACCTCGAGTTAAGTACTTAGTTCTGGAGGTATGTATGTATGTATGTATGTATGTATCTATCTATCCAACCAACCAACCTGAAACTGTTTTTAACCTGAAGCACCACTTTAGCTAATGGGGCCTCCTACTGCTGCTGCGCCGCCGGAGCACAATTTCTGTTCTCATCCTGAAGCACTATTTCTGGGTTAGTGGAGTCTGTAACCTGAAGCATCTGTAACCTGAAGCATATGTAACCTGAGGTACCACTGTAGTTCGAACTATGGTTTCTGGCAAATGGCGTTTTTCAATAGACCAAAGTTGAAACGAGGTAGTTTGGCGTGGTTCAGATGTAATGACATTAGTTTAAGTTAGAAAGTGAATGTCCTCTGGCACATACTGGGGGCGGAGATGAAAGAGAGTGGAGCTCAAGCTGACTTGTTCCCATAATGCTAAACTATGGTTTATTGTTATATGTGAAGGAGGCACAGGCATGTTTCCAGGAGCGTTCCTTTTGACTGCAAACCAAGTAATCAACACCTTCAACCTCTGGGTGTGTAACTACAATTAAAATCACAATCCAACACATGTTCACTTAGCTTACCAAGTAACTGTATATAGAATTGGAAGTTAACCCAACTCTGAGTAGAAATTCTAGTCTGGAAGGCCTAGATTAGTCTAGGTCTAACTGATCCATGTTAAAATTTTTGCTTAGCTGCTGAGATATGTCTTTGTTAACTTGTTTCTGTACCGATATGACTAAAGGTAAAATACTTCCTTCACACAGCATATACAGTACACTCACAACTTTCGTGCATTTAACTTGTGTGTACTCAGCTGTATGTGCTTGGCAATTAAAAAAATAAATAAAAAGAGGGTGGATGTCTGGGGAAAGAAACTTTAGTAATCCCACCCACCACTGCACCCATTTTTATTTTTATTTTCTATACAGTGGTACCTCGGTTTAATAACAGTCTGGTTTAAGAACGATTTAATTTACAAACTCCACAAAACTGGAAATAGTGTCTTGGTTTCAGAACTTTACCTCGGTCTAAGAACAGAATCCGAACGGTGGACGGGCACCGGTGGCGGGAGGCGTCATTAGGGAAAGCGCACCTTGGTTTAAGAACGGTTTTGGTTTAAGAAAGGACTTCCAGAACGGATTAAGTTCATAAACTGAGGCACCACTGTATGCAGTTTTGGTTTTAGGCTCTATCCCCAGAACCTAACCCCCATTAAGTTGTGGGCTTACTGAAGTTAAAACTATGGAATTTGCTCCCACGGAATGCAGTGATGGCCACCAACTTGGATGGCTTCAAATGATGATCAGACAAATTCATGGAGGATTGGGGCTACCAACAGCTACTAACCATGACGGCCCTGTTCTACCTCCACTATAATAAATAAATAATATTGTTTTTATTTGTACCCCACCCTCCCTGGCCGGAGCTGGGCTCAGAGTGGCTAACATCATATAAGTAATACAATATCTGAATTCCCTGAATACCAGTTACTGGCAATCACAGTAGGCAGAATGCTCTTGCACACATGCTTCCCACAGGCATCTGATTTGTCACTGTGAAAACAGGATGTTGGACTAGATGGGCTGATCGTCTTAGGTTCTTAAAATTCAAAAAGCCAGTTCCATTTACCAGCTTTTTTAAAAAAAATACTGCTACCTTAAAGCATTTCATGTAACCCACTTAGTTTATCTAGATCATGGTTTCTAATTTGCCTTGCACCCAATATTCCATAAATAATTATAATAAAATAAAATAGCAGCAGCAGTAACCATCATCATCCTAATCATCCACCTATAACTAAGAGCTGTACAAAAGTAAAACCATAGCTTTTAATGTTGTGATTCACCAATATAAAACTAGAAAAGATGTTGACCAACCAGTTTAAAAGCTCTTGCTGGGGCTGCCTGTGAACCAGTTTCCTCCAAGTATTTCTCCCATGAGAAGCTTTTGAAATCCTTGTATTCTGCAAAGAGGTTTAGGAATATTATCAGTCTTTAACTACAACTGTAAGTGATAGGAAGTGTACATTAACCAAACAATACATTGTTATGCAAGGGAACTGAAATAAGAAATTAAATCACTTTAAGAAATGTTTATATAGTGTAAGCTTCCACTTCAGGTTATGTGCCTAGGCTTGTTTTACATCTATGCTACTTCATCAGTTGGTGTACGAGCTGCTCTCTCCTTCATATGTGCACTGCAATACCATCCCTTTCATGGAAAATCATAGTTTGTCATCATATCTGAAATGAACAAATGATAGCTTGTTCTTGCCCTCCAAACATTGCAAACTTTTATCCTGGCTTTTAATTCTGGTCTGGAGGATAAGCACAAACCAGAATTTACCAGTGTTTGTGCAAAAGCAAACTATGGTTTGGCACAAAAGTAGTAGTTAGGGAAAGTGTGAGGGAGGGAGTAATTGTGCAAGCCTAAACCAGTTCAAAGTCTTTGGTATGGAGCCTATAATACGTAGAAACTAGTATAGCATTCATAACTCTTGCAATCTCAGAAAACTCACTAAATGGGTCCACATCATAACAATAACTACATTAGTTTTCATTTTCATTTTAAAGTTAATTTTACTGCATTTTCTGTATGTAAAGTGGCTTTTAAAGCACCTTTATTACCTCTAAAACTTATAAGTTGAAATTCTACACCCTTAGAGATTGGCCAAAAATAGACTTGGTGATTTAAGTGAATGTTATGAGCTGCCCTCCAGACTTCATAGAATCATAGAACAGTAGAGTTGGAAGGGGTCTTGAGGATCATCTAGTCCAACCCCCCGCAATGCAGGAATCTAAACTAAAGCATCCACGACAAATGGCCCGAATCTACAGTTGTTCCTCCCTGAAGCAGTGTGTGACACACTGTTCTCAGTCACCTCAGTCAGGAGTAATAACACCTGTCCTCACCAGCAAGATCCTCCAGCCCACTGTGGAGATCTTTTGAGCTTTTAAGCAAGGCCTTTTTGCTCTCAATTCTCCTTTCCCACCCCAACTCCTGTCTAGAGCTCCATCTGTACTTTTATGTCTAAAGCCGTATCATACGACTTTAAACAGTCATGGCCTCCCACAAAAGACTCCTGGGAACTATAGGCTGCCAAGGGTGCTGAGAGTTGCTAGGAACCCCCCTATTGTTAAGCCAGCATCAATACATCATGTTGTCAACAAAGACCTGATTTTGTGACCCAGCACCAGCATGCAGTTACCCTTATCATAATGGAATTAGGATATGACCATCCTCTTGGGCAGGGCAGGGGGTGTCTCCCATTCTACAAATCTAACAGAATTAGTTGGGGAGGAGACACCAGAACAGACCTCATAGACATCTGAAACACATAGAGCAGATCACATCTTGCAAATGTTTAGAATGCGACAGGGACTTGTGAACTTTCAACATACCAGCTGGTGTTGTAAGGGGAGTTCCAGTTTCTTGACAGTAACCAACAGGTCGAATATAAGGGCTACTAGCATCACACCTGGATCAAACAGAGAGAACTAGTTCCAGTCACAGCCAGTACATGAAAGAATGAATCTGATGTTTCTTTGCTGAACCTGATCACACATGGAAGCCACTTGCTTTAAAAGTCATAAAACTATGTTTTATGACCAAAACACTGGAACTTACTATGAAGGGTTTTCTCTTATTCAACATAAGAAGGTATCAAGTGGGTTATAATCCCTCCTAGTGCTTGGGAGGCAGGAAAAATGTGGATTTCCGTTTGAAGATCCAGGTGAAAGACATTTCTAAAATAAGATGATGCCTCCTACTGGAGGGATCAGTCAGACCCTATGCTTGCTTTCCATTGAGAGGAGTCATCCCTCTAACCAGACTGACTCTGTCTGTGGTCAGTGAAGGCTTGGTTCTCAGACTTGGTTCCGGGCCTTTTTAAATAGCTTTCCCCTGTATTCTTTTTCTTTTCTTTTTGCCTCCTCTCCTCTCTTGGTGTGACTGTTGTGTGAGCAGCCACTGTATATATTTGCATTGATCTACAAAGCATTTACACCTGTGCTAAGAACCTGCCTTGAATTCCACTTGGAAGAAAGTCAGGATGTATTTTTTTTTTTTAAGGAACCTGGTATGTGCAGCATAATTTGATATGCTGGGATTCTCAGTGCTCTTTCTTTTTCTCCAAGCATGCTTCTAGTAATCAAGGTTGCAAAAGACTTAAAATTTGTATACAATGAGAAAGGTTCAGAAATGAGAATAGATTGGATGTCCTTCAGTGGGTAGCAGTTCACTGCACGGAACAACCAATCTATCCTTTTCACCTGTCAACTATTCACTAATTTCCTAAACCTTGATGTGTAGTTCGACCCTAACTTGGAACATTCCCAACCCACAATTGCTAAAGTAATGTGAATGAAAGGGCATGAGGAACATGTGTAGTTAAGCATTAGTGAATGTGAGAAAAGAGTGCTTAACCTTTCACATACTTATCAATTCTCCCCTCCTAATGTCTCCCGTAACCTTCTTTCCTCCATTTGGGTGTATTTCTGGTGTCAGAAACAAGGCAGGGAGAAACAGATCTAAATACAGCTGTGGCGTGGGTTTGGATTTTCATGGAGAAATCAGCAGGCATGGGAACGGATAAGCCAATGATTCTTATACTGTAGGGCAGCCTGCCCTTTAGAGGGTCTAGAGCACCTTCAGAAGTTCCCAGTATCTTTATTGCTTAATTTTTAATTTTATGTAATTGTTGCATGTCATACGTTCTAATGTTAACAAAGATATTTCTCAATGCAACCATGTTAAACAGTTCAAAGATGAAAATGAATAAAAACTGTGTTACAAAACAAAGAAAGTTCCAGATGTATGTAGATCCTAAGGCAAGTTGTATAATCCTTCTCTACTAGCTAAGACCTAGCTAGAAAAACTTAAATGTTGACTACATTTATTTTATTCAGTTACATATATATTCTGGGTTTTGGTCCTTTACAGGACTCCCAGGGTGACTCAAAATTGCAACAATATACCTATCTATAGTTATATATACATACACATACCTCTAAAATAATTAAATCATAATGGCAAATGGTAAGCATGCATAAGTTTGCAAGTAAAAGAATATTTTCCCCCTAGATTTTCAAAGAGATGTGAGCTGTACACAGTTCTGCAAGTTTTGACAATGTCACAAGCAAACAACTGGGCCCAAACATATTTACTTGGAGGAAAGGTGCACACATCTAAATGAAATTTAAGCGTGTGTAGGACAGCTTCAGAAATTCAGAAAGTGAATAAGACCTGATGAATCTAAATTCAGAACTGGAGCCTGACTCAAAATGCAGAACTAGCACCCCCCTCATCCTAACTCAAATTCATTCTCTATCTAGGCAATGCCAAGCAATACCCTAGTTGCGTGAACAGAGGAGATATTTCTTTACTTACCAGTAGTCATAACTTTCATCCCAGTTGTCAAAATGAATTAGCAGCCGATTATCCAACATGTCTGCAATGGTTGCTACACACATTAAAGAAGGATTCTTTTTGTCTACGGCCTCCAACTTCATTCCCACTCGAAAACCAGAAGGTGTGACTGGCTAAGGAACAGGAGAAAATTGAGAAAACATTGCAGTTAGCTAGATTATTGAAATTACAGCTTCATTAGTATAATGAATGCTAATAAAGTATTTTTTTAAAAAAAATCACATGTTCCAGTGGACATTAAAGACCAGAATTTGTTAGATATGGGAAAGTCTCATCGAAAAACAAACTATACCAGGTCAAACTAGCAGGTTAATCTAGCAGCTGAATAAATTTATCCATCTAAAGAGGTTTCAGGTAGAAATCCTTCCCAGGAATGGTTCGTGAGTTTGTTGTAACTGGACATATTAAATACCGAACTTGGCAATACATGTGTGGTATTGCATTCTGAATTTTCCCTTTCTCCGATAGAAGGATTTATTCATCCAGAGGAGGAGAACCTTTAGATCCAAACCTCTTCTCCCTCCTCTAAACTATAATCCGCTATGACATCAAGACAGCAGAATGCAAATGCTATTTTCCACTTGGATCAAAATTCAGTGCTAGAGGCTGAATCCTATGACAATTCTACTATGGTAACAGCAAGTTCTGGCACATTACTGGACAAATCCTCTGAAATACAGCAGATGTTCCCCATAAATAGAGGAGGATCACTCAGACTGAAACCTAAAGACCCTGACCTTGTTCAAATATATGAAACGTTTCCATATAGAGTGGCCCTGCAGACACAATCATGTGAAAGAAATAATGTCTGGGCTAGTTTATCCACAAATACAGTTACAGCTTCCTGGCACAATTCTTGGCTGAAAAATGGGTTGCTTGCTCTTTGACAGCGGAACAGACAAATTCGGAAGGTTGTGGACTCTCCACTGGAGGTTTTTAAACAGAGCTTGAATGGCCATCTGTCAGGGATTCTTTGGCTGTGATTCCTGCATTGCAGGGAGTTGGACTAGATGACCCTTTGGATCCCTTCCAACCTTACAATTATATGACTATGTAAAATGCTGCTGGAAAGTGACTCTTGTATTCAAAGAAAAGCTGGAACAGATCTTACTTTCTCCACAAGGCTACTCTGCATGGAAGAGTTACAAAGGCCCTTCTCATTCATTGAAATCAACACAATTTGACAACCATTGCCAGGCTACAGATTGGACAAGGTGCTATGCAAATGTACAAGCAAAGATACTTGACAGAGTGGAACGGGAAGCAAACTAAAGCTATTTAAAAAATGCTGGAGATGGGGAAGATGAATGCATTTATTCAAATGAGCAGAAATGTGTTTGATGTAAGTACACATATAACAAATATTTTCCCGTCAAGGACTGAGGAAGTTCTGGTATTCTGGTAAAATGTAGCCAATGCCAGTGAAATATGACAAAATACAATCTAGTTTGTGCCAAATCACCTAGTAAGTAGTCAGATGATAGAATTCTTTCTTTGCTTGGGTAGGTGTCTGCCATGTGCACATATATAAAAAGCCAGACAATAAACTCTGTTTACTAAATGTAAGTGAGAAATTAAATAGGTTTCTCATTTGACATCTGATATTCCCCTGTTTCTTAGTGATTCAGCCTCTGTTCCAAGCATTTGAAAAAGGCACAATAATATCCTGGCTGAAGCTTTAGAAATGGCTGGAATTTAAAAGACTAAAACATCAGTACTGTCTCTTACCGTGCTCAGGGCTCTGAAAAGAGCTTTGGGGGCAGCTTGAGCTTTGCAGTTCTTCAAATATGATGTCCAATTAAATTCCCCTTCCTTGTAACCTAGAGAGAGAGAGAGAGAGAGAGAGAGAGAGAGGGAGATAAAAGTATTGTTTTATACAGTGGCTGCTGCTACATTCAGATTGGTTTTTCAGAAATAGAAATGATGTGGGAAGAATGTGAACTTTGCATAATAGCTGCCCCTGTGAAATAGGCAGGAGTTACAGGCTTCAGTTAACATATCTCTCATTTTCTTCTGTCTTTTAAATACATTATTGCAGTTCTTAATCATTAATCTGAAACTTCAGAAGTCTCTAGGAAACATTAAAAGGGGGAAAAAGTAGTGAATGCATTTGCTATATTGCACATTACTGAAAGAAATTCTCATTATTTTACATTTTCCATTGCTTGGCTCCATCAAAAAAAAGTTTGTCTTTTCTCTTATAAGAAAACTGCTTCATAAACTACAGCAAAAGTGAATGCACTCTCTTCTGTCCTGTAAGATTTCTGTCTTCTAAGGTTTACCATACATGATCCACTGCAAACAATACACTGCTTCAGCAGCTTATTTCCATGCTCTACACAGGGTGGACAAACGGTGTCTCAACATCTCACATATTATTATTTATTCATTTTATTATTTATTGCCCTTATGCACTGCCTTCCTGACAAGCTATTTACAAATATTAATATCGTTTACGCAAACAAGTAAAGGCAAGCAAGCAAAGGTAGGTGCAAATGTTATATTTAATATGTACCCATTTCTATTTTGTGAAGTGGCTACTTATTGGTTTAGATTTCAATTACTTCTTCCCATTTTTAACAATGTTAACTTTAGTGCTATCAGAATGAGCACAGGCGAGCCATGAGTTTGCAAGCTCCCTCCTCACTTCCCCCTCCTCTGGCAAGGAGACTGGAAGCATCCACATCCATGTTTGAACTAACTACAATTTATATGAAATGGCACAATATAGTAAATTAAACAACCTAGCTTTGATTCAGCAAACCTATGTTTAAACTAAGCAGAGTTCCAAGTGTGGATGTTACAACAAACTCAAATCAGGAACTAGATGCCTTTAACTTTCTGTTCTAACACACACACACATACACACACACACATACACACACACACACACACACACACACACACCATGAGATGGGAGCATAAAAGCTTGAAGCTTATCCATGTGTGTTCCCAAGGTGCTAAAATGTGGCGTAGCATTACATCCAAATGCACTTGTTTGAACAAATAAATAAGTTCATGTACCTTTAGGAGGAAGCAGCTTGTGACCTGTTTTTTCACACCATCCAACAGGGTGGATTTCTGGAGAATCTGCATTAACCCAGATGTCATAACACTCAGAATAACCATCGAAGTGCAATCTCACTCTGTACCCTTGCACCTGTAAGCATGAAGCAACTCAAAGTTATCCCTTTCATGAGTCAAATGAACCTTAGGGTTGTTTTTTGTTTGTTTGGGTTTGTTTTTTAAACTTAACTCTGGATTGATTCCATCTCCTTATAATCTTTGGCAAAAGATAGAAATGCTCTCTTTTAAAATTTACTGTCTATAGCTGTAGGGACTCCTCCACAAAGTCTGTTTTATGCTTATTGTCACAGTGGAACTCAAGTCTCTACGCTGCAGTGTCCAGTCACACCGATGTTGAGTCTCTCTCTCACTCACTCCCACCCACCCACCAGTAGATCCATTTTGCACGTGTAGGCATTTATTCAGGCCTCAAAATTACCGTATTTTTCTGTGTATAAAACTAGGTTTTTTCCCTTAAAAATAATGTCAAAAATTATGGGGGCGTTTTATACACGGATATTGCCGAGGGTGGACTAGCAATTGGTTGTTGCCACAAAAATAGGGGGCGTCTTATACATGGGGGCATCTTATAGACGGAAAATACAGTAATTCAAGTAAACGCCCAAGAAAACACACACACACTAAAGATTGTCTTGTTTACCTGAAAATACCCTTTGAGTCTGGCAGGATCTGTTTCTGACTTTAAAACCATTAAAGTTGTTTAATTTAAAATAACAAAATCTAGGCAGAAGATATTTTTAATTAAATAGAATGTGAAGCATTATCTTTAAACATCGTTTTAACTCACTGATCCAGGGCATGCCTTAAGACCTTCCCTCTGTCTATTTTCCCCTCCCCCTTATTATTCAGAAAATAAGTTAATATTGTTAATTTCAATACAAAGAAAGGCAAATACCTCGGCAACAGAAAGCACACAAAATAAGGATGGGTGTTCAGGATCTAGGCCCTCTAGCTTCATTCCAACTTTAAATCCATTTTTGTTTTGTGGAAAGGACTGAGACTGCAGTGGAAATAATGGAGGGAAAACATTATTTTACACTTCAACGAAGACTTTCTTGTTGCAGTGTTAATACTCTATGGGGAAAATAAGAAGGAAATGAACTCTAGTTATTTTGTGTAATCTGTTTTCTCTAATGGAGGTAACTTCAGAGATTGCTAACTCTGTACTTGTTTTACACTGAGAGATGGAAGGTGAATGACATCTATATCAGAATTATATTCACAAATATATTGATTTGAAGACTGTGATTCATCAGAAATGGCTTGCCCAGTGGGACAGAGCTGCAGTGCTAATTTTTTGGCAGTAGCGTCACTGTCACTTACCACGATGGAGTGGGGTGAGGCAGTGGGGAGGTCAATGCATAGTGGGTGCAACAGTGAGAGCACTGGATTAGGTCTGCTGGTGCACCCACACGACCTTGACCTTCCCACCCCTTCATCTCCTGGCAACTGGCAGCACTGTCACTACTAGAAAGCTAATATTGTGGTTCTGCCACATCAGACAAGCAGCTTCTGTGCTCAGTTCAGACATCAGTTGGCTATAGTTAAGCTAACTCTGAAATGAAAAACCATGGCTTGTGATCAGTCAGCAAACAAGAATTGGAAACCATGGTTTGAAGTTAATTTGCAAGCCATTTTTTGAGCTATAGTCGGTATGATATCAGAACTGACAAACCATGGTAATGGCCCTCACTTCACTTCCAGAGGCTGCTGTTCTATGGAGAGAGAAATGAACTTAAGGAGCTAAGTGCTGAGCAGATCGGAAAACAAAAGCAGGCAAAAACTGTCTGTAGACTGGGGTTGGGAATATCTGGCGTGTGGGCCAAACTTGGCATGCCAGGCCTCCTCATTTGGCCCACAAAGCCACTTGGGGGAAGTAATGCCCACCTGCCCTAGACCTGATGTTAAGATGATGGGTGGTAGGAACACACCTTGATCAAGGAAACAGAAGTGGCTTCCATTCAATGGACAGCCCCACCCACTAAAGGCATCCTGATAAGGGTCTGGCCCATGCAGTCAAAAAGGTTCCCCACCCTGATGCACACCATGATTTGACTGTTAAACATTTGGAAACTCAATCCATTGGTTTAGTTCTAAACTATCGTGAGCACAAAACTGATTTGGTTTGACATCTGAATTGTGACTTGGTACGATACCTGAAATGCGTAGCTTCTTCTGACTTTTGTAAACATCAACCAAGAACAAAGTTTCAAGTTTTGACATAAAAAGAGTCGTAACTCTCAAACCCTGGCTAAGAACAGGTAGATAATTAAAAGGAATTCTGGTGAGGGAATCTGAAACAACCTTTTATAACCAATGCTTACTTCCACCAAGAAGTTGATCTTTATAGACATAACTGATCAAAGCTGAAAGGTGCCGCTAGAAAAAAAAGGATGACTGAACATTTCCCCAGCGTTACAAGGTGCTATTTTTTCCTTTCAATGGAAATTGAGGGAATTCAGTATCAGACAGGATGCGTGCTATATTCACATTCTATAGAGGTTGGCTTCTTGCATATTTTTAGACATGCCAATTGGTTGCTACTTGTACCCTCACTTGTAATGATTATTTTTTAATCAGATAATCTACAACATGCTAAAAGTCAAGGATCCAATTAATATAAGCACTATGCTAATTAGCAAAGCTAAAGCTAGCTTCACACAGTCACTGGCTAAGATATGATCCTAGCGCTGAGCAATTTCACATACTTAAGGCACAAATTAAAACAAGGGTTGAGTGCAAACTTAAAAAAACCCACAACTATTAAACTTTCTCTAGTGAGTGACTGACATATTCCCATTTCAACAGGGGAACAAGTACAAATAAAACCCTCCTCTGCCCATATTAGTTCATTTCTCTGGCATCCAGTACAGGCAGTAATTGAAGATTTCTTAGAATCATAGAGTTGGAAGGGACCTAAGGGTCATCTAGTCCAACCCCTAGCAATGCAGGAATCTCAGCAAAAGCATCCATGGCAGTTGGCCTTTGCCTTGCAGCACTTGCTCTCCCCTTTTCTTGTCTACTACTCCCTCACAATGAGAAAGCCCGGGGCTACCTATCTCATTAGCAAGCTGTTTTGGGGAGCAGCACCTTGTTGCAACAGCTCAGGTCACTCTGTAGTGACAGCTCTTCCCTATCCAAATGGGCAAACAATTCCTGACTACAAAGAGGAAACAATGAAAGGAGCAAGGGAGTTTTTCTGTATTTTTCCTAAGACCGAAACAGAAGTGGGGCTTGATTACACATTTTCCCTTTTAACAAGCAAACTTGCATATTGACCCAAAAGGCAGCTTTGTTAACTTTTAGGATATTATCGGAAAGGCATCAGGAACCACCCTTTAGACAAGATGTAACTACCCAGCCAGCCAGCCACCTAGCCAACACAACACCACCAGTAAATCTAGCTCTTTAGCCTGTGTTGCAGCAGCACAAAATAAAGTAAGTCAACCCTGTCTGGTTCCTCCCTGTAGGAGAACTCTTTTGTGTGCAAGAACTCTAGGCTGGTTTGACAAGGTGAAAACTCTATTTCTCCTGTACGAACCACAGCACATGCCAAAACAACACCAGCCCCCCCCCCCCATTCTGTTAACCAAATGCACAAAGTAATTAAATAGTCACATGAACAAAATAAATAAATTATCCAAGAGCTGTCAACCTCTTTGAAGAGTTTCAGTGGAGCAGGTGCCATTTTTTCTTCTTCTAAGTATGACAGCCAGTTCCACACATGCTTCTTTCCAGGAGTAACTGAGCAAAGACAGAATGAGAGGGAAATTATTTCTGCAGGGCAAAGCACTGAAGCAGAGATCCACACACATGTGCTTCTATTTGCCACATTGGGTATCCAAAGGTAAGCCGTTTCTTCTACAATAGATGGAAAGCAGCTTTCAAGAACAGTCCAACAATTCAAATGCTATCAACTTCCCCTTACTAGAATATATATTAGGGAACTAAAATAAGCAAAACTATCTGCTATTTAAAAAATGAATAAAACTAATTGCAGGAAGGATCTGGTTTCTGGTGTTGCTTTTTAAAAAATTACAAACATACCACATACAATTAATTATTTACGCATTTACAGTTATTTATACAAAAACACAGCAAAATTAACCATATATAATAATTCTAAATGAAACGGGGGGGGGGGGAATACTCAGAATTGGTGTGTTTTTTGTAATGTCTGCTCATAAATTTCAAAATATTTTCTGCGTTGTAAATATCTGAGGCTGACTTTTAATGCTATTTAAATATGGTTTTCTTGTTTCTAGATAGCTGTAAATGGTGCACTGGTCAAACAGACCCTTACTGACCAGTACAAAACAACAAATTCCCATAGTCCTTCAAAATATATATAAGATGAGCAACCATTAGCAGCAATAAAGCAAATCTAAAAGAAATTAAATGGCCAGCCAACAGATCATGAGGAATATGAACAGGCTGCAATCTTATACATATTTACCAAGTTCCACTTAATTAAGTGTGCTGTAAATGTCTCCAGCTCTGACTTTAGTAAAGGCGTTCAACAAATTAATGCAAAAGATGAACAATATTTGAGGATGTAATTTAATTTAAGATGATGCTTAAGAGCCCATCAATCATTATCAGTTTCATTTCAATTTTATCTTCCAGTGTTTATTTTAACAGGATTTATCATATTCAGCTTGCTGTTCATAAGAGGGACTCTAGTTTGATGATGCCAGAATGAATGATCCAGATGCTTTGCGGCCACCTGAGCAAGTTGGTATACCCTTAATTCTACTATTCTAGATATATTATGGGTTCTACAGCTCCAGCCTTCTGGGCTGCAAAATTATTCACTATACAGCAGCTTTTCAGCATTAAGCCTTCCGCTTACCTTGCTTTACTGGTTTAGCATTCTTGCGGTTTTTCAAATTCAATTTATTCTTTTCCTAGAAATAGACATATTTTTAAAATGATAAGAAAATACACCGAGATTTTCATACATATGATTGACATTTTCATTCTTTTATAAAAATAAAAAGGTTTAGTATTTTAAATTGTAACTCACCTTGGGTACCTTGGTAGAAAGGTAGAAATGAAAAAAACAAACAAGAAAGCATAACCTGCCATATAGTGTATCCCCGCCACGATACACACACACACACACACACACACACACACACACACAATAAATATATATATATTTATAAACTTTCCAGAGTGATATTTTCTGAATGTAAAATGTTAACATTAGCTTCTAATTCAAAAAAGTTTTCAAGATTTACATATATCACTGCCCGACTCAAGTGTAGCCTCTTGGTTATGATTCCAACTAAACCTGTAATACCTCATCATCATCTGCATTTTCTTCCTCATCTTCAGAATCCAAAAGCAACTTCCTCTTTTTTCGTAGGCGCTTGGAAGGTCTGTCTGTTTCATACATCTGGCTGCTACTTGTCTGTTTCCCGAAGTCAGCTGGGGTGTCCTTAGAGACTCTACTAGGAGACAAAACCTAAAATAAGTGCAAAGTATCCCTGTGAAGTTACAAAAAGTTACCCTTCCCGTTAACAGTGAAGCATCTGGACTGGCAGATTTAAAAGGCAATACAGTATAAATGGTCTGGGGCAAGGATACTTCAAAGACCAGCTTCTTCAATGAAAACCGACCTGCTGCATGTTTACTCAGACATGTCTCACTAAGACCAATGAGGCTTACTCCCTAGGAAGTATGTTCGGGACTTAAGCTTTAATAGCTAGTACTAACTGGCATCTTAATTAGCAATTAATCAAATTTCAGGAAACCAAAATCATGTACAATAGTGACCTCTCTTGAAGCACAGGTCAACTGCACAACCATGCAGGTTTTCTTGACGTTGAACTTCATTCATATTAGCACTGAATATTTCACATCAAGGAAAACAAGCACTGCAAAGTTGAAACAATGCTTACATTTTCATTCAATATGAGCCAATGAAAGCGTCAGAGCTAATTTCCTTTAAGAAAAGCTCTTGTACACTTTTATACTGCAATGTGGCCTTCTTACGCTTCAGACATACCACCAACCGTTTTCCTATCACAGCTTGCTTGATGAGTTTTCATTTCATTTTGTCTTTTATAAGGAAACTGGATATGTATTCATTTTTCTGCTGTGGCAGAGGAAGTCTTGTGAGGTAAATAGGAATATAACTTCCCCATTTGAGTGACAGGTTTGCTACCATCCTAACAATTTTTATGGGCTACTTCAATGTTTAGCATTACTAAAAATGCAAAACTGGAGTATGAAAGTTATGGTGGGAAACAACTGAGGTGGCAAAACATAATTTATCTGAAGTTAGAAGTTACTCAAATTAATGAAATTTTTGAGTATTATAACTCATCTATTTAAAGCAATCACAAATATGTGAATAAAATGAATTTCAGACAAACTGGAGTATTCTTTATATATAGTTACAGTGTTTTTAAATTAGATGGGGATGCAGAGGGCAGTTAAACGATCAGAGGTTCAATACGTTTTTTCCACCTTTCTGAACACGTTTTTTCCAGCTTTCAGAATAAAGTATTGAGAATTAACTTTCAGTCATGCGGAAATAAATGTTTTGAAAGATAATTAGACATTTTAAATTTAATCAAAGAATACTGTTTAAAGAAAACAACAACTGCATTTCTTTCTCTTTTGAATAATGTTAACTGATAAAGAGAAAACCACTACCTCCCTTAATCTGTCTTGGTCAGTGCCTCATCAATACATGGGGCCAGTCTCCACCTTGAATGCTATCTCATTCTTTCATAAAGTGATTTACGCTGCAATCCTACACTCAGAAGTAAACCTCACTCAGTTCAATGGTATTGACTCCCAGCTCAGTGTGTAGGATTGCAGCCTTACTATTTAGTTATTGCACCAGCAGCCAGCCATCCTGTTTTCCAACATCTTAAAAAAAAATACTGAAATTGATACTTGCTCTTTTAATACAGAGATAAATATAGATTAATCCAGATTCCACTTGTGTCCCATGAAACAAAAGAGGAGACCAAAGACATTACCTGTCTCTAGGTTCCTGACGGGAATTCTCAAAACAGTCCATTTTCCCAGGGTGTCTGTTATTTTCACAGGTTTGGAGTTCAGATCTGGGAATATTGTCCTTGGACACTGCAAAAAAAAGGATGATAGGCACTGATTAATTCAAAATAAAATTATTTGGGACTTCTAACACCTTTCATGGAGCTTTTTACATTTTTTTACATTCCTGAAAGGAAACTGAACACCATGGAGCAGGTATTTAAAGAGTCTGTGAAGTCATTTAAGCCAAAGCAACAAACAAATGAAGACTCTGTGGGTATTTTAACTGTGGGTGAACTTTAGAGATGAGAAGAATAGTGTTTTGAATTTTGTCAAATGTATAAAGCCTCTAGGCACCTACCCCATGAAATGACAAATTCAAAACTTCATCTATATTGACAAATTCCAGAGGGGGAAGCTATGTTAGCTGCAGCAAAAACAGCAAGAAGAGTCTTAACACCATAGGCTAATAAAATGTATTGTGGCAAAAAAGTATGAGTTATAGGCACCTCATTAAACATATACCTTAAGGCCACATTCAATAAAAGAAAGTGATTTAAAGATATGGTGATGTAATTAAGATAATGTATTTTCTGTCTGAAAGAAATAGGTTACATTTAAGCCAGATTTGCTGTAACTAAACAGAAACAAAAATTAACAGCTAAAAATGTCATTAACTATGCGTATTGAAATGACATTTTAATATATAGATTGTTTATATGCACCTTGTTGTTACTGGTTCTGGCTTTGGGAACAATTTTATATTTTTTATTTTATCAATTGATAATGATGTTGGTCTTATAATAATCTACTTACTTAAACAAAAAAGAATGAGATTGGTCTAACTATATGATGAATACAATATAAATTACCGTATTTTTCCGCGTATGACTAGGTTATTTTCCTGAAAAATTAAGCTTAAAAATTGGGTTGTCTTATACATGGGGGCAATTCCCCCCATTTCCTCAATTTGGAGTCCCAAAAAAGAGTCTTATACATGGGCGGGTCTTATAGATGGAAAAATACGGTAACTCTCTACATGGATGTCAGATAAAGGTGTATCTGTTTTGAAATTTTAATAAACTTGTGTAGACATAGTAAATATATGCAAGCAACTATGACTTTATAAAGAAATTATGTGTATGTTTAAAGAAAATAACAAAAAAATATTGATAAAAAAAATAGAAAAATAAAGAAATTATGCCTATATCTAAGCATATTTTCATGTGTACTTTACTTGGATTCATTCTTCTGTTCTGGATCAAAAATCTTCAGCAATAGCATGTGGACAAAACAGAAAATTGTACCCAACTGTACAAAGTTTGCTTAGGAGGAAATGTGTAGCATTACACAGTTAGTAATCATACAGCATGAGTTCATTTTTGTTCATAAATCCTTGTTTAAAATCACAAAACTTGGCAGTATATTCAATAATCTGCATAGAGACAATACAACCAGGTTAACTTAGATGGTGCCAATCTAAGTATCAGGAATGGCCAGAGAAGTCCAGCAATGTCACCTTCCTGACATCAGTGTCATGTAGCAGCAATATCAGTGTCAGGAAGGTGAATCTGCCCCACTGCATAAATTTATATAAGCTTAAATGGTTTTCAAACAGTGCATTTATTCCTCTTGTGTGAATTTAATAGCAGTAAACAGTCCTAGCAATGTCTTACAAATGTAAAAGTAACAAGAATTAGTAATAAGAAACTGCATCTGACCACCAGAAACAACAGAAAGTTGCTAATGTTCTCCCCTTTTCCAGTGAAAATTCAAGATTGCTAACATGAGTTGATGTTAATGCATTCCATAATTACATAAAATATTCATTCTATCCCAGCAAACCTGTTCCAGAAACAATGTCTTGCCCACAAGATTGCTCTGGGTGCAAAATATTGGACAAAAGACATAATTTGGGAAATTGTGCACTCCAGTCCCCCCCCCCGTGTGGTAGAACAGGAGTCCTGATGGCTGAAACCACAATGTTTCAAAGTTCAAAGTCGCGCTCTTGTTTTACTGTTTCTGTTCCTAAGGACAAATATAAACAGTGACTGTAAATAATGCTAAATGAATAAAAATTACAAGCAGTTCAAATGTTTCACCAGATTGCAAGCTACTACAAAGACCCATTCTTGCTACACGTAACTGAAGCATTTTAATTTTTTTATGTTGGCTTCATGCTCTTGTTCCATTATATGGTCTATGAGTCTAAGGCTCACCTTCAGTACCACAAGCAGTTATGGTATTGGGCACAGAAGAGGTAGACAAGTTAAGGGCTGAACTGGTATTGATTGATGATGCAGAGAGAGCTATTGTAGCCTTTGCTTCAACTTCTGTAATTATTTCCAGTGTCCCAAACTCAGTTAAACGAAACTGCAGGGAAGAAAAAGTGAATGGAGTAAACATGTAACAAAAGAGCCTTTTGAAGGAAAGGAAACAGTATATGAGAGTCAACAAGGAAACAAGGTAGACTGGAGTAAAAAGGAACTAATAGCAAAGAAAATGCATTAAATACTGCATTGACAATAATCTCTAGGGCATCGTTAGTACAGCACAGACACAGATTAAATGAGTACTCATTTCTTTCAATGTACATACAGAAAGACATCATCGGTAAACATGATTCAGACCTATGAAACATATAAAAATATAATGAGGAATGATTACATACACAGTCTAAGATCTACAAAACTATAGTGCTGTTTGAGGGAGAGTAAGCACTCCTTAATAATGTTATCTGCTTAGAGTCAAAATCTAAAAAGTGAAAACCATGGTTGCCAGTATCTGCTGCTTTGGAGGGATGTCTCAGCACATCAAGCTGGTACTGGTATACACCTATAGTGCTAGAGCACCAACCCCCTAAATGGTTCATGCAATTATAACCTAGAAGGAGAATGTCTCTGAACAGTTCAGGAAGTGATGTGTACATTATTTGAATTTCAAAAAAAGCAAGGTACATGGGTACTAGTAAACATTTCTGCTGTATCATCCAGTTTATGTTTATTCAGTCCCCATAAGCACTTAACCAGTATCTGCCACAATTCACCAAACTATTCAACAGACAGGGTACAATACCAGTTAGTGGTAAACACCAAGACTGATATCCGCTAGTAGAGTAGACCCAATAAAATCAATGGCCTTAAGCAATTTCAATGGGTCTACTCAAAGTATGGGACGCGGGTGGCGCTGTGGGTTAAACCACAGAGCCTAGGACTTGCTGATCAGAAGGTCGGCGGTTCGAATCCCCGCGATGGGGTGAGCTCCCATTGCTCGGTCCCTGCACGTCAAAAGTGCAAGTAGATAAATAGGTACCGGTCTGGCGGGAAGGTAAACAGCATTTTCGTGCGCTGCTCTGGTTCACCAGAAGCGGCTTAGTCATGCTGGCCACATGACCCAGAAGCTATATGCCGGCTCCCTCGGCCAATAAAGCGAGCTGAGCGCCGCAACCCCAGAGTCGGTCACGACTGGACCTAATGGTCAGGGGTCCCTTTACTTTACTCAAAGTATGACTTCGCTGGTAAAGGTAAAGAGACCCCTGACCATTAGGTCCAGTCGCGGACGACTCTGGGGTTGTGGCCCTCATCTCGCTTTATCGGCTGAGGGAGCCGGCGTACAGCTTCCGGGTCATGTGGCCAGCATGACTAAGCTGCTTCTGGCGAACCAGAGCAGCGCACGTAAACGCCGTTTACCTTCCCACTGGAGCGGTACCTATTTATCTACTTGCACTCTGATGTGCTTTTGAATTGCTAGGTTGGCAGGAACAGGGACCAAGCAACGGGAGCTCACCCCGTCAAACCGCCAACCTTCAGATCAGCAAGCCCCTGGGCTCTGTGGTTTAACCCACAGCACCACCCGCACCCTTATGACTTAGCTGGATATCACCCTAAGTCCCAATGAATTCAGTGTGAAATATTTAAGCATGTACCTAACTATCCAACTGAAATCACTGATGTCAGAAGGGCTTCTTTTTGACTGGATGTTGCTCACAGTACACTTGCATCTCCATGTATTTAGAGATTCACCCATTACAGAGGGCAGAACAGTATTTTAAAACACATAAAAAGGACTATAATGCAAGACCCTTAAAAAACAAGTGAAGATTTGTTAAGCATTCTTAAGCATTTTATAAATAAAATATTTTATCATTTGTTTTGTAATCAAATTGAGCCATTCTTACAAATCCGAGGATAATACAGCATTGTTTTTACTTGACTGAGAAAAAATGCAAACCAGCCAACGTGCTGATCAATAATTATAGATTGTCACACCTATGTTGTTACTTTTTAAATGGAAGAGCAACAAAAGAATGATCTAAGTGTATATAGACACAAACGTAGGTGGTTACAATGTGAACCTCACTACAGTTGTTATGTCTCATTAAAGGCAAGATGATATGACTACGGCTGGGTGATATCAGCTTTTCAACATTGTGGTGTATCACTAGCCAAACATTGTGGTTTGGTGACATACTGCAATGTTGGAAAAACAAGCTGCATAGGCCTCTGCCCGTGAGGCACCTGGTGAAACTGCCCCAGCTATCTCCTCAGGAACTGAGGTGGATTCACCCAGGCGCTCATGGGCTGGGACAATGCAGTTTGCTTGCGCAACTCAGCTAGGCAGGGGACAGCTTCCCTCTCCCCAGCTGAGACAGCCCTCAGTCGAGCAGTTTAAAGATGGAGAGGGAGGGAAAGTTTCTCCCTCTGCATTGTATGAGGGCAGAGTGTGATGGCAGTTTCACTCAGCAATATATCACTGGTGAAACTGCCACCACTCCTGAGTCCCTCTGCTAGCAGTGCCACTGGAGGCAGGAACTCTAGTGGACACTGGTAGCAGAGAGACTCAGGAGCGATGGCGGTGCCCCCAGAGATATACCACTAAGTGAAGCTCCTCATACCGGTCCTGGGAGATATATTGATATATCGCCAAGGCCTAGATATGACATACTGGGCAGACTTTCATATTGATGATGAAGTAGTGGTTATTTTATTAGAACATTACTCTTGGGGGGCATGTAATTTGTATCTTTAAAAATCATACCAACAATGACTGACAAATTTTCTGATTGCAATGTTGCCCATTCTCAATTTCTGAAAAGAGAGAATTCAAATCATCTTTAAAATCACACCCCATGGGCTATGTGCCCACACTAGAACCCAAGAGAGGAAAAGAGAATAAAAGATCAGGGGTAAGGAAAATGCCCTCTGAGCATGATGCAACACAGTTATTACTTCACAGGGTCTTCATCCTTAAAGCTATTTATCATATTAAATCCTTCAATAGTTTATAGCACTTTGAGATTTTTAAAAAGACAGCTAACACATTTAATTAAAAAATAAATAAATAACATTATGGAGATCAGTTAGCAGGTGGGATGGGGATAAATCTGTAATGAAAAAGTCTGTATAAAAGAGGCATTCCAACAAACCATATTTGCCTAAAACTCTCAAATTAGATGCAGATTAACTGCAAAGTTGAGCTATTCTCTCCTCCCAAAAGCTGGAGCTAAGGCCCTGTTCCTCAACAGGTGGCCCACAAGCCAAACCAGTCTTCAGACCAGCCTCTCTGATCAGTACAACCAGCCACAGTTTCTTCTGCTCTCCTTCCTATTGTCACCATGCAATTCTCTGTTGTCCTTTTGGCTGCCAGCAACCAGCCTTGGGTTCCAAGTTTTCTTATAATACACAGGTGTGTAAGGAAACATCTTGGTAGAGGCTTAGATGTCACCAGGTCCAGACAACGTAACGCAGTTATTTTTTTCCCTGCTGCAGTTTTTTTCTACTACAGTTATTATTCTGCAGTCTAATACTGGTACCCAAGGAGTCACGGCTAAGAAGAGAGCTTTCCTCTGTGTCACAAATTAGTTAAAACAGGGTGATTATCTTTAGTAAGTGTACTTATGTGGCTGAAAATATATTAAAGTAGTTCTCTGTTTTGGTGCATAATCAGTGAGTTATACTTCTTCACTGACATTTTGTTTCCAGAAACTCCAGATTCACTGCATAGCAGGAAAAACAAATAGCTAAATCAGCAGGCAAGCAGAAATCTCAGCAAAATTTAACTTAGTTTGGTGATGGCATCTCAAGTTTGCTTTTGCCACCAGAGCTCCAATTACCGTAATGCCAGAGGGCAATACATTTCACAGCACGTCTTTTCTCTACCCTGACAAAAGAACATTTGGTAACTCTTACTAAGTTAGGGCCTTTGCTTACCCTATCCCTTATATTTTTTCCTTACTTGTATGTTGCTACCCGGCAAGGTGGCAATGCCGTCTTTCCAGTCTAAGGCACCCATTACATCGAAGTCTGCAGTCTGGGCGATGGCTGGTTTTTTCTCCGATATATTCTGTTCCATCTTTCAGCTTAGTCTTTGATTTTTTTAAAAAAATTAAGAAACAAAACTAGGCTTGAAAACAAAACAAAAAGGCACAGAATCAACAGGCCAGTTGTGTACATTTTATGAACAATTTTAGGGAGGGGGGAGGCTTTGAAACATGAAAAAATGTCATCCTTCAATAAGGTGCATCTTCACACTGAAGCAATTGGTGTAAAAGAAACAGAGTGTTTTGTGACTTAACTGTGTGCTGCCTACCTGCGTATTTGTACAGTTCTTACCTTATTGTGAGAGAAGAGGTCTCTATACTTAATTTTTTTAGGAAATAGCCATGACTTAAAGAAAAATCATAGGCTTTGCCGAGAGAAGGTCTGTGACATCTCAGAGGAAGTATCAGAACCCAGGAAGCTGCCTTATACTAGTCAGACTATTTGTTCATTGAGCCTAGCACTGTCTGCTCTGACTAGCTGCAGAGTTCTAGGCAGACGACTATCACATCACCTGCTATTTCATCTTTCTAAATGGAGACTTGTGGATTGTACCAGGGACCTTGTGCTCTGCCACTGTACTACGGTCCCTCCCAAATCTCTAGTTAAAAGGCTCTCAAGCAGCAGGCCTGAAAAAATCACTGCTTGTTATCTAGATGAGGAATTGCTGTCAGGGTGACAGTGCTGGGATAGTTGAACAGTTGGTCTGACTTGGTATAAGCAGATCCTTATACCTGTACTACTATTACTGTTGTTGTTGTTAAGTCATTTCTATACCACAAACACATATAAAAACATATGCATGTGGTGTAGAGAATATCAATTAAAACCAAAACAAAATAACAAAATCAAGCAGAATGCATTAAAGAAATGGGTTTACAAAATGGTTCATCTGACTATAAATCATGACATGAAAACTATATATCTTTTTCATAAGGCGGCTTGCTGAAATAACCAAGACTTAAGCTGACACTCAAAGTTCATTACTGACTATGCTGACTTCATTATGTTAGGTAGAGTGTTCTATAATGCTGGTGCTCCCATGCTAAATGCATAATTTGTTGAGGTCAGCTAGGCACCACCAAATGATTGTAGATTGGGCAGAAGTATAAGGAAATATTTTAAGTACACTAGCCCCAAGTGTACTTAAGGAGGCAGTGGAAGACAGGAGTGCCTGGCGTGCTCTGGTCCATGGGGTCACGAAGAGTCAGACACAACTAAACAACAACAGCCCCAAGTTACTTAGGGCTTTATATACTATTAGTAAGATTTGAATATAGTTGGTAGCAAATGCCTTGAAACAGCTGGGCCTCAGAATTCTGTATCATCTGCAGCTTCTAAACTAATCTCATGGGTAGCCCCTTACACCAAGTGGATTATAATAGTCTAGGTTATCAGTGCTTGAATTCCCATAGTCAAACTACCCTGTAATTGGAAAGTAAAATAATAAAATACATTTTTTTCTTGCTGATTCAGAAAGGTCATATTGCTCACAGTGGCCAAAACAGCATCACTGACCATATTATATGTGTGGGAAACAAAATAGCTTTGACCATATTATTGCAGAAGTGTTTTTCACACAATAAAATGAACAAGGGTTCCGAGACGTATTTTGTTTTTATTAAATAATTAATAAAACTTATTTTTTTAGTATTTTATAACCACAGATAAACACCCTTCTTGTTTTTAAAACCTAACAAGTTCATGATTAGCCCATTCTACAAAAAAAAGTATGATACATGTGTTAGTTGTGGTTTGCGTGCTATGGCTTATCAAACCTACCAAGGTACGAAATGACTAAAGTTCACTTTGAATGGTCGGTGACCCTTTTCTGTGGCACTTAATACCATTTGATACCTTAGTTTCAAAGAGACAAAAATTAGCTTTATTTTGATACCAAAATAAGCCCAATTGGTTTAAAAATAAGCGAAACGGGAGGTTTTTTTTCTAAACTGACACAGAAATTGCATTAGCCTAAATCACATGAAAAAAAATTTATTAAAATTTCTCCAATTTTGGACCAAAAAATATTTTAAAAATAAAAAAGGTTATCTCATAGGTATCTCTACACATTAATTTTTTTTGAAGAAAATCTGAGTCGTCAGAGCACATGGCACCAGGTGATTTGGCATGGAATGACCCCCTACTGAACATCTTCCAATATCACAGTGAACACTCACATTATAGAGAGCTTATAACCCAGCTACGCTCAGTAGCCAGAAGCCTCACAGTCAGACACTGGAGAGACCTGTCAGGGGTGAACAAGGACCAGTGGGAAACAGCCTTACTAGAAAAGCTAACCAATAATCTGAAACTGACACAGGGACAAATAGAAGAGGATGTCTTCACCCCAGTATGGCTCCCCTGTTTCACGTACAAAACCAAACAAGAACCCACCAACAGCATGCGAATCAATTTGGCTTACTTGACCCAACAAGGCCATCCCGCCTCACAAAGGCAAGCAAACCCCATTGCAGCCAACTAACCATACCCTGGGCCCCCAACCTCTCTCACTACCAAGGAAACGTAACAAGCGAACAGAAAGAGAAGCTATCTAGAAAACACTAATATCCCATAACAAATGTAACTGATATGTAGAAAAGACTGTACAACTTGAGAAAAGAGGCATGTACTTTTGTAAACCAAGAAAAACTTTAATAAAAATAGATAAACTTCAGTAAGTCTACTTTACGTAACAGTGAATACTACTCTTAGATTCTTTTCAGATATGCCTCCAACTATAAATAGGGATGGAAGAGTATGGGAATAATGGATATACTGGTCTCTATTTCAGATTTTTGAATAAACAAAGCAAGAACTTGTGCATATTTGCACAAACTTCAATTTTATAGCTCACGGATAATTGTGTTATGTGGGGAGCCAACAGGAGTTCCAGCTATATTTTTATTCACTTCCCCCTAACAGCTGTTTCATGCTGCAGAATAAAGGCCCTCCAATTCTATAACATAATGGGAACTTTTGTTGGATTACTTTAATAATTACATAGCTTTTCCACAAAAAATACATTAAATTATGTAATACTTCTAACATTTAACAATGAAGGTTAAAAAAACATATACCTTTGCAGAGAATTTTTAACCATTTTCCTCCTCAAAACTATGCTAGACTAATCTAGGCAGGAAAATATTGACAGTCAATTCAGTTCAACCCATAACCAGTGAAAACAAATTGCTCTGGGGAAATCACACTGCCATTTCATTTGTATGGTTCTTTTAAAAAAACAATACAAGACAAAACAATCCATTGGCAGAACTTCATGCCATTTGATTTAATAAAGGAAACCTTTTGAGAGGCAATAAGTCGGTTGCCTTGAAGAATCATTTATGATTCAAGCTGCTATAGTGAACTCTCTGATTAACTCCTTTGTGGACACACAGTTAAAACAGTCACAGCAAATAACTCCTTAATAAGTCAAGCAAGTACCACCTCCAGCAAGGGCATCTGAAGGCATCACACTCCATCCTGAGGCAGGCGAAGTTTCTTTAGGATCACTTCCAGACTACCTGTTTATTACACATTCATCCTATACTGCTTCCTGTCACCTGATTGTCATCCTGTATTTTCTAGTCCAGCTTGTTGTGCCAGAGTGCTTTAATCCACTTCCATAGTGCAAACCTAAATGTTTTCTTTAATGTACATGAAAACGTGTTATAGTCTGTAGGGTTTTTTTTATTTCACACTAACTTGAGATATGAATTCATCTAAGAGATTTGTACTTTACTAAAAAAGTAAAATAAACAATTTAGACTTGTAATTATAGACCAGTCATATGAACAGTCAATGCCACCAGCAAACAAACCCTTCCTCACAAGTTATTTACAAAGATTCCAGCACCTGAGTAATTGCTGTTGCTTTTAAGCTTAGAAAACTACCGGTACCTTCCTGCTGCTCTTTCATGGCAATTTTTGTTTTATATACAAAATTTTCGAACACTCAAATTCTGCTTTTAACTGTTACCTAATTTAATAGTTAATAGCTCATAAATAAACACTGCATAAATAAATACTGTTACAGCTGTTAAATACTTTCTAGTCCCTTGTCTCTCCAAAAAAAGTCACTCGCAAGGTACAGTTCATATACTGTTCCTCACTCTGCCTCATTCTTGTCCTTTGCCTTGTGTCTCAGCCTTGCTATTCACTTCTGTGTCCACATCAGCTTAACCTATGGGCTGCATTTGGAGAAATGGTATTATCTAACTTCCCTAGATGCTGTCCTTTTTTTCTGAACGATGAGGTACACAGTCAGGGTCAGGGAATGCTCCTGGACCCAGCACTGTCTAGGGAGATGCAACTGATGGAGGTTGCTTGGGCTGGTTTTGCAACCATGGCCTTACCTAGGGAAGACTGACCTAGCCACAGATTTAAATCTTTTAAATAAATGAATGAAACACTAGCCTTTGATTTACAACAGCAATACCATTATATTGTGCTATTATAAAACAACATTTATACAATAAACCTAGTTCTATGGGTAGGGGAAGCATAAGCATCTCTCACATTAAAATACAGTACTGTACAAGTTGTCAACACTTTGAAGGTCTTTCCTCTAAGTTAACAGTTAGCCATCTGTTCAGTGGTGTACCATATGATATGTGAACTCCTCATGTACATCAATTCTAATCTGAAATGGCAATTCACATGCAGAAGTCTGTTTCTGACTGCCCTTGATGGGCATAGTGTATCTTTATATTCAACAAAACAACAGGAAAACACCTGTGGTGACAGTTTCATGCAGGGGTTCTGTTCCTGGCCATCGCACACATTAGTGAAGCACAAACAAGCCCACCCTGCCCCACTGTGCTCCATCCCCACTTCACAACTCCCGTTATGCCCCCATTATGCCCTCTTCCAAAAGGACCCATGGATCAGGGATTGAGCATCAACTGGACACGAGCAAAATTGTTGCCATCTGTATTACTAACTGCTCATTATACAACATAATCCAAACTTACAAAACAGTTGGCATACTTAATCAAACCACTAGCACATCTAATGGCCAATATTATCTTCCTCCATGTGCTGATAGTATCTAAGGATATATCTTAATGCATAATCTGTCAAACAGATATTCCCAGCTATGAGAATGGCATCGGAGAGTGCCGGCCGTACCGTGCTCTGCGACCCAGTGTCCTGCCACTTGCACCTTGATGCAAGTCGGCATTCTCGGACAATCTGCAGGTCTACGAAACAGTCCTCCCCCAACATGGGGAGTCTGCCAGAGCTAATTACTCCCATATCAGCCCTGAATTACCAGCACAGCTGGGGTCCAGTTGTATGGGAGTCAGCCATTTCCCACTGCCGGAAACAGGAAGCTCTCCTTTTACATTATCTTAACATTACATGCACAAATTGTTAGAAGCGGATCAAACATGAAGGCTTCCTATCAACTCTCTTGCGGTAGCTCTATGCCAGCTCAGTGGGCAAGGTTTTCCTAGGATCAGTACTGTACAATGTTGCCAGCTCATGCTACATACATTGATAAAAAGAGACTTAGTGGCATCACCATCAATTCGGGAACTTCCTGTACTGTCAAAGGTGGTGCTGAAGAGGAACTTTTGAAGAAACATGCAAAGTAATGATGGAGTGATTTCCCGCTTTTATTTGTAGTATCTTAACTAATAACATAGAGGGACGCGGGTGGCGCTGTGGGTAAAAGCCTCAGCGCCTAGGACTTGCCGATCGAAAGGTTGGCGGTTCGAATCCCCGCGGCAGGGTGCGCTCCCGTCGCTCGGTCCCAGTGCCTGCCAACCTAGCAGTTCGAAAGCACCCCCGGGTGCAAGTAGATAAATAGGGACCGCTTACTAGCGGGAAGGTAAACGGCGTTCCGTGTGCTGCGCTGGCTCGCCAGATGCAGCTTGTCACGCTGGCCACGTGACCCGGAAGTGTCTGCGGACAGCGCTGGCTCCCGGCCTCTAGAGTGAGATGAGAGCACCCTAGAGTCTGGCAAGACTGGCCCGTACGGGCAGGGGTACCTTTACCTAACTAATAACAGGAACATCTGGGGGGGGGATTCTTATGGCAGAAGGCTTTGATGATCTGGGCCATGGATAGGCAAACTAAGGCCCGGGGGCCAGATCCGGCCCAATCGTCTTCTAAATCCGGCCTGCGCATGGTCCAGGAATCAGCGTGTTTTTACATGAGTAGAATGTGTCCTTTTATTTAAAATGCATCTCTGGGTTATTTGTGGGGCCTGCCTGGTGTTTTTACATGAGTAGAATGTGTGCTTTTATTTAAAATGCATCTCTGGGTTATTTGTGGGGCCTGCCTGGTGTTTTTACATGAGTAGAATGTGTGCTTTTATTTAAAATGCATCTCTGGGTTATTTGTAGGGCATAGGAATTCGTTCATTCCCCCCCAAAAAAATATAGTCCGGCCCCCCACAAGGTCTGAGGGACAATGGACCGGCCCCCTGCTGAAAAAGTTTGCTGACCCCTGATCTAGGCTAACAGCCAAGGTGGCATATAAGGGGATACTGCAATGTAATATAATAATAGTAACATACTTTTTCCACATTGACAAGCCATATCTCTAACTATGGTAATACATCATTTTTATGCAATGGTAGCCACTGAATATAGTCAAGGTCATGACCTCTCCATGTTTAGCAGAAAAGGTTATCATGGAGTTTCTGTCAAGGGCAATATATTGAAATGAAGCCTGCAACATCTGTAACAGAATATTGTGAAGGAACAATCTTTCTTTAGAGACAACAGCCTGCTGCTTGAAAGATGAAGATATATTTAATGAGATTTAATGGGTCTATTCTCCTTTTAAAAAAACTATAAAATGCTCTCTGTATGCTACAGAATTTCCGGCATATCACAATTGATCTTGTTTCTATTATTTTCCTTTTGCACCCTTCTCTTTCACAAAGATAGGGATCAACATTTTGCTCCAATGCAAATAGCAGGCATTTTAAAGTCAGCTGCCCCTACCCCGAATAAAGAGTTTGCCTCAAGCCAGAAATAGAAACCTTTGATGGCTACCTTGCTTGCAAACAACATGCTTTCTTCTCAAATGCCTCAGTAGGGTTGTTTATATTGTTTATCTAGTAGCAGACTGCCTGTTTGAACTTATGATCTGAAAATACCTTTCTTTTCAATAAAGACCTGCATAAATTCTTTTTCTGTTCTATTCTAGTCATCCTTTTTTTCTGTACCCCACAACCTCCACTTCCTAAAAATGGGAATATCAGTGAAGAAAAATATACTAGGTGACCAGGGCACGGTGCAGTGATAAAAGAAGAACTGATAGTGCAGCCAATTTTTTCAGTTTGCCACTAGAAAGGCAACACATCATAACCTTATTTTCACTGCTGAAAAAGGAGATAATACCTACAATACTCAGTTTGCTAACAGAATGACTCACAAGCTTTTCCATTATGATAGTCATACTCACACTTATGCTAAACGTTATAAACACGTTATATAAACTGCATGTTATAAACACATGCAGAAGTAGTTGTTCGGACACAAACTGCATCTGACCAACCCTGTAAAACAGAGGTGGGGAACCTCAGTCCTGGGGGTCAATTGCAGTCTTCCAGGCCTATCTGGCCCTCAAGACTCTCCCTAGGCCATGAACCCACCCACCCCACACCCTTTCTAGTCCTGCTATGCACCTTCTTAAATGTTTTTATCTGGCCTGTAATGTGTTTGAACTGTTATAATTAATGAAGAATGGAGAGGTGTGTGTTGTATGGGTGTAAAACTTTGACTTTGACATGGCTGGAATGTAGCCAAACGGTACAAAAGTAAAAGTGACAGACCACTTTTGCTTCTACCTGTGCCCACCACTGGCATGTGACCCCAGAAGGTTTCATACAAATGAATATGCCCCTCAGACTGAAAAGGGTTCCCCATTTCTGATGTAAGCATTGGCTTTTTGTATACAAATCTACATGGGACTTTTCATGCCCTTACAGTCAATGCATACAGTGTACATTGGATGGCACACAATTGCCGTATTTTTTGCACCATAACACTCACTTTTTTCCTCCTAGAAAGTAAGGGGAAATGTCTGTGCGTGTTATGAAGGGAATGGCTATGGGTGGCGGGGGGGGGGGGATCTGCTGCAGTCCTGAGCAGAGGATCCATGGTTCCCCTTCCTTCCCTCCTCCGTGGCTCGCTTTGAAACAGCAAAGCGGGAGAAGAGCCGCTGAGTGGGGAGGAGAGAGGGACAGAGAGCCTGCTTCTTTAAAGGAGCAAAGCTGGAGAGGAAAGGAGCCGCTTACACAAGTGTAAGCGGCTCCTGTCCGGTTGGCTCCTTTAAAGCAAGCAGGCTCTCTGTCCCTCTCTCCTCCCCACTCAGCTCGCTACATAGCAGCAAAGTTTTTCAGCTCGCTAAGCCGGGGATGAGGAGGAGGGAGAAAAGCAGAGCCTGCTTGCTTTAAAAGAGCAAAGTGGGAGAGGAGAGGAGCCTTCTCCCCTTAAACCCCTCTTCTGCATTATTAGCAGCATCCTTCTCCACCCACCCCACGCATGTTCCTTCTCCCCTTATACCCCTCTTCTGCATTATTAGCAGCATCCTTCTCCACGCACCCCACGCGTGCTCCTTGTCCTTTGAGTGCTTTCCCTTCCCTCCCCACTTAAAACGTGGTTACAAAGCACGGATCCACATAGATCCTCAGGATTTTTGCTCTGGGTCACCCCAAATTCACCATCAGATCACATAGCATGTCCATGGCTACATCTTGCACCAAAAAAATCACGCATCCACTGTTGCCTGGGGCCACAGTGGTGCAAAAACGTGGTTACAAAGCATGGATCCACATGGATCCTCAGGATTTTTGCACTGGGCTACTCCAAACTCACTGTCAGATCACATGTCTGTGGCCACAGCATGAACCAAAAAACTCATACATCCACTGTTTCGTTTAGAATATTTTTGTTCTTGTTTTCCTCCTCTAAAAACTACGTGTGTGTTATGGTCGGGTGCGTGTTATAGAGCGAAAAATACGGTAATATGACAAAGGTGGTTGTGGGAATTAGGTGTGAATGAGAAGCCTAGTCATATGCATTACGGAAATTTAATCAGTGGTATTGGGAAGAAGTAATCAAGTAATCCAGCATTAACCAGCTTCACACAATTATTATTTCACTCTGGTCACAATCATTTCATCTTTGCCAACTGCAGGTTAAAATGTAAGTTAAGAGAATGGCCAGTTGGTTATGATGATCAGTGTTTCAATCAACAGTAATTCCCTTAACATTGTTTTATTACCACAAAAATTATTACAAAAGTATTGGCTTATTCCTGAAACTTGTGTTTTAAGCAGCTGTCACAACCAGGTAATATTTACAAGGCGCCTTAATGAACGGACACTTCCTGATTTTAGTGAAAGCTACAAATGCCACCAGAAAATACCCTAAAAAACCTGCCATCTCCAATTTAGACATTAACACGTTTATCATGGCTAAAAGATTATTGGGATACAAATCAGCCAGATAAAAACCATCATCCTGTAGCATAAGGATGTAAAGTCTAGAAAGGTTAAACAAGAAGTATGTGTGTAAGGAGCTAAAAGATTCCATGGCAGCTGATCAGCAGTTAAGGATAGAAGTTAACCAACTTTTAATGGTTTGGATAGAAGTGGAACAGAGTTTGGGAATTTTAAGAACAAAATGTGAACAGTGTATAAACATAGTTTGCGACAGGAGGCAGTGTGATTAAGTTGCAAACCTAAGAGCAATTGTTATTTTGGAAATATTACAGGACTTCTGTTGGTAGAAATATATGCATTACTATGCATATTTCACTGCCCTTGACATTTTAATATCACATAATTAAAATGCTGAAATTTAATAGTATTCTTTGATGCGCACCAAACTTGTTTGTCTACCTTATCAGAAGTGATCAAACATTAAGGTTAAGGGATGACTTTCACTTACTAACATACTTCAGAAACAGACAGGTTTTAATTTGAAAGCAAGTTAGTAACACAAAAGTATGTTTCTTTCCGGACAATAAGAACGTAAGAGTACTGATTTAGGCATGTCATAGCCCACTAAAATCAATGAGATTAGGTGCACAAAACTCAGTTATAGGATTGGGCTATGCTACACCAAAAACTAAAACCATGGGTTAACACATAGTTGAACACCACATTCTCTTATTATTTCATCTAACTGATGTGCTAACATAACCTTATATTCAGTCCACTTAAAATAATTCTAAGATTGGAAGGTCATTATAACTCTTTATCCAAAGTTCAGTTGTACTATTTTGAGTAAGGGAACAAAGTTCTTTGCTCTACCCCTAGGTCTGAAGGTCTTTCTGACCCAATATAACTACTGACAATCATGTCGCTTATGATAGGTTGAGATACTTCAGGCTACCTGGAAGCCCTTTCTGAGCCTACTGAACCAACAACCAACTTCCCAGCCACCAGTAATGACAATATCTTTATCTCGTCATAGAGATATGAGTAAAATAACCAGCTACTACAGTAGCCTTAATAATGTAACCGGGTAAAATACATTTAAGTGAGAAATATGCTTATTGTCCATGATAACAACTGAATGTAATATGCTCTCCATGATAACAACTGAATGTAATGTGCTCTCATGTACATCCCATTAAAATTAACACTGTCATTTACTTCGGCAATAAAAGATAATATCATTCATAAAGCAAGAGATTCCTGCTAATCAGAGCAAATGAAAAGCAACATGCACTTTGACAATTTATACTGGAATTCTTTGGCGCTTCAAATATAGAAACCATATCTATATTTTACAAAAATCATATTTTACAAGTAGTCAGTTTTGGAAGGAAACATTTGCAGATTGAGAAATTACTCAGTTCAATGATGTCCACATATATATGTTGGTTGTTCATCCAATTTATTTCTGAGGGAAAACTGGCACTCCTTTACTGGCAATAACTGTTAGTTTCACCCATATACCCATCTCTTTTGAGTTATACATGTAATTATTTTGCTAGAACTCTCTCACTAGGTTCCAAGGCCATTCTTTTGATAATTTATGATTTGTACATATTAAACATTCCATTGCCCATCAACAGATGAAACATGGTTTTTCCTAGTCACATCATCAGAAAAAGCATAAAAGATAGATAAGAGAAAAAAGTTAACCTGACAGGAAGTATGAGTTGTTTATCACAAATGCCCATTATCACGTAACAAGTTTCCACCACTGTATACATTTCCATTTTTGCTTATGAATAACTTGAAGGTGCTGATACAATAGCAATATAATGTTATATTAGAAATTGAACACAAAGCCTCATCTCTCTTTCCATTCTATCCTATGCATGTTAACTGGGAAATAAGCTTATTTCCAGATAAGCACATAAAGGGCCAAAGCCATACAGCACAATCCAATGTAAGTCTACTCAGAAGTTAAATGAGACTTCCTCCCAGGTAAGTGTGTATAAGGATTGCAGTGTCTCTGTCTTTCAGCTTTTGCAGTGGGGGTAGGAAGGAAACCTGTGGCCCCCTATACACTGTTGGACTCACATCAACCCCAGCCAACATGGCTGATGTCAGAAATAATGGAGGATGCAAGCTCCCCATCCCTGTACTACACAGTCCAGTATTCCATTCTTCTAATGTTTGACAAATATGCTACAAAATAAAAAAATCCATTATTCTCAAGAATAATTCACTGACAAAAAAAAACAACTAACACTGAAACGATACTTCTAACGTCTCCAAAATAATGGGAAATAATCTGAAATGATGAAATTATCATACAGCATACTATGTGAGGGCTATGAACAAAGGATGACCACATTACGATGTGCTGACTGAACACGCAGATACATAGTAACTTGTTTCAGACAGAACGCTAAGCTATTATTTGTTTAGCTTAATTCTGACTTGTTTGTACATTCAAACCCAACTAAGCTCACCAACTATGATCTGAAACCATGGTCGGAAGGTAACTTGCGTATTTCACTATGAACATGGATTCTAGGAACATGCTTCCTACCATCAATACGTGGGGGAGGGAGGGAAACTTAACATAGCTATAGTTAAATAACCAAACTTTTATCAGACTAGTGTCTAATCAATCCATGGCCCCATCCAGAGAACTCTGCAACTAACTTTTCTAAATTGTAGCTACCTGCACCAACTTGCAACACAGGCTCCTCCTACACATGTACTATTGAGCCCATCCTACAAGTGAAAAAGTTTTTATCTTAATTCTGAAATCAAATTTTCTGCAGTATGCCCTGGAATATCAGTAGCTGGGCATCACAAAAAGAGAGTGTTGTCACACTTAGGTCCTGTTTATGCGCTTCTCATAAACATCTGGTTGGCCAGTGTGAACAGGATTCTGGACTACAGTGGTGCCCCGCAAGACGAATGCCTCGCAAGACGGAAAAACCGCTAGACGCAAGGGTTTTCCGTTTTGAAGTTGCTTCACAGGACGAATTCCCCTATGGGCTTGCTTCGCAAGACGAAAATATCTTGCGAGTCTAGAGATTTTTTTCGCTTTTCCCCCTTTATCTAATCTGCTAAGCCTTTAATAGCCTTTAATAGCCTTTTAGCAGCTAATCCCTAAGCCTTTAAGCCTTTAATAGCCGCTAAACCGCTAATAGCGCTAATAGCGCTAATCCGTCAATGGGCTTGCTTCGCAAGACGAAAAAACCGCTAGACGAAGACTCTCGCGGAACGGATTAATTTCGTCTTGCGAGGCACCACTGTAGATGGACCTTTGGCCTGATCCAGCAGGGCTGTTCTTATATTCTTTCAATGAAAGTCTCAGGGGGAACCTCTGCACAGCTCTTTGTGCCATAGGCCACAAGGAACACTGTATTCCCCCACCCCACCCCTTCCCACAGAATCAGGAAATACACAAACAGGCAATTCTACCAGCAAAATCAATTTACTGTACTGATTCTGTTAGCACAGGCTATTCACATGGGCAGAAACAATAGGGATTGAAGGGTGGGAATAATGTCCTGCTAGAATGGCCTTTGCTCCTTACTATTTCCCTGTATACATCTCTCTACCTGCTATTATCCCTTGCAACTCTAATTCTTATACAATTATTTCACCACACTATAACTTCTACATGCATGTAAACCCATTCATTGCAAGAATGATTTCTACAGGATGAGAGTGAAGTTCAAGAAAAGTTTAGTTACACCTGATTTTTGTCATAGCCCTGTAACTACTTGCCAAAGAGTGCCAATTGAGGCTCCTTAAGAGGAAATGGCCACAATGCAAATGCACATGTATGAGCATTTAAGCCCCATAGAAATTAAGGATTTGATTTCACAGAAGCTCTATACTGGAACATGGTCAAGTATTTCAAAACATAGTATGATTTTGGCTGAAAACATATAGTTCTAAAATTCTTACTAAAGATCTTTGCAAGAAAGAAAACAGCTTTCCTGGCCTATCTCCTGCTTTAATGTAATTCATTTTGAATGTACACTTAGGGAGTGTAAAGGTACAATTAGAGGTTTTATTCTGCTATATATTAACTCCCAAAGGGACTACAATGGTTTCAGCAGAGCCTGCTGAAGATTATTGACTTCTTCCACCAAAACTCAATAATCCTGCCAAGACAGGATTAAGCACTCAAAGTGCTTAGAATATATTTTCTCAGTAATCTTTACAATAGCCTTGTAAAGTACACCAGTCATATAATCATATTGCAGGAAGGGGGCTAAGAGATAGTGACTTGTATATGACTACATATTAAGTTAGTTGGTGAAATTTGCACCCATTACTTCAGATCCTGCGTTAATGCGACCTTTCTGTGGAATTATCTGGCCTATCAGCAGAGGAGATGGGGATGAGGAATGCATTGCTTATCCTTTCCTGAAATTCAGAAGTGCACAGTGGCATTAGTACAGACTGTTGCAGCTGGCCAGCCAGGATCCACATCTGAGACATCTTCAAGGACAAATTATATATTATATTTTTTGCTGTAAATCTAAAATGCTTTAAGGGTACATATAATGTAATATGTGAAAAATACAACCCCTTGTTTAAAACCATGTTTCATAGTACTGTACACTAATCAAAGAGCCATGCAGAATTGGCTACAGCTCCCTAGAGTATACACTTTGTTGTGAACAATGGGGAGTCCTGTGACACTTTAAAGACCAACAGGTTTATTATGACATAAGCATTTGTGGCCCAGAACTTATTTCATCAATTGCCATTCTCAGCTAGCAGACATACATATATACAGGTGTAAAGAAAAAAAATGTAAACAATAGGACCATTAAATGCCAGAGGTACAATCTGTGACATGTATACTTTTGAGCTCTGCAGTTTGGCCCCACGGTTTACATTTTTTCTGTACACCTCTGCACTAGTCAGATCCCATCTGAAGAACTGTATTCAGTCCTGGACATTGCACTGGAGAAAACAACTCCTGTGAGGAAAGGTTGAAGAAACTGGATATGTTGAGCCTAAAAAAGAGAAGATGGAGGGAGAAAATGATAGCACTTTTCAAATACTTAAAAGGCTGTCGCGTAAAAGAGGACAAAGACTTGTTCTCTGCTCTTCAGAAGGAGTAGATCTAATGGGCTTAAGTTACAGAAGGATAGATTTCAATTACCCATTAGGAGAAACTTCTTAATGGTAAAAGTAGTCGGATAATGGAACTAATTACATGGAGGAGTGGGCAGCTCTCCTCACTGGAGATCTTCAAGACTGGATTGCCCTCTGATTGGGATGCTCTAACTCTGGATTTCCTACAGCGAGCAGCAATTTGGTCTAGAGGGCATGTAAGACTCCCCTCCTAACAGCCCTGTGGCTGTTTGTGCCACATATGCATTATTATCGTGCAAGTAGGAGGAGATGGAGCACCGCTCAGCGAAAGCGCAAGTGCTGCGTGTAGAAGGCCCCAGGTTTCAATTCAAGATCAACAGACAGTATAATCTGACCAGGAATATAGGCAGCTTCCTGGGGTCACAGTTTGCAACAGTTCCATACCACAGGAATAAGACACTCTCTCTCACCCCCCCCCCACATAATAGTTTTCTCTCCATATTTTTTTACACATCAGGCAAATACGGAGGGTGGGGGTGGGATGGAGGGGTAAACAAAACCTCCTGTCACAATAAGTCTTTGAAGATGCCACCGGACATTTGCTGTTGCCTGACTGTGAAACATTAGACACCTCTCAACTTTAAATGAACAAAAACAACCTCCGGGGACTCCAATGGGACTTACTCGCAGGTAAGCAAGGGTAAGCCTAACACAGCCACCCATCAAGACCTTTGTTTTTGTTTTTGGGTGGTTGTGGGGTGGGGAGGCGGAGGTGGTGGGGAGGGGAGAGAGGGGAAACCTCACCCACCCACCCAAGCACAAAGCAGAAATTATGGGATGGGGAAGAAGGAAGATGCGGCGGGTGGCCGGGAGGGGGGGTGGCCAGCTGAAAGGAAAGACAACTTGGCATCCTCTTCAAACTTCCCCACAGGACTTGGGGAGCGCGGCGGTGTCCGAGGCGGCCACAGAGTTAAATGAGGGGAAGGGGCAGTTTCCGAGTCCCGGGTCGAGGTGGGGGGTTGGGAGCCCCCACTCCGTCGCTCGCTCATTTACCTACCGACTCACTCCGATTTGGGGGGGTGCCGGTGTTGAGCGCACTTAATAGGACAGACCCCCCCTTCCTCCTCCTCCTCACTTTCTTCTCAAAATGGCGGGAGGAAGCGCCGCCTAACGGTGTGTGCAGCGCACGCGAAGCGGCGACGGCGACGGGGGGGACGGACGACGACTACAAAAGACGAGGGCCCCCCGCCCCCCCATGCACAAAGTAATCCTCTTTTCCTCCCGTCCCATTCCACCACCCCCCCAAACTGAATTCGAAGTACAAAGAGGGGTTGAGAGCCTCCGCTCTTTCCTTCCTGGCCGACACCCGCCCCCCGCACTCCCCATCTCTTTTCCCTACTCACCTCCTCCCCTCGCTGGACTCTTCTCCTTTAAACTCCCACAACAATTCTTCACCCGCCCCCCCCCTCCCTCCTTCCACTCTTCCCTTACCGGAGCGGTGCTCGGAGCGGCCAAGGCGCATGCGCGTAATAACTGGGGCGGCGCGGGCCGTTCCGGCCGGTTTGTGAGGGAACCCGAGGGGTTGAGGCCCGGAGTGGAGGCGGCGGGGCGCGCGAGCGAGAGGATGAGGGTGGGAGGGGCGCGAGGCTCAGGCGGGAGCGCGCGTATCGGCCGGCTCCTGGGGGGCGGCAGGGGGATGTTTTTGGCAGGCGACTTGGGAGGGGAGTTTTTTTTGCGTGACACAAGTTGCGACACACACACACACACACCCCCCTGAATCTTGTGGGTATGGGGATTCTGGCCCATAGGATGTTGCTGACCTACAGCTCCCATCCTTCCTGCCCCATGGTCATGCTGGCTGGGGCTCATGGGAGTTGGGAGTCCAACAGCATCTTGTGTTGAGAGGGGGGGTGTCCCACACAGGGGTGGCTCGTCCTGTTTGGCCGCCTGAGGCAAAACGGGAAGGTGCCATCGCCCAGTCCTGCCTAAGCCTCACTTACTGGGGTCATGAGGCGGCAGCTTTCAGGGGAGGTCTGGCAGAGATCTGGTGAGATCTCATGCAAGCTACATGAAATCTTGCAAGAGATCAGGAGTGTCGGCTTGGCCCCGCGCCCGTGGGTGCCTGGGGTCGTTGGTGCCATGCACCGTGCATGGCCCTGGCACTGAAATTGTTAATGCCCAGCTCCTTCATGGGGAGTTTTGTGGCACCCAGGGCCCCAAGGAATGGGCACCTATGCAAGAGATCCGCAAGATCTCACAGAAGCCGCCTCTGTGTGACCCCAGCCCATGGGATTCTGCCGCCTGAAGCAGTTGCTTCACGAGCAGGCCGGCTCTGGTTGCAGGTTCGACATCCCTGCTTTCAAGAACAGCAGCTCCTTTTTCAGTTTTTTAATGTGGCAACAGGATTGGTTTAGACCTCTTTCCCCTGGTATTGTATCCACATGCATGTCATACAGTTATGCTTGTGAGTTCTGATGTATTACTTGTCTTTTAAAAGGGTTGGGATTTGATAATGAAGAAAATAACTTGCAGGGTTTATGTGTTCACATCCAACGCCCCTTACCAAATTTGCACCCAAGGCTGTTTTTGCATCTACAGCAGCTTTTATGATTCAATAAGTCTTGTCATGCGGTCATGATTGTCTTGCCACTTTTAATGCATAGTATTTTTGTTATCTTGCCATTTGTTCAAGTTGTTTACCTCCATAATTGGGAACACTTTATTGCTCAGTTATGTCTGAATGCTAAAACAATAACAATATTTTCCCCCAATAAAAAGATTTTTCTCCCATTGGAGTTGTAAGACACATCTATAATGCAGGGAAAAATAAAGCCTCAAGCAGGCCTGAAACTGTTACAATTTAAATGAAAATGGGATCGAAGGAAGATGATACATGAGAAGCTAAATGGCTCACATGAAGTACATGTTAAACTAGTCTTGATTGCTAGAGTGAGATACTTTTAAAACCTGCTATTAAAATTCACTAAACGGGAGCACATATTTTGCCTAATCTGCATATCTGATTTGATGTTAGAATCATAATTCTGCTGATGGTTAGGCAGCACGCTGGTACATTTTAGTTGCAATCCTATACATGGGGGGAAATCCCATCAAATTTAATAGGAATTACTGGCAAGTAAAAGACTAAACAACAACAACAACAAAACATGCATAGCACCACACTGGTGTAACTCATACAACACACAGACACACATATCTGCATGCGCGCGCACACATGTTTATGGTGTCTTCTGCTCTTAAGGCTGCAATCCTGTATCCGTTTATCTGGGGTCTGTGGGATTGCGCTGTAACATTTATTAATTTAAATATGCCCACAATGGATTTATTAGTGGCAGTTCTCATCAGTGTCCTTCGGTCAAGTCCATCAAACTGAGTTAGTCTTATCCATGTCAAAGTTGCTAATTTGTCATTGAACCAGACAGAGATCTCCCCAGTGTAGGGCAGTTTATACCATTTTCCTGTTTGTGTGTGTTTTGTTGGTTTGTGCCACTTTCCACCACAGGGCTCTTGAGTCAGATGAAAACAAAAGCATGTGGTTCATACCTGGCCAACGACATTGTGGTTGGGCACATGCGGAGATCACAATCACCACTTCCTTCTTCATTCACCTGTGAAGGGATTTCAAGTGTGTATCAAGTAACCACACCCACCCCTGTGGACAGCAGGATCTAGAATCAATCTAGATTGAAAGCAGTATGTTGAGGACTAGCATGAATGATTGCAGGTTGAGAAAAAGCTACATTTTTGTTCTACAAACAGGTTAGTGTATACACAGTCCGAGTCAAACCATTGGGCCATCCAGCTCAGTATTCTCTATACTGACTGGTAGTGGCTCTCCAGGATTTAAGATAGGGTTCTCCCCCAGCCCTACTGGAGATAGGACTGTGACCTGCATTTACAGCAGATGCTCTACCACTGAATTATGGCCCTTCCCCATATTCCATCCTGCCTGCTCCACAGAACCACTTAGCTGCATTTTCCTATACAGTACTAGATAGGGGTCCCTTCCAACTCTATGATTCTGTGGTTCAAACCTGCAGATTATGGTTAGTACAACTCTTCTAACCAGGTTTGCAAAGCCATTTCAAAGTACGTAACAGCAGCCACTCTAATGAGGAAGTTCACAACGTGTGGAACTTTCGCACAGCTTTGATAGGTTTTCAAAGTGGTTTATGTTAATACAATACGAAAAATTTAATTTGGGTGGTGTGTGTGTGTGTTGTAATGATTTTGTCCAAAATAGCCCATTCTAGATCTTCTGGAAAGTGACAGCTTTATGGATAGTACAAAGCAATGTGCTTGCTGAGGTTTTATACAGTGGTGTAGCAACAATGTCATAACGGCTGTTCGAAATAATTGCTCACATACGTCTTCAGGCTTCATCTTTTTAAAGCTGTGGCGTGGTGATAAGAGTTTAGCATAATGCATCCAATTTGATGGACAAGTCGGTGTCGCTCGCCTCAGCTGGTGCTACCGCAAAAAACCTTTACTTTGGTATCACTGAATTAAAAGAAGCAGCTTCCTTTTAGAGTCCAAACTTCTGTTTGCCCATTTCTCCCCCAGCCAATTGATTCCCAAATGAGCCCTGTTTTGATTGGAGTGACCGGAGCTGATCTTCCTTTTTCTTTTGTGCTATAAGTGAAAGGATTGATTGTAACTGAAATAGTACAACTGGCTTGCCATGAGTATATCTAGTATGCATAATCTACCGAAGTCTGTCGGATGATTTAGCATTCCTGTTGCTTTACAGTTTATACATCTGCAGATAGATTTTATTTGTTTATATGTTTTGAAAGATTAGTATCCTGCCTTTTTGTCCCGTTATGAGACAATCAAGGGGGATAATTTTTTTTGGGGGGGGGGACATGGAAGAAGATACAAGATGGGTAGGGATATAATACTCAGATATACACTTCTATCTTTAAATGTTTCAATGGCAGACATCACAGTTCTTCAGGAACATTCTCCAAACTAATCTAATATATATTTATTTATGTAAGCTGTTCTGGGAGCCTTTCCAGCTGAAGAGCAGGATAAAAATGCTTTCAATAAAATTACTGAATAGACAACAAGAAATGCATGTATTTATTATGATTTGTATACAGTGCAGTGCTAAGTAACTGTCCTATTAGTGCAACAGGGCTTATTCCTGCACCTTCCCCTTCCCTAAATCTGCTCCAAAGGTTTGGGGGGAACCTCAGAACAAATATAGGGGCACACCGGGGAGGAGAGGGGAATGTCCCATCTCACACACTTAAATTCTTGCGATGACAAGATACTTAACACTGCATTGGATACAAGTCACAGTATATATGTATGCATAGCCCAGTTTCTACAAAGGGTCAAGATGGATATACAGTGGTACCTTCAGGTTACATACACTTCAGATTACAGACTCTGCTAACCCAGAAATAGTGCTTCAGGTTAAGAACTTTCGTTCAGGATGAGAACAGAAATTGTGCTCTGGTGGCGCGGCAGCAGCAGGAGACCCCATTAGCTAAAGTGGTGCTTCAGGTTAAGAACAGTTTCAGGATAAGTACGGACCTCCAGAACGAATTAAGTACTTAACCCGAGGTACCACTGTAAAAGAATACCACAATATGTTACAATGAAACAACATAATAAAACAGCAAAACACACCAGAATCTATATAGAACAAATCAAATGCCAGTCAAACCCTCAAACTGCCTAAAAGGTTGACATGAACATATATGCTAAAGGAGGGAATTTAGGTGCCACTACTGGAAAGGACTTCTATTCATGTTCCCATCTATCTAACCCCAGGCATGGGGTGCACCTAGAGAAGGATCTCCCATTAATTGCAGGAAGGTTCATGTGAATGTTATGGCACAGTCCTGGAAAATAATCACGATTTTTAGAGAGATGTTTCTCATTTCATGGTAATTGTGATGCAGAGACCCTTTGATTTTATAATGATTTAGGGATGTCTTGTGTGCTGTGTAAGTTAGGCAGAATCTAAGAATGAGGACCATTCAGACCAGAACACAATATGCACAGTTAGGACCATCAAACACTGCAAATTCAATTCAATATATAATTGTGCACACAAAAAAGTAACAAAGTAAACCATCTTCTATACACAATGATAAAATGCAAGGTATATTAAAAGACAGAAGTGAATACAACAGGCAAACTATTTCAGATTATTCAAATGAGGCAAACTACTCTTTCAGTTGCTCAACAGCAAGATAAAACAGCTTCTGAACACAGTGACAAATTACAGCATGTATTGAAAGACAGATGAAAACACACTCTCCCAGACAAGCAAGCTTTCAGTTGGTTGCAATATATTTGGCAACTGAAAGTTTTGTTTATCTGCAACAGGTTAAGACACTTTTTCTTGCGCCTTTCAATATCCTGTCATGCACATCTCAATCTCCAAACTGAGGAAGACTTCCAGGGTGTCAACACATGCCTCAGGTTCAGTTTCTTTAGAATGAAGGTCACTGAAGCCTCTTTATGATATATGGTTTTATTCATATGTATATGTATAACCTAAGCATAGGGTGGAGGGGCTCAAAGCATGAACACTTCATCAGATCTTGCCTCCCCATTAGGTTTCTAGAGGAGTCCCAGCTTAGGTTCAGCACATAGCAAGACATGCCTCTGTGTCTTCAGCTTCTAGGGCATGTTGAATTTTTCAGCTTTCAAATTCCAATAATGAGGGGTGCTAACAAGTTGTAACATGACTTGGGAATTCAAAAGATGTATTGGTTAAATTAACATATTTTAGTTTGGTTTGGTAAATAACTACATTAAAATAGTGACTTTTTGAGGGTTTTTTTGTGGAATTTCCATTAATTTAAACTTGTCTTACTAATTTTTGTGTGAAAAAATGTGTGAAAAAATTGCATAAAAATCATTAAAAATGATTGCCAAGTACTTGCAGTTATATTAAGGACTGGGGACATTCACACATATGAGCAAATTAATTGGAACTGGCAGAGAGTTGTTGCTCTCTGAAGTCCCAACTCAGATCTTCCTGTACATCCTGTACCTTCCGTCAACTCCAGTGTTTCATCCCTGTTGTTGCTCATAGACTGTTCTGACAGGGTCTATGAACCTCCTTTGACATGTAAACTTACAACAGCGGAAGTAAATAAGTTAACTGATGGCCCTGTCAGGCTCAATCTATAGAGAGGTGTGCGAAACAAGGAAGCAGGTAGGTGTATACACATAAGGTGTGTGCTTTTTGTTATACATTTTGTTGCTGTAAACTGTCTTGTGCATAGTAATATAGAAAGGTGGGCATACAAATTAAAAGTCAAATGAAGAGAAATTAGAAATGTGAGGGCTACATCAGAGGCCAAGAAAGAAGTCAGTGAATCAAAGCAAGACTTGATGAAAGTTGCTTAAATTTCTTTTACGTTTGGTTTAAATTAACTGGTGCCATTGCTTTCTAATGTTGTTTTATGATTACAAGGTAATGTTGCATGCTTAGTAGGATATGCTTTATGCAGAAAAACAAAACAAAAAATTCAGCACTACCTGAAATTTTCAGAAGGTAAAATTGTTATTTTTTATTGTTTTCCGAGAGCAATTTAGGTGCTTTTTAATCAAACATAGATTAACCAAGCTAAATGTTGTCCAGTCAAAAAATAATACCAGATTTGAATACCTCACACCCAAAAACATATTCTTAAGACCCCTCCCCTCCCTGAAGAAATTTTGAAAAATAAAGATGACATGCCATACCAGTGGTACAGGGCTTGCACAGCCTCTCCTGGTTCAGATGTTATGGAGTAGAGCTGTCTGTCATCGGTATACTGATGGGAACAGCCCAGGGCTCCTTCAGATTAACTGACTAGAAGATTTCTGCTGCAGGTGCCCCAAGTGCTGTTGCCACTTAAACATTAAAGCTGCATGCTGTGAATTTTTTTTTTTTTTTGCAGTAGGACACCCCCATTTGAAATCAAGAACTCCAAGGATCAGAACTCCCTGTGTGTTTTCGAAAATGTTTGCTCAACTAGTTTGCCTAAGGTCTTGAATTAAACTGATGGCAATGACAAACCCTCTTCCCACATAAAGAAATGTTTCAAACTAGCCAAGAGAAACAGCTCTTTCAATATACCAAATTATGTCAGGTTTGTTGAAAAAATAGAACCCATAGCAAAGTATTTCCTGGTGTTTTTTGAAGGCACAGCGAGCGTAAAATACATATTTATATAGTCTTTTAAATGCAGATTAGGTACCCAGTAGAGGGATACATGAGCACAATTATGATTATTTTGCTTTCCCTACCTCCTCCCAGATTTGCTCTGTTTTGCCGGGGGGGGGGGCATCCTTTTATTTTTGGCCATAGCTGTATTGCTGCACCTTCCCGGCGCTATCAAGAAAGTACTTTCTCAAGCAATATTTTTTCAAAGAGGGATTTTGGGAGCCAAGAGATAAGGGGTGAGCTTTGCATCTGTCTGTACAGAAGCTATTAAATTCTTATCACAGGTCGTTTATAGGCCCAGGGATTTGGAGTACATAAACAGGCAGATGCAAATGTCCTCCAGTGTTCTTGCTCCTCAGGAGGCACTGGGGAGAGCACAATCGCTTCAATTTGCAGCCCATTCTCTGTTGTTCCATTAATTTCCAGCGAAAACAGATACACCTGTTTTATCCAATACAGATTTGGGAAAGCGGCTTGTCTGTCTGTCTGTCTGTCTGTTCTCTATGTAAAAGGGAGTCCTTGGAGCACCCTAAAAGGTAAAGGGACCCCTGAATGTTAAGTCCAGTCACAGACGACTCTGGGGTTGCGGCGCTCATCTCGCTCTATAGGCCGAGGGAGCCGGCGTTTGTCTGCAGACAGCTTCCAGGTCATGTGGCCAGCATGACTAAGCCACTTCTTAGAGCCAGTATGGTGTAGTGGTTAAGAGCGGTAGACTCATAATCTGGTGAACCGGGTTCGTGTCTCTGCTCCTCCACATGCAGCTGCTGGGTGACCTTGGGCTAGTCACACTTCTCTGAAGTCTCTTAGCCCCACTCGCCTCACAGAGTGTTTGTTGTGGGGGAGGAAGGGAAAGAAGATTGTTAGCCGCTTTGAGACTCCTTCGGGTAGTGATAAAGCGGGATATCAAATCCAAACTCTTCTTCTTCCTCTTCTTATACTTCTGGCAAAACCAGAGCAGTGCACAGAAACGCCATTTACCTTTCCGCTGGAGGGGTATCTATTTATCTACTTGCACTTTGACGTGCTTTTGAACTGCTAGGTTGGCAGGAGCAGGGACCGAACAATGGGAGCTCACCCCATCGCGGCGATTCAAACCGCTGACCTTCCAATTGGCAAGCCCAAGGCTCAGTGGTTTAGACCACAGCGCCACCCCCGTCATAGAATTGCCTAACCTTGAGTCCCACAGGTTCAGATCGGGGATCACAAGCAAGAGACTTCACCCAGGAGATTGAAGCAAAACAGCGGCCAGTCGGCCTAATCTTTACTGTTGCAACAAGACTTCCCACTACCACAAAGACAAAGCAGCCAGAAGCCCTGATCAATTGTTACATCAGCTTTTTAAAAGTTTCCCATAGTACATTTCCAGAAGCATCATCAAGACATCATAGATATGTCACATAATAGGTGTGGTCTCCAGGAATGCCCCTGTCAATCAAATATAGTATTTCACATGTACTCCATCACAGTACAAAGGAAAGTATTTACAGTTCCCTGGTCCCTGAGTCAAGTCATACACACCCCTTAGTCTTGTCCAGGCTTCATCCCATTATGGGGTGACTAGGCATTGTGATTGAGATGGTTATCTGTCTGACGCTCTTGGAGCAGGATATCTCCCGGTCATGACTCCTTTCAAAGGACCTGCTGACATGACTGTACATCTCAGGAATTATGGTGGGCTCACTAACCCCTCACCTTGTACCTCACTTCCCTGGGTCCTAAATGCCATTGGAACTGAGAAGATTGATACGAGTGGTATCTTATGAATTTCTAAAGTTTTCCCATTGAGCCAGTACATGGATACATTTATCAGTGAATTGCTACATTTGGTATTGGCGCTTACCCTGTTTTCCTATGTTGGAGACCTGGGGCTCCTCCTGCATACTGAGCTGAGCTGAGTTTCCCTTGCAGATGCAATGATTTGCAGATATGTTGCTGTTAATTTTCTTGACATTAGGGGCTGCTGTCGGGATCTTGAGTTTCTGATTAGACAGGCACTGTTGGCCACGACTAGACCTAATGGTCAGGGATCCCTTTACCTTTACTTGTGAACGGAGTCTTGAACCTAAATGCAGTGCTCCCCCCCTAAAATGTTTAGGGGTACTCTCATTTTGACTCAAGAAAATCACCATTTTATAGTTCAAATCAGGAGAAATAAATACTTTAAATGGACAAAAGTACAAAGATTCACAAAATGTTTAGGGGTACACGTACCCCTGCGTCCCCCCTAGAAAAAAACACTGCCTAAATGAATGGTTTTGGTAATGTGTGAGGCAAGGCTCATGGTGGTGGGGTGTCTCTCAGCTCTGCCCGTCCTCTAACATCTATAGGTTTGGCTGCCCGTTGGATATCACCACCAAGTTTGGAGCGACGGTTCTCAAGGTGGGGCGCTTACAGAAATTTAAGACTGATAAAATGAGAAACCGAGGAAACCAAAGTTGGCAGATCTTTCTATCCTGAATTGCAATCGGCCAGAGGTTTCCTAGCAGAACCTAACCTTTCTGCCCACCCCTGCTCCATATAGACAAACCTCGATGAACCAAATACATGGACTAAATTAGTGTTAAATGGCAACCAGCAAACAAGGTGGTAGAGAAAGATGGATTTGGTGGACTATGACGCAACCTAAAATGCAAATGCTTGAGGAAAACCATGCATGAGCTCAGGCTGTGTGTGTGTGTGTGTTGCAACATATAATTGACCCAATCATAGTGTATTAATGGTGAATTTATACTGGCTTGCACACACATTTTATCAGGAAAACCAAGGTATGACTGTATTGCTGTTTGGAGATGCCCTCTTGGAATAGAGCCTGGGAGACCAGGGTTCAAATCTCTTCGGCCATGAAGCTCACTGGGCGATCTTGGGCCAGTCTCTGCTTCTCAACCTTACGTACCTTACAGGTTTGTTGTGGGGATTAAATGAGGAGGGGAAGAACTATGTACACCACCTAGGAGAAAACGGTGGGATATAAATGCAATAATAAAATAAATAGAACACAAAAAGCAGGGCAAAATAAAACAGAAACAGAACATCTGTGGTGTAAATAGTTATAGTATTTCAACAAGAAGTTAAGGGGCACACACCGATTGGAATCAAAGCAGTGTGCCCGATCTGAATTTTTGCAGGAGCAAACAGTACTGAGAGAGGGGTCACGTACAAATGCTCTGATACCATCATGTGCAAAAATGGTCATCAATTCCTAATTAATAGGACACCTGGAGGAGCCCTCTGTCACACTGAAGGATAGTTTGGGACCTGGGCAAATGAATGAACCTGAGACAGGGAAGTCCCTTGGTAGAAAGCATGAGAATAGAGAAGCCAGTTGCTTTATTTGCCCCAGGATTAAGCTTGCCAAGCCTGAAACTCTGAGTAACAAAGGGATTATTTTCCTTCCAAAAGCATTTCAATACAACCCAGGAAGAGAATGAAGTTGCGCACAACGTATGGGACTAAAGATAAATGCTGCCGGGGACCCAAAGGTGTGGGAGATCAGCTGGGGGGAATTAAAGGCTGCGCTGAATGATTTTGCTGCATAATACATAAGAGGTCAAGGAAGAGGAAAAATGATGATAAAAAAATCACCTGTATATGTGTGTGTGTATAAATGTCTGTGGAATCTTTAAACGGAAAGAAATAAAGTCTTTTATGTGCTAAATCCCGCATGGGAGATTTTGGGCTGCTAATACCGTCCTTTATTTTGCTTCTTTGTGGCAATGGAAGAAAGTGACGTCCTGAATAGTATAAAAGGCAGAAAGGTTGGGACCCTTTTAAATACACTTCGTCAGGGCGTTTCAGCAAGTCTTTTGGAAGCATTACCTTTTCATCCCCCTCACCTTTTTTTAATGGTGAGATAAAAAATTCTGTTGACAGGAAGGGAACAAATGCAAGTGATTTAGCAGTTAAGCCCCAGACCGGTCTTTTTTGAAGGTGCTTTGATCAAAGCATCAGTGTGTCCCTTTTGAAAACAAATGCATCATTTTCATTTTATTTTTAAAGTCAAATTCATTGAGCCAGAATAACCTCTCTCGCAAGTGTGCCTAGAGATGCTAATTTTGAAAGTCAGTCTCATTCTAAATTTTGTATCTATTGATACTGCCCTCACATTGTTCTCTTCCTACTTGTCTGGTACTTCTTTTGGTGTTTTCCTAAGGGGAAGCTCTTCCTCCGCGTTCCCTCTCCTTATTGGCATCATGCAGAGGACATCTTATTCCTGTGTTCTCCTGTGCTCCTCTCTACAGAAGCTAATTAGCATGCCTGAACCCTGGAGAAAGATGGATGGAGCTCCTTGTATCTGGCCTCAGATGGATGGTGCTCCCTCTGCAGGCCACAGTCTTACAAAAAAAGGCAGGGTGGCAAAGAGGTAGCAGGCATTCAAGTGAGGTTCTTTTAGCTGCTATGCAGGTATCAAGTTGTGCCAAGGCCTTCTAGGAAACTTTGGTAATTAAGCAGTATATGAACTGCTTAAAGGAAGAATTAACAATGGGTGATTTCCCATCCCTGAAAACATAGTGCTGGCTGTTACCCAGGTGTGTCTCCATTCTTAGATGCACATCAATGTTCCTTGATAGCTCAAAAAACAGGAATTAAGACAAACTAGGTAGCCCTGCAATTAGCAAAGTCAGAAATTAATTTGAGGTGTGCTAGGCCAAAGTTCAATAGAAGCCACATTGGATAGCTTTCCTTAGAGACTGGAGAGGATTTCCCATAATGGAATCAAGTCCTGCCTTCAGGTGGTGCAAAATCCTCTTTTTCAAAAAAAAAATACCCAAAGTAGCTGTGTTGACCCTTTGGAAAACAGTTGGCTAGCAGCGACCCATTATGCTTTCACAGAAAGGATTAAATATTGCTCACACCTAGACTTGCTGTGCTGCTGAGAATGCCAAAAGGGAATGTGTTGAAGTTGTGCCCCATTAAATTCCTCAAATATTACATTTGCTTGAAACTCATTTGGCCCATCCATCACTCTTCCTGTCTTTCACACAGAGATGCTTTGAAAGGCTGGATGACATGTATCCTGTCTCTCCTAAAATTTCACTTGAAGCCTCTTGATAGCGCTGCCACTTCAGGGTAACATGAAATTCCAGTGGGGTGGAGACGGAACGTAAGCCAAGGGCCCCTTTTTCTTTCACATGCACTTCTCTCTCTGAGACACCCTCTTGTCTCCAATATCCCCAATGTAGCGCCTCCTCTAGCCCACTATGTCCAGCACCATTATTGTTGCCATCGTCTTGCTGCTTCAGGAACGGAGGGGAACACATCCCACTTGGCTGCTGAACCATGTGCTGGAACATCATAGGAAGCTCTGTATATTGAAACAGAGCTGGGATAGCTCAGTTGTAGAGCATGAGACTCTTAATCTCATGGGACATTGTTTTGAGATCCATGTTGGGAGAAAAGGCTCCAGAGACATTGCACCCTCGTGGCACCTTCCAACTCTATGAATCTCCTGCATCCAGCTCAGTATTTACACTTACTGCTAGTAATTTGTCAGGATTTTAGATAGGAATTGCTCACAGCCCAGTATAGCCATGGAATGAAAGGCTGCCACATCAGGTTGCTGTTACAGCGTTCTTCAAACCACTGAGCAACTGCAGTGAAATGGCTGGAACTTTTGACTTCAGTTAGGGTGACTCCATTTCAATTTCCTGCTCAGTCACAAATCTTGCCCCTGAGCCAGTTACTCACCTTCAGCTCAACCTGCTTCACTGGGTTGTGGTAAGGGTAAGAGGACAAGACCAGGCACCCCCAAACTTGGCCCTCCAGATGTTTTGGGACTACAACTCCCATCATCCCTAGCTAACGGGACCAGTGGTCAGGGATGATGGGAATTGTAGTCCCAAAACATCTGGAGGGCCGAGTTTGGGGACGCCTGGACAAGACCATGGACAGATCCCTGGAGGAAAGGCAGGGCAAACATTTTAATCAGCCATGTATTTAAACACTGGTTTGGTAGCCACAGGTGACTGGAATTCCATGTAGGCAAACAGAATTCTATGCAAATGAGTGAACTGGAAGAGGAAGGAAAGGGTGCAGTGGCTCTCTGCTGCATGCAGTGTAGAAACAAAAGGGGCTGCTGCACATAGCATAAAAATGCAGCTCTCCATCCTTACTCTGCCACTCCAGCAGGCTGGTAACTCTGCAAACTTATTTACGAGGCTTATTCTAACATTAAAAAAAACATAACCCCTAGTGGTGCACCATGCAGTATAGATCTGGAATATAAACTACAATGCAATAAGCAGTAGGAAATGGTTTATTTTTGTATTGGTCCAGAGACAGACAAGAAATTCATGTATATCCCTTTCCAAATGCTCTATTGCTAGTCTAAATACACAAGGTTATAAAAGGATAGTTCAGTTCCATTACAGACAGTTTTCAAAGTGTAGATATTATGTACCATAGTCCAGGAGAAATGTATTAATCTTGTTAATGTCTTGCACCATCCACTTGAAGATTTTGCATCAGAACTGCAACACTAGCTAGTTCCTTGATAGAAGTGAACTGAACAAATGAAACCAGAAATATATATATTTGTGCCTCCCGAAAAAAATCTATTCCTACCAGCACAACTGCAGAGGATCATCGCAGTTCCACACTTTAATAATCTGTATCCAAGAGTTTAAGGCACTCTTGAGCTTTAGATGTAGCATGTGTTCACCTACTTTGATCCAGAAATGCATGCCGTCAAAGCACTGAAACCTGGAGTTGAGCATATGGGTTGTTTAGAAGCTGAAAAGCTCCCAGGTAGAATAAAAACCTAAACAAAACTTCATTGGTTGCATTTGCAAGGAAGCACTCCTAATCCACTCACTGGAGCAATGGCAACATACCCAGAGAAGACCAAAAGCCTCACCACTGAATAGATGTATCCAACTAAGTTCTACTCAGAGTAGACACATAAAACTCTCCTTCAAGCTATGTTTGCAAAAAAGAATAGATGGAAAAGCATGTTGCTGAGGCTAGCTCATTACATTGCCTAAAGGTGTTCATCAGTCTCAAGAGAGGAAAAAATCCCAGGACACCTGAGCTCATCAGTTCAGTGTCACAGCACAAAATAAGCCTTAGATGACTATCACCTTCCCCTATGAATAGGTGTGAGTAGGCAAGCAGTTTTACGGCATAACAGCATCCAAGCTAGGGATGGGGAAACTGTGGCTCTACAGATATGATTACAAGTCCCACCACCCCTGCCCACTGGCCATGCTTCCTGGGGCTGATGGAAGCTGGTCTAAGGGCCACAGGTTCCACATCCCAAATCTAGGTGAAGTTGTGCCATGTACTAGATCATTGTTTAGGCAGCATGCTCTTAAGTTCCTGATCACGTCATATGTCTAACTATCTGCTGTCAGTGGCCAGATTACATCTGTTCCCAAGGACAGTCAGCTTTTTTGTCTTTGTAACTGTGAATAAAGCACACAAATGTATGTCTTCACTTGGAAACAATTCAAGACCCACATGGTACAGATCAGGTTGCTGGGTTCAGATAAAAGTGAATTTTGCAAAAGGACACTTGAGCACCGTATCCAACAGTGAGGCAGTACCGTCACACATGTAAAGAACATAAGAGCCATTCTGGATCAGACTAAGGCCTATCTAGCCCTAATCCTATTCTCACAATGGCCAGCCAGATGTTTATGGGAAGCCTGAAAGCAGGACTAAATGCCAACAGCACTTTCCTCACTGGTGAGTTGCATACAAAGGCATACTGTCTCCAACAGGGGACGTAGAAGATATGGGTAGTAGTCACTGACAGCCCTGTCCCCCATGAATTTGTCTCTTTTACAGCCATCCTAGTTTGTGGGCATCACAATATCTTGGGTGGCGCCGGGGTGTGTGAATCCCATAGTTTAACCATGTAATGTGTGAAGAAATGCATTGTTGTCTGTCCTGAATCTCCTAGCATTCATACTAGCATACTAGAACTTGGGAGTCTTCCAATGAAAGCTGAGAGATGGAGGAAAACTTCTCTTTCCACTTCCTTCACACTATGTATAACTGTATACACTTCTTACCATGTCTCCCCACCCAATTCACCCTTTTCCTAAACTAAAAAGCCCCAGATATCATAACATTTCCTCATAGAGGAGCTGTTCATTTGTTCTGGCCACCCCACATTTCTTGTCACTGTGTCGTCAATCTAAACTTGAATGGGTCCCACATAAAGGATTAGTCACTTTACTGCAGTTACCATTTATCCATGTACAATTCAATGCATCAACTGACAAATAAGAACATCAAACACCCTCGAGACCAACTTCATTTCAATGTGTCTATTAAAAGCTTTAGGGAGCACGCTTGACAGGCCCCCTGCACAATTGCATAGTTGTCAATTAGATTTTGTTGCTCTCCCTAATGCTGTACGAGAAGTGCAAGTAAGGATAGTGAATTTGTTTAAAATCATTTAAAAAGAGGTCATAATAAACTGGTCATATATCCCCTTAAGGGTGTAGGTCAGAGATACTTGCTTTGTTTCAACCGTAAGCCAAGTTGTGCAGGGATCTTGTCAGCAGCCACATAATAGTACTATGGAGTCTTGATAACAGGAATTAATATGTTGGAAAAATACTGTTTTCTGAAGATCTTGCCTAAAACTTATGAACATGTAAAGGGACAAATCAGCATAACTTAAAACCATTACAACGTGTGGTCAAGCAAAAATAGTCTTTATTCAAATTTAATGGAAACAGGGGCCACTGTACTTTGCAAGATGGGGAAAAATAAAAAAATATAAAACAAGGATATTGTCACAATACCAGAATGTGGAACTCTACTCCCCCCCCCCTCCTATGGTTTACTGTAGGTATCTATTTTTCTTGACTGTGCTATTAACAAACTCTGCAAGTCCAAAATATGAAACAAAAGTAATATGAAATTTAAGACTCTGCACTTTTCACTAAATGGCGTACATCAAAGGGCATCAATTTAAGGGCAAATTGTTGAAGTTACCATACCTACCTAGGAGTCATCATTCCAATCTTAGAAGCCCATCGAAACACAGTGCTCATTCTCTATGGCTATTCTGGAAATCCAGGAAGATGATCTGATGAGACTCTCAGTATCATTTTCCAGAATGTGCGACAGAGAGGGAGCACTGGACTGAACACTTAAGACACACCATTGTGGGGCGGGGTTTTAAAAATGTACAGCAGTGACATGTGTTCTACTCCAATCACTTGTGCTACAACTACCAAACATGTACAAAAGACTTCTCATAGAGCTCTAAGTGTGGTTGCAGCAAGTTTACGATCTGGACCGAGACCTTGATCTAGATCGGGAATGCGATCTAGAGGCAGACCGCGATCTAGACTTGGATTGGGATCTTGGCTTTGAAACAGATTTGGATCTGGAGCGAGATTTTGATCTGACATTTTGTTTAGAATTGGAATTTGACCTGGACCGGGATTTACAGCGGGTGTCCATTTCCTCACCCTCACTTTTTGCTTCCTTTGTGTCTGGTTCTGCTTTTATATGCTCTTTTTCCTTGGACTGAGATCTGGACCTGGATCTAGACCTGGATCTAGACCGTTCTTGGTCTTCTCTCTTTTTCTTCTTGCTGCTAGACTTGCTGTCACGTTTACTCCGCCTCTTGCTTTTCTCACTTCTGCTGCGACTCCTGCTCCTGCTCCTACTGGCCTCTCTGCTCCTCTTCCTACCTTTCCTCTTGTCCTTACTTTTGCTACGGCTCCTGCTCCTACTCCCCTCTTTGCTCCTACTTCTCGCCTTGCTGACACTCTTCTCTCTCTCTTTACTTCTACTGCCCCTCACACTGCCCCTCTCCTCCTCTTCTGCTTTCTCTTTACTGCCACTCCTACTCCTGCTTTTACTCTTACTCTTTTCCTTGCTAGGACTTCTACTTTTTGCTCGGTCATCATCATCAACATCGTCATTATTCTGCACCACATCCTCTGGCTTGTCTTTACTTTTACTTCGGGATTTCTCTGCACTTCTGCTGCGGCTCCTGCTTTTATCATCTTTACTTGGACTCCTGCTTTTTGCTTTTTGGCTTCGACTTTTGCTTCGGCTGCGACTCTTGCTTCTGGAATGGGATCTTGACCTAAGAAGCAAAACCAAAAGTAGCAAAGGAATTCTTATATAAATCTTCATGCAGTTATCAGCAGGAATGAAATTTAGCCTCTGTGATTTTGTTACTCAAACAGAAGCTTGCAAGTCTTACCCTGTTGAAATAATTGAACTTGTATCAGTTTCCGCTCATATGTTCACTATGTTCCCTCCTTGCACATTTCCCTGCGAGACATTCAGTGTTTGTTCACATTTTAAGAACTTCCTATACTGTACTGTAACTAGAATCTGACTTGTGTGTTGTAGCACTCAAATGAGTATTATTGCTACAGAAACAAATCACACAAGCTGTTAATAAATGAAACCCACAGGAAGGGGAGAGAAATAGAACAGTAAGGGATCAGTATCTAGATTTTAAAGCTAATGAGGGTAATAATGGGATCTGGAATTCAAGAAAAAAATCAAAGCAAAAATCACTGCAAATTAGGGATCTATAATGATTAGATTTCACAGCTATGTACGCAAGGTTTGTTCATGTTGACATCGGTTAAAACCACTTAATCAGTATCCTCTGAAGTATTTTGAAAATCATGTAACTTTGAGTTTGCTCTACCTGGATCGTGATCTGCTCTTTGAATGACTGCTTTTACTACTGCCACTACGACTCCTGCTTTTACGTGAGTGTCTGCTTCGAGAGCGGGACCTGAAAGAAAGAAAAAAATCATTGTTGTAGCTATAAGTCTTTACATATTTTTAGGAGACTCCTGAAACACGGCATAGCAAATGGGTGGGGGGAGGTTACTGGGTTCTTTTTGTTTTTGTTTTGATTAAGTATAAATACCTCAGGTTTGTCTTCCCTTCACCCATGCACAATAATTCCCTGTGTCTGATCCTGGCTTGTGGCTAAGCATAGGTAGCCGTTTTGTCTAATCTGGCAAACTACAGGACCATGGAAAGCTGCCTTATATCAGGGAAGAGATCAATAGATGCAGCAGCTCTCCAGCTTCAGATGGGGGTAGAAAAAGCTCCTGAAACCCCTATCCAGAGATGTCAAGGATTCTGCTACTCTGCTACTGAGCTATGGCTCTACCCAGGTCTCACTCTGGCTTCCAACTGTGATTTGTAAGGTATGAACACAGTTTGCTGGCTTGAATGAAATTGCTAACTTTGGCTGTGCCTCAAACCAAGCTCAGAGGTGGAGATTAGTAATGAGTAAACCTAAACTCTCATCTGTTTGATCATGGTTGGAATTAAGTTTAAAGCACCCCTCTATTTCCATCACCCAACAAGAGAACTTCACAGTTCTGCAACTCACCACTGTTCCTGCAAGGTTAACAAAGCAAGGGTGCAATACATTACTTTCCAGCAGCTCTAACAAACGTTTGCCCTGCCAAGGAGTGTTGTGAACAGACTTACCTCGAATGAGTCCGACTTCTGGAGTAGGAGCGGCGCCGCCTGGACCCAGGCCTGTCTTCCACTAGCCTTATCTTCCTACCATTTACTTCTGTCCCATCCAGCTTTTCAAGGGCTCTTTTCATGTCAGAATAGGATTTGAACTCAATCACACCTTCATTCTTTCTACCTTTGTGTGCGTCAGCATACGTCACTTCACCTGCCTGACGCATATAATCCTGGAAGACAGAACATTGCCTGTGAATACACCTATGCTTTCAAGCTGATTCTGTCTGTTATCATCCCCCCTAGGTCAGAGCTTTCCAAGCTGTGTGTCGTGACATGTTAATGTGTTGGCTGAAGTGTGTAGGTGTGTCGTGCAAAGGCTCCCTGCGATCCTCCTAGGGCTGGAAAGGGTTTAGTTTAACCTCCAGTTTGCAAGTAACACAGAATTACTGTGTTGTGAAAAGATGCATGTCTAAAAATTGTGTCACCGACATGAAAAGTCTGGAAAGCTCTGCCCTAGATGCTGCAACTGAAAAGCACACTAGACTGCATTTCTTTTTCAAAGTGTGCATGCGAGAATGTTCAGCTGAACACTACACCAAGCCTCACCTCTGGTCTAAAATACAAGGAGCACAGTGGTCTATTACCAGAAGCAATTCTAACCTCAGACATTCTGTTTGAAGATGTTACTGTTGGGCTGGCAAAGGAGGAACAATACTGTCCAATTACTGGTGAAAATGGCCAGAAAGGATAAAGCAGATAGTGTAATTCAACAGGGACTATCCTGCTTGGATATTATTGCATCTGCTTACGCATTTGCTTAGCTCAAGCAATTCAACCAAGACTTCATAGACTGCATGCATAGCAGACTTTTCAGCCTTCCTTTTCTCTGCACACATCCTTCTGCATCCCAGTTTGCATTATGGGGTCTATCACCCTTAATCTCCTCAAAGTGGCCGCAGTACTATTTTAGTCCACTGCCTTCCAAGGGAAGCAGGCCAATGTGAAACATGACAGTAAACCACAAGAGCCAGGAAACCAGACGAAAGAACCCCCATTCCCTGCAAGCTGGCTGTTTGTGAAGGTTTTCAAAACGCATAGCAACATGTGAGTTTAGGTACAAAACCTTGTATTACTTCAGAAGCATCTTATCTGCATTTATGCACATGAGGGTCTTTTTTTTTTACCATCAAGCAGTCTATATAACTTTCATGAAACAACTAAATGCAATAAAACATCTGAAATAGTAAAATATTCAGTGTGCACAATAACTGCACAGGCTGAAACCCTCATGCTCAAGGAGCTTATCACTTTTACTGTTCTCTGTTGTGCTTTGTACACTGCAGTAAGAGTTAACACAATGTCAGTTATTCTGGACAGGTGGTGGTATTCAGCTAAGCATAGATCCATTGAAATTAATTACCTTAGTAATGTTCACAAATTTCAGTGGGTTTACTCTGAGTAAAGCATAACTGAATACCACCCAGGGTTTCCATGAAAAATGTAAAATATGTTTGCGTGGACCACAGGCCAAAAGCAAGGCTTAAAAAGAGAAGCACATTTTATGTTTTCAAACCTTTATCAGCACTAGCAGAGGCACAGAGATGGCATACCTTCAAATCCTGCCAACTGCAACGACTTGACAGATTTTCAACGATCAATCTGTATTCAGTACGGGTCGGAGGACCGTACTTATCTCTTCCACTTCTTCTATAACCATATCCACCTTTAGAGGTGATAAGCAGATGGAATACTTCAGGTAAGGTAGTGGAGCCAGGTGGTTAATCTATACCCCCAAAGAAAATAAAAACTAGTCTACCCAACAGCCGGTAAATACATTTAGTTCCCCCCTCCCATTAGCCTAAACTACATTCTCAGTGTTAAAAATTTTATGTTATGAGAGTCAGACATTTAAAAAGGTCTATATACATTATGTCTAGAACATTAGCACATAATTAAAAGACTGTATATTTTATATTTACTATTAAAATTAAACATGCAACTAAGTTTAAGTTAATAAAAAATAATGTTTTTGAAAACAAAAAAACCAAATCACTATAGTCAGTTACTAATGTTACTTACATTGATTTAAAGCTTTCTGAATATATAACATGAATAAAGGTTTCAGGCACCTATTTCAGTTTAATCACATCTGTCTCTAACCCTTGGGGTCCTCACCACCCACGTCTAATGGGAAAAGGTTGCGGTCGTCACATGGCTTCCTTTTTGGGTCAGCCAAGGGCCACAAAGGTCAAAGAGCCACTCATGGAAAGGCAACCCAGGGTCAGCAAATGGAACAGGCAGTCATCTTAGCCTCAAAGGACTCTTAATTGAAACATTGAGGTCTTTGTTAAGTCTATGTTAAACAATCACATTACAAATAAACCATTCATATATTTACAAAATAAAATAATGAAAATTAAAGTTCATTTAGTTAATTACAGTTTAAAAAGTTGAATATATTAATATCTAAATAATATTACTTTAATAAAATCTACAGTAATCAAACTTTACATTTTTAATTAAAAAATACTGTTTTTAAATGTGTTTAAATAGAATAAAAGGCACCAATGCAACGGTATGTTAGTGCTTACTGCGTCCAGAACCGTAACTGCTGTCGCGGCGAGGGCCCCGGGCATGCTCAACAATTACACGTTCCCCACAAAGATCTTTGCCATTTAGCTCATAAACAGCGTCATCAGCATCACGCACATCATCAAACTCAACAAAGCCATACCTAAGGGGAGACAAAAACAGTTCCAGCATCAACCACGTCAACAGTTACCTTCACAATTCTGGCCAACAGTGGCATGGGCTTTGAAGATCTATGCAGAATGGGAGCTGTTGACAAACATCTCTCTCCAAGTGTAGCCTTAGAAGTTCAACGGTAACAACAAAAGTATGGCATAAGAATAGCTGTCAAGTCTTACCATAGGGCAAAAGAGGCTGATATACCTCAAGAAAAGCTTTGTCGCAAATAGTAGAAAATGATGACTGCCTGCCATAACAGCACTCAAAAGTGTGTTATTCCTATCTCTTCATGACTTCATTATTCATCACCAGTTATTTGAAGTATATTGTAAATAATGTGTAACATTTATAGGCATACATGTATATGGGTGCTCCCCCATTTTCAAATTTGAGCAGGCATCAGTTTTAGATAAAGCGACTATTGATCATTGCCAATTTTACCACTTGACTATACCTTTTAACATCAAGAAATTCAAGGCCTCCTCTACTGGCTATCAAAACACCAAGATTAGTGTTAGCAGTTCTATGTGGTTTGCTTGACCATACACTTCATGGTTTTCTTTTGTCAGTTTATTATATTTTATTTCCAAAGGCAACATTCCCAAAAGGAATAGAATTTTCAGGAGAATAATCACATTAACTGCAGTAATCTTTTCTAACCAGGAAAAAGGGTATTGTTTGTACTGTTCCAGATATTTTTTTATTTTTGTGCTGGTAATCTTTTTGCTATTGTAATCTCTTATTGTTGAAAATCTGGAAGAAACCATATTCCTAAGTGTTTTATTCAAGTAACATTCCATTGTAGACCTCTGAATTTTACATATTCCTCTTGCAAATCAGGAGGGATATTGATACTGAATTATTCAGATGCAGAAGTGTTTCTATCCAGATTGCTGCTTGCATATAGTGAGGTTTTAAATTATTTCATGCCAATGAAAACAAAACACTTACTACTACAATGACCTCATTCAGCAAGATTTTTAGGAAGTGAAAATTGTAAGATTTCCCCTCAATGTCTAAGCATCAACAATTTCAGTGAACAAGCAACTTCTAATAATGCTTGCTAGACATAATTAAGAGGAAAGAAATGAAATGCTCAATGGCCTCCAAAGACGAACAAGGAAAAAACCAGAAGCAGCAAGTTTACAAGTTATTGTCCAAATGTGTAAACAACAGCAGGTTTAGCATCCATCTCTAGTGTGAGAGTGTGGGTACAGAAGATGAACACATGCTTTGGTTTTGCAGGAAAGTTCAGCTCATTGCCAATGCCAAGAAAATATAGGGCAAAAACTTTTCACAATGTGCACACTATCTCATTATACAAGAAAATGATTTTCAGTCCATACGACGAGCCTTTTAGGCCTTTGCACAGACTGAATGCACTACTTTTTCCAGGATGATATCACAGTTCTTCCTCTGAGGAAGCCTGTTGGGTCAAGTGCAAAAAGAGTTGCATCCCCATTCCAAGTGTGAACACCAGTGGCCTCTCCTGGAAGCTTTAGAAGTGGTGAAGTCCAGGAACTTTATTCTTATCTATAAACCACCTAATGCTTTGTTGCTGCACATAAATTATTTAAAAACACAGACCCTTGCCTGCAGGCTTGCAATCTATACAGATAACAACAAAGGGGAAAGGGAGGGAAGAGGAAAAAAACACAAACCCAGGAGGCAATTTTCTTAAACATAGTTAAGGGCTATAATGATCAGATGGCATTACCACTGCAAGAGGCAGTTCTAACTACGGAGGAGCCAAATGACGGTTGGTTTTTATCATTTAGTGACTTGCATGTCACATCTGTATGTATATCGCTCTTCTGCTGAAGAGCTCAAAGTGCCTTCACTCAGTTTATCCTCAAAACAACCTTGTGAGGTTAGTGACGCAGAGAAGAGTGCCCAACTGTTAATGCTCACAGTTCTCTGTTGTGGAATAAGAGAGACAGAAGGGTTATTACTCTGAATTCTAATCAATATGGGCAACCTTTCACTATTTTAGCAATTAAAAATACTAGTATACCCAACTGACAACATGAACAAAAAAACGCATGTTACCCAAGCCCCTCATTGGGGAGGATAATGTTAAGTGTCTGTCACTAATTGGACAGAATTAAGTCCTTGTCAAAAAAAGTTCCTCTCAGTCTGTTAGTTGTATGACCCATATTTCCTCTTCCTCTAATTTCTGATCTCTTACTTGCCATTATCTTCCCTTTGTGTGATCTAGGCCTGTCTCACTGTTCTCAGAGGAGTCTATGTTCACACAAATGTAAAGACAGCAGTACTAATCAAAATAAATGGGACTAGGATCAGGGATTCACAATATCACTCACCACACTTGTCATGGTAAGTGCTTGGAAAACTTCTGATGAACAAGTCCTGTAGTTGCAGAAATGTGGTCCCCACTCACCCTGCAGCTCCAATGTTTGGAGGAAACCTAGGATTTGTTTTTGCTCTGTGCTTTTCAGGAATGGATTATAGGGCAAGTGCAAAGATAAAACAAGAGCATGTGATTGTCCTTGACCTTGGACTGACTTTCAAAGGTATGGGTGAGATCAGGAATTAGACCCTATTCATTGAGAGAGGAGAATGGTCCTGTTGATTAACAGATTTTGCTTGATGAATCTGTAGAATTCTGGACGAGATAGGTACAGTATTTTAGATGGGCCCACTTTGAACATCATATTAAACCATAGGTTAGCATGACAGAAACAAGCTATAATGATCCTCAGACTTGTGTGCCCTTTGCTCCTCTTCTCGTACGACTGTGATAAGTTATGAAGCTTTCACTTCCACATAGATTAACAGCAACTTGTCAGGTTTTCCGAACCAACAAGATTAAGCATAGTTTGGTTTATCTATGGTTTGTTTGAAACAGATGAACTTTAAACCATGGGTTTTGAAGCTGGCTTGTTTAAACAAACCTGAATTAAAATTAACTTGAGTTTGTATTCAGATGATATGCTGAACTGTGGCTAACTGAAATCAGAAGTGAAAACTTGTGCTCTGTTCCTAAAAGCTGTTTCAGGGTAGAGGGGGAGTATGCATATCTAATTTTCTAACACTGTGCAAGCCTAAGCCTCACTGCAGCTTGTACTTGTCACACTTAGTGTGGCATCAGATTACAGCCTCTGTAGTATAGCATTCCAGCTTCACATTCCAGCTTAATTTACCCCAAACTTAAAACAATGAATTTAAAATCTCCTGCAAACTAAGCACCTATGGCCAGCATTAATTCTGAGCATAAACTGAAAAATGAAGAACTGAAAAACAAGATATCTTACAACTTGCAGTTAATTTGTAATTGTTTGCTAAGCATTAATGAAAAAGATGACAGCCCCAACAAATAAAACTAACGCAGTTATTCTGAGGAAAACCACAATACAGTATTGTTCTACACCTGAAAATTGTTCTTGTTAGTCCAACAACATACCTGCTACATAAAATAATAAAAAAAATGTATAGAACTGTGATTTTAGATCCAGGGCAAATTAACTGTGGTCTGTTGAAAGATTTTTAGATAGCTATATGAAATAGCATATATAAAGAGAGAAAGGCAGATAACTCCAGAATTCTAAAGTAAAGGTGGGATCAGTTTAATATTACTGCATTTAGCACTGATAACATGGTGCTCAAAACCTGGAGCTCATCTTTTACTTCCAGCACTGAGACAGGATTCTTTGTGCCAATATAAGAATGAATTTAGCCCAGCAGAATGCCAAAGACAGAGAACAGAAGAAAGATAATGTGAGCTTGTGAAACAGATAGCTATATTATAGCAATATAGGGGGTTTAGGAAGTTTACATGTTACCAGATCAACAAAATTATCCTTAAGACACCAATCAGCCCTCCATATGGGAGGAGGGCTTTTTTTGGGGGGGGGGAGGAAGAGGGCACAAAATTATCCTTAAGACACCAATCAGCCCCTCCATATGGGACGAGGGCTTTTGGGGGGGGGGGGAGGAAGAGGGCACGAGGGCAAGGCAGAAGGGCTTCAAGTCCAGATCTTCTGCCAAGAGCATGCCTATGAAAACACCTTTACGTGTGGTGCAAAGGCTCTGGCAGCTAAGCCACTTGTTTACGGATGCACTGCCCATCAATCTCTGAAAATGGGAAAGAGTTTTGTGAGGGGCATGAATTGTATGGGTTAGCAGCATATCTACAGATGTCAACCATCCACATTCTATCCCCAAGAATGCCAGAAATCAACACCGGGATACCATTTACAAGTGTAACTTACATGTTACATACTTTTTGTTCCAGAGGAGAATCAATCCATAAACTCTTCCTAGAATGCCAATTTGCTGTCTGCCCATATATAATGAACTGCTACAGAATGAATTACAGACTCATCATTCTTACAGCTCAAAGTACACATTACTTTCCCTGGCAGTGAGTCACAGAACTAGTTTTTCAGTGCCTAAACTCTTTGCTGAGAAACCTCCACTGTTCAACAAATTATTAGGAACAGAAGAATTGCCTTGCTGGATCAGATCAACACCTGTCAAGTCTAGCATTCTGCTTTCAACGGCTGCCAGTCAAAGCCAGACAATGTGGTGTTCAAAGATTATGTGGATGTTTTTAACACAGAAGGTCCATTTAGCTATCATGACTATTAATACTGGCTACCCCTGAATTTGGGTGATCCCTAATGGCACTGTGCACCATATAAGTCTTTCTGCACTGTAGTTTTTGAACAAGTTTTCCATCATGACTCTCAGATATTCAACAGTACAGTTCCAAAGTATGAAGTTCTGTATGTTTCAGCCAATTTAGATCCATCAATGCACCTTTTGCTTTTTGAAACTAATTTTATTAGTTTGGAAGGGTCTTTTTGGAGCTTATCAATGACCACATTTGGATACTGCAAGGATGGGGAACCTGTGGCCTTCCCAGATGCTGATAGATTACAATTCCTGCCATCCCTGACCACTGACCATGCTGACCACAGGATCTACAACCCATTGGCTTAATAAGCTGAGTTCTGAAGGAGCCTTATGGCCACACACAAACCTCCTTCATCACAGTGAGCAAACAAGGCATTAAGTTTCCCATGACTGGCTACCTCACAGTTTACCTAACAGAAAATTTATGACGGATCATCAGGGCAGAAGCTTTTTTTTTTAATTATTCTGTCAGGGCGGGAGTAATTTCCATTTCTGTCAGTTGTCAGTCACATGTATGAATAACAATACACTTAATTAAGGAAGAACTCTCCCTCCCCAACCCAGGTAATACCTATACCAGGTGTCTGCAACCTTTAAGACAAAAAGAGCCACTTGGACCCGTTTCCGAAGAAAAAAAACCTGGGAGCCGCAAAACCATTGCGACATTTAAAGCATGCGCGCCGCTGCCCTCCGATCTGACAGCGGCCGGGAAGGTGACGTCGGGACGGTGCGTGCCTAACGCACGCACCGCCCCCATGCGACGTCACAGCCAGTACAGCGCCCGCCACAGTGGGGAGTGTCGGGGCGCACAATGCGCCTCCTCCCCTCGCTAGTATCCGCCCCGGAGCCGTGGCAAAGGTGTAAAAGAGCCACATGTGGCTCCGGAGCCGCGGGTTGCAGACCCCTGACCTATACCATACTACAAAGCTGATGTTCATGCAAGTACTTTAATGTTTTCAGACGAAATGTGCATACATGGAATATACTGAATGCCCATATGATGCCATATTCACAAGGCCTGTAGAAACTGCATTTCTTGCATATGTAGCACATGGAGACTAATCAGAAAACCTGGGATGCACACATCCCAGGATACCCATTATGGCATGGGAAACAATCTCTAAATCAATAAGCTATGAGGGCCAATCTCTTCCTTTGCCTATTTCAAGCAGGGAAATCTGTGCAAGAGTTTCAGCATGTTAACTTTACAGCAGAAACATTTCAGATGCATCATTCTTTCCACAATGCAGCATTTAAAAAGTGTTCTAAGGCTGTGCCCGCCTGCACACTTACATGGTAATGAACCCCAATTAGCACAGTGGTACAGCTATTACTTTTCTACCTAAGTAAATACACCTAGAACTTTGTTGTTAAGCACAGCAGACTCTCTCTGAGACACACACACACACACACACACACACACACACACAGTGAGTCCCAATGAATTTCATGGAGCTTATTCCCAAGTAAGCACATATAAGTGTCAATCTCAAGACGTAGGCTGCAATCCTAAACACACTTACTGTGCAAGGACTAATAGTGGGACTTCTAAGAAAACATGTATAGGACTATGGTGCTTTACAGGTGCAAAAACCCTAACACCACGGAAAGCCATCTAATTAGATTTTAATTTGATTTTGACCTGGTTTTAGGAGGTAATTTAATTATTGTTTGATTTTATACCAATGTTAGCCGCCCTGAGCCCGACTTTGGCTGGGGAGGGCAGGATATAAATAAAAGATGATGATGATGATTTCAAATTTAAACTTAGCACTGAACTTTTTGTGTTAAAGGAAGGCAGGACCAGAGCACCAGAGCAGAGAAAATGCTTTGCAAGTACAGTATAAGGTCTCAGGTTCATTCTCCAGCATCTTTAGACAGGGCTCAGGGAGACCCCTATAGGAAATCCTAGACAGCTGCTGACAGCCAGTGTGGAGGCTGCACTGCTACTAGGATGTGCTGAAATTTTCAACTTCTATTTTCCAAAAAAGTGAGTGATAAAAAGTTGTAACATAACATGGAAATTCAAAAGACATTTTTGTTAAATTAATATAATTTAGTTTTGCTTGATAAGTAAAATGTGTTAAACTGCATAGAAATCATTAAAAATGATTGCCAAGTACTTGCCGTTATATTTTTTATTATCATTTTTATTTATTAACTAATCTTTAGAACTACCTAATTTTCAGAAGGTAAAATTAAAATTATTTGGTTTTCCAAAAGCACTTTACAGTCGTACCTTGATTGTCAAACGGAATCCACTCCGAAAGTCCATTCGACTTCCGAAAATGTTTGACAACCAAGGCATGGCTTCTGATTGGCTGCAGGAGCTTCCTGCACTCAATCAGAAGCCTCATAAGCCGCATTGGACGTTCGGCTTCCAAAAAACGTTCGCAAACCAGAGCACTCACTTCTGGGTTTGCAGCGTTCGGGAGCCAAAACATTTGAGTTGCAAGGCGTTCAAGATCCAAGGTACGACTGTATGTGCTTCATCACACGTAGACTTACCAGCTAAATGCTGTCCAACCACAAAAAAGGATAGCAGATTTGAATTCCTTGCACCCAGAAACATATTTCCCAAGACCCCTCAGTGAAGGAATTTGCAAAATGGTCTGAGACACATTACAGTGGTGCCCCGCAAGACGAATGCCTCGCAAGACAGAAAACCCGCTTGACGAAAGGGTTTTCCGTTTTTGAGTTGCTTCGCAGGACGAATTTCCCTATGGGCTTGCTTTGCAAGACGAAAATGTCTTGCGAGTCTTGAGATTCTTTTCGCTCCCCCCCTTTTTTCTAAGCCGCTAAGCCTTTAATAGCCTTTTAGCAGCTAAGCCGCTAAGCCTTTAATAGCCGCTAAACCGCTAATAGCGCTAATCGGGTTGCTTCGCAAGACGAAAAAACCGCTAGACGAAGACACTCGCGGAACGGATTAATTTCGTCTTGCGAGGCACCACTGTATATGGGGGACTCCCTATACTGTAAAAAGGTAAGGGGACCCCTGACCATTAGGTCCAGTCGTGGCCGACTCTGGGCTTGCTGCGCTCATCTTGCTTTATTGGCCGAGGCAGCCATGCGTACAGCTTCTGGGTCATGTGGCCAGCATGACTAAGCCGCTTCTGGCGAACCAGAGAAGCGCATGGAAACGCCGTTTACCTTCCCGCTGGAGCGATACCTATTTATCTACTTGCACTTTGACGTGCTTTTGAACTGCTTTGTTGTTTAGTCGTTTAGTCATGTCCGACTCTTCGTGACCCCATGAACCAGAGCACGCCAGGCACTCCTGTTCGAACTGCTAGTTGCTGCCAAATTTGGGGAAGGGTCTGTTATGGAGCACACACTTTGCATGGATAAGGTCCTAGGTTCAAGCACCCCTGCCCTCACAGCATCATAAGAGCTGAGCGGGGTCCCTAGGGTCATCTAGTCCAACCCCCCTGCAAAGCAGGAATCTCAGCTACAGCATTCATGACAGAGGGCCACCCAACCTCTGCTTGAAAACCTCCAGTGAAGGAAAGCCCACCACCACCTTTCGAGGAAGTCCGTCTCCCTTCCGAACAGCTCTTAACTGTCAGGAGAGCTCAAGTGGGAGAATTCCCGCCTGAAACCTTGGACAGCTGCTGTCAGTCACGATACTGAGCTAGGCCGGGGTCGGTGGTAACGGCTTCCCTTACGCTCCTGCAGCGAACTTCATTTTAAGAGGAAGGCCTTCGGCCCCCTCACCTCTCCGGGAGGGCAGAAGGGGCAGCGGGGCGCCAGACGGAGGGAGAAGGAAGGCCTAAAAACTGGAGCCGAGGGAGAAGCCCCTCTGCTCTGCCAATTCTGAAGGGTCCCAGGGGCAGCCACGGCGAGGGCCTTCCCGGGAGAGGAGGCGGCGGGCGGGCGAGCAAGAAGCGCGCGCGGGAAAGGACGGGGAAAGGGCGCGCATGCGCTCTGAGGCCCCGGCCGCGCTGACAGGAAGAAACGAGGGATCCCGGGGACTAGGCCCGGCGGCGGCGGCGGAGGCGCCTTACCCGTTCTTGAGATCCACCTCGAGGATCTTCCCGTAGCCCTTGAAGAACCGCTCCACATCCCGCTCCCGGGCCTGGTAGCTGAGCCGCCCGATGTAGACCCGCGGCATCTCCCTCGCCGACAGCCTCGCGAGGGCCTGGCGCCGCGCACGACGGCGGACGCGGCCTCAGCGACAGCTTCGACCTGCGGAGCTCAGCGCTGAGCGGGAAGGGCGGGGGGGGGAGGGAAGAGAGAGAGAGAGAGAAAGAGAGAGAGAGAGAGAGAGAGAGAGAGAGAAGGCGGGGGAGGGGCGGCAGGCGGCAGCGGACTTTTTTTTTCTTTCCCTCCTCTCCCTCGCCGGCGTAAGCACACACGCAACGCAAGGGCGTGCGCGCTGACGTAGGCGCGTCAGGTGACGCCGCGGGGCGGGCGGGCCCGAGAAGCGTTCGCTGCGGCGCTTTTCGAAGTTCGCTCGCCTCTCGGAATGGGCGGCGGCTCTTAAAGGGGACGCTCGGAGATGAGCCGGCGGGGGGAGGCGCTTGTCTTAACAGGCAGACATTCGGCAGGTGCGGTTCGCTCCCTCCGATCGCTTAAGGACAAAGTTTCACCAGTATGATGGCTTGATGAGCCGGGGCTTTATCCCGCGTTAGTAATACCCCAGAGCTGACCCACTGAAATTAATGGACGTGGCTGACTTAGGTCCATTAGTTTCAGTGGGTGTGTTCGGGGAGCGGAACTTAGCTGAAGGCAACCCATGTGCTTTCATTATACGCGTGGCGGCAGGCATAAATCCACCAGGCGCAGCTATATTCATTAATTTTTAAAGCAGCTAACGGATGCACCTTCGCTGGAGTGCATTGCTGAGCACTAAGCCCCACTGAGTTCAAAAGTACTTGCTTGCTAATAAGCATGTTGAAGATTACAATATAACCGCATGATCATATGCATTTATTCATCTACACAATAGGGTGTCATATGCTAATTAATTAAAGAGCAGAAGTTTATGCTGGAGTAACTTCCACACTGAGAGTGCCATGAATTCTGTTTTGTTGTATTTATGTAGATTTTCCTTTTTTAAGAAAATGCTTTTATGTCTTACCTGTGCATTTCAGTTGTGTGTGTTTTAAACTTATAAACTGCCCAGAGAACTTCATGTTATGGGGTGGTGTACATATACAATACAATAAATAAATAAATACCACTGTAAGTTGCTCCAAGGTATTTTATGTAGTAAGCGACCAATTTTTATTTTTATTATATATACTCCACCCATCTGCCTGGGTTTCTCCAGCCACTCTATATGGCTTACAGCATATCTAAAAACGTAATAAAAGCATATAATGATTAAATAAATGTGTTTAAGTTTGCAGACTAAATTTCCCTTTTGTTGCTAGGCAGAAGATCTGGCACACCATAACGCTCACAGGCGTGACAGCTTGTGACACCAGAAACCCGTGTTTGCATTTAAGGCATCAAAATGTTACATGGTACTTCACTTCAAGAAGTGATCTGCCAGATCATAGTGATTGAAATCACTCGCTGACAGTTCCCTCTTGATTATATTAAGACCAATCTATATCATAGAAACATTTTTTTAAAACCCTGCCATATACAGAATCCAACCATTGGCCCATCTAGCTCAGTGTTGTCAACATTGACTGGTCGTAGCTCTCTGGGGTTTCAGACATTCCCAGCCCTCCCTGGAGATGCCAGGTGGACCTGGGATTTTATGCATAGAAAGCAGATGCTGTACCACTGAGCTATGACTCTTCCCTAGATATATTCATCACATTTTCTGCAAGAAGGAATTCAATGGAGGTTATATCAATGCACCTCAAAACTGTATCTTGGGAGATTTTATGGACGCCAGAAATTGGGTACTAAGCGTGCAACATGTGTACTCCGAAGAAAATCTTTGTGTCTGATGGGACTTATTCCCAGTAAGTGTGTCACCACCATACCCACTTGGTGTGCTTTGTGAGCTGCTAGTGGTGGTTGGAAAATCTTGCTAGTCACTCTTGAGTACTAGATTAGACTGATCTTGGTCTGCTTGTGCCTCCAGCTCCCATTAGCCCCACCCAGAACAGGCAGTGGACAAGGATAATGAGAGCTGAAGTCCAGAAAAATCTGGAGGCCAACACATTGGCTACCTCTGCAGTAAAGCAGTTACTCTATTCTTAGAGAATTGCTCTTAAGAACACAAACGGTACCTCCGCAGATGTAGAGGCCTTCAGTTTTTAGCCATTTATTTATTGCACTTTCCCCTGATTTACCGTGCTCACGGACAATGATCCACATTAGTGGACAGCACCATAATAAAAGGCAACCAGAAGGCCTCTTAAAAGCAGGCAGCGCCGTAATAAAAACATCAGAAGACCTCTAAATCAACAACAGGACTTTGCTCGTTCACCCAGTGAAGAGAGTTTAGGAGTTTCTGAATCATTGCATTGCTTTGTAGAAAGTATAGAAGTTCTGTAATGGTTTAGAGAAGAAACGAGGGCTGTAAAGTTAGTTTTTTATTGACAACAAATTCAGGATGCATGAAATATTGTTATGCGTTTGGGGGTTTAGTCTGGATGGAACCCAATGTCTCCTTCCAAACCTGCGATCCTATATCTGTGAGGGCAGAATGTATAACAAGACAATAAAATAGTAATCGTAATAATCATAGAGAGCTTGAATAGCATAAAATAAATTCCATAGTGGAATATAAGATTGGCAGAAATACAAAACATACCAAATTTCAAGAATGTTGCCAGATAAACTCATATTTAGTGGGAATGTGCCAACCCTGAGATTGTTTGGTCATATAAATCACAAACGGCCCCCAAGCAGAGGCAACAATTAATTCTTTATCTGTTGGTTGCCACTCATCTAGCGATCTAGAGGGTGGATGGATAAGACTTGTTACTCGAGGGATCTATGGTTTAAAAAAGTCATGTTCATTGCCATTTTTAAAAAGCTGGCTCCTAAGAAATGTGCCACTAGGGGTGATGCAGACCCCTCTGATTTAGAGCAATAAATCTTAGGTTGCATCCAGTTTTACAACTTCCTGCTCCTCATACATCTTGAATCTATCTTTTGAGAACAAGGGACAAGCATGGCTTCTTTCTTTCTCCAACCAGATAGTTAGGAGTATAGAACTCTTTCCTTCCTTTCAAGAATGAACTTCCTTGAATGATCATAAGCTTGCTTATTTTACACCAAGGCTCAGTGTAAATACCTTTCAACTAAAGGTATGTACCAGGCAAGGATTCCACTTAACTCAACTTAATTTCTGCTGCTGCTGCAAATAAATGCTGTGTGCAGACAGATTTGCTGGAGTTCTTTTGAAAGAAAGCTGTCCTCCCTGTAATCACACTTAAGGTGGAAAAGATACAGTGCATGTGTTCTTTTACTCTTATTACCAGGGGGCTTGAGAACATATAATCTAACATCTCCTGAAACTATTTCCAGGCTAGTCTTTGAGGGGACTAACATTTTTAGCAATGAGCAGGTGGCAATTTTTTTTGTAAAAATGTCTCAAACCAGCTATGATTGCTAGTTCTCAGCGTGCCGTTCTCTAGAATAAGTTTTAACAGGGCTGCGATCTTCTGTTTTGTAGTAAGTGTTAATAATATTAACATTTCCTCGGCACACGTGATCTGTTGGGAGTGATTTTGAATTTCTAATGCCCATATTAAAATAAAGGCTAGAGGGGAACTTGGAACACTTACTCTGCTCAAAGCACTGGTCAGTAGCATCCAGTCAAGTTCTTTAGATGTTCATTTGTTACAACATGTATATTCTGCCTTTCCTCCAAGGAAGTCAAGGCGATTTACATTGTTCTCCTCTCCCAATTTTATCTTTACAACAACACAGTAAGTTAGGTCACTTGCGAGCTTCATGGCTGCGTAGAGAATTGAACCCTGGTCTCCTAAGTCATAGTCTGGCATTCTAACCAACTACTCCAGATTAGCTTTCCCTAATTACTCAGTGTGGCTAAGAGAATACTACTTTTTATTTTCTCCTCTTATTCAATGCACAAATAGGAAGAAAAGGCAAACAAAATCTAACGCACCTATCTAGTCTTCCAAGTCTTTACATTAGGGCTGGGCAATTTTTGGTCCTCCAGCCGTTACTGCACTACATTTCCCATTATCTCTGACCATTGGCCAATGGGACTTGGAGTCCAAAATCATCTGGAAGGTCATCCTTCTTTAACACAATATCTTCAATTAATTGCAAGTAATAATTAAGACATACTGGAATGAAAGTTCTGTAGGTCTATTCCAGTATTGTATAAAATCAATAAGCCCTTCCCTTCCCAATATGCTTATAAAGGTAAAGGGACCCCTGACCATTAGGTCCAGTCGGCGCTCATCTCGCTTTATTGGCCAAGGGAGCCGGTGTACAGCTTCCGGGTCATGTGGCCAGCATGACTAAGCCAGTTCTGGCGAACCAGAGCAGCGCACGGAAACGCCGTTTACCTTCCCGCCAGAGCGGTACCTATTTATCTACTTGCACTTTGATGTGCTTTCGAACGGCTAGGTTGGCAGGAGCAGGGACCGAGCAACGGGAGCTCACCCTGTTGCGGGGATTTGAACTGCCGACCTTCTGATCAGGAAGTCCTAGGCTCTGTGGTTTAACCCACAGCGCCACCCGCGTCCCAAGTTTATCCAATGAAATGGTGCTCCAGAGTTTTGGGTCCCAGCTTCCAAAGATTGTAGTTGCTCTGTTTTCATTGCTTTCACCGACAAACACCAAGCAATTGTCAACACACACACAAAATCAACATCACAATATGTCCTTTTGTTGCAAGGGACAACATATCTGAGGGGGTCCCTTCTCAATATGGTTAAGGGTATAACTGGATTTTGTACCACAGAATATCCCTGGTATTATGGGCAAATGATCCCCTGATGATTCCACAACATGGACAGAGTTGCAAACATTGCAACTCCAACATTGCAGGAAGTACGACCTATCTAAAAAGCTTGCATGTTAAGAGGTTCATCCATGGTCAGGAAGCTGAGCCAAGTCTTGATATCATATCAGGCTAACACAGCAAATGGAGGGGCTGTCTTCACTGTGCATTACAACTTGCTCTCTTGAAGCTTGTGCTAAAGCAGACATGTGGATCCTCCAGGCAGTGGAAGCTGATCTGTTAGGGCAAATGGGGCACAGCCTCAACAACCTCAGCCTACCATCAGCCAGTCCCAATCTGCCTGCCTTCTTACAGCATTTTGAAGGGGTGGCACTGGCTGTCAGCCTCCTCCTCCTGCTGCTGATCCACCTCAGTGTTACCTTTGTAGAACTCAACTGGGAGAAATCAGTTGGCTGCACCAGTCTCTGGCTCCACCCACAGTTGGCCTCCTTGCTTTCCACCCCAGTTGGCGCCATCCATCACTAACTCCAAGGGGAGGAAAGAAACACTATACTGGAAAGAAATACAGGAAAGAAACACTATACTGTAAATAAGTCAGAAATTAGATCGTTACAACAAAAGGGGAAAAAATCCTTTGGAAAATTGTGTAGAAAAATTTTCTGCTCTCTGGTGCCATCTGGTGTTGCATGTTTATAACACATTCAAATCATTGCTTTTTGATTTATGTAGCTGAGTCCCATGTGTTGTTGGACTACAACTCCTGACTATTGGCTACGCTAGCTGGCTGGCTGGCTAGGGCTGATGGTCCAGCAACATCTGGAAGCTCACCAATTCCTTGCCTCTGCAGTGAAGAGTTCTCAGACAACCGTGTAGAACTTGCCAAACTCCAGAGTAAAAAATTCTCTCTTCATTTTTGGTCTTCACGCAAGTAAACCATTTCTCCTAAGCTTGACACGTTGACAGTATTGGGCCCTGAGCATAGAGCGCTGTGCCTTCTGTTGGCATGCTTAATTTTTTGACACATTTTTTAATGTATGTGTAGGGGGAGCAATCTATTGAAATAACCATTTTCTTCATATGTAAAAAGCTTCCATCTCCTTTCATAATGCTTCAGGCTACCAAGCTTCATTAGCTACAAAGCCAGGGACCTATTTTTCTAACTAATGATATTTTCTCGATTTGATTTCTTTTCCCTCTTCTAAATAATAATAATGAAATGGCGGGCAAAAGTCAAAGATAAATTGAGAGTAGCCAGATACTATGTGGGCAGAGGAAATGTAGGCTAAGCTATGCTAGCCTTCCTCAAGAGCTATGCAACGCCAACTGTCCCTGCAAGAAGGGTTGGAGAGGAAGAGGCAGGAAATGACATCACCAATGCTCCTGGAAGAGTCATGAACAGGACAGGAAGTGGTCAGCAGGGCAGTGAAGGCGATGTGGAATTGCACATATGGCTTCAGAATGACAGGCACTGCTCAGGGTGGTGTGAGCAGAGTCAGAGCCAATCCAATGTTCCTGGCGCTGGCGCTGTGCTCACCTTGAGTTGAGCTCTTCATGCCTCAGAAGTCAGGTGCGAAACTCTACCCTGCCATCACTGACCCACTGACCACTACCGCACCAGAGGACGGCAATCTGATGAAGACAGCAAATGTTGATGCCCCTTAAAAATGGAGTGAACAGTGAGTGGGTTGTTCCATGGTAGACCCACCTATCAGAGAGTTGGAGAAGACAATTTTGCCCAACCTTCATGCAGTCAATGCATGGCTTGGGAACCCCCTGTGCAGCCTCTGCTTAAGACCTCCAATCAGGGGAGAGCCCACTAACCCTAGACAATTGGTTCCATGGATGCTCTTACCATCAATAAGTTCTTCCTGAAGTTCACCCAAAATCTACCCTCATGTACCTTAAGCCCATTACATGTACACCTGCTATCTGGGGCAGCAGAGAACAAGTATTTGCCTTCTTCAGTGCAATGCCCCTTCAAGGATTTTAAAAGTGCTATGATCCTGCTCCCATGCTCCCAGTCTTCTCTTCTGATCCCATCTCCCTCCAGGCAATTAGTTTCATTGTCAGATCACTCCTGTCACCAAGGTATTTTTGCCACTGGTCAGCTTGCTTTTTGTATTGACTGCCATCTTCATTGCTCTCCTCTGAATCCATTCCAGCTTGCCCACATCTTTCTCTAAGTATGGTGTCTTGAGCTGAACGTAGGAGGTCCAGCATGGAATAAAGGGGAACTAATACTTCATATGACTTGAGAACTCTGGCTCTATTAGGCTAAAATCACATTCACTTTTTTTTTTTTTTGCTGACTTACGTTCACCTGCTGTGACCCTTTTCACAATCACTGTTTCCAAGCTAGGTGTCACTCGCTTGATGTTGTTGCATAAATGCAGAACTTTTGCATTTGTTTCTGTTGAATTTTCATTTTCATAGTTCCAGGCCATCCCTTCACATTCTGTCAAGCTCACTCTGAATTTTATTCTGTTTTCTGAGGTGTTGGCTACCGTTCCCTGTTTAGTGCCATCTATGCTGTATATGGGACGCGGGTGGCGCTGTGGGTTAAACCACAGAGCCTAGGACTTGCCGATTAGAAGGTCGGCGGTTCGAATCCCCGCGACAGGGTGAGCTCCCGTTGCTCGGTCCCTGCTCCTTCCAACCTAGCAGTTCAAAAGCACGTCAAAGTGCAAGTAGATAAATAGGTACTGCTCTGGCGGGAAGGTAAACGGCATTTCCATGCGCTGCTCTGGTTCACCAGAAGAGGCTTAGTCATGCTGGCCACATGACCCGGAAGCTGTACGCCGGCTTCCTTGGCCAATAAAGTGAGATGAGCGCCACAACCCCGGAGTCGGTCACGACTGGACCTAATGGTCAGGGGTCCCTTTACCTTTACCTTTTATGGTAGTATAGATGCACTCTTGAATGTCTGGGTAGGAATTTCTTCAGCATTGCTGAACAATGTGATCCCATCCCATGACAGATATTGAGGCCTATAAAAATCACCACCACAGGAGGCTCCTCTACTAAGGTGAATGGGGACATTGGCCCACCAACCTCACTTTAGCTCCAGTCAGCCCCCACCTGCCTGTCTTCTTTCTTACAACCAATTAGAGAGAGGCTCTGCTGTAGATCTTCCTGCCTTCTGCCTTAACTGTCCCAGTGGGTGTAAGTCACCCTGACCACTGTCATGGCAGACTGCCACAGTCCATAAGATTCTGCTCAGTCCTTATAATGTCTTCAACTCTTCCAGTCAAGGAACTGGCTGCTTTCCTTTGCTCCTCCCTCTTTCTCTGCCACCTCCGATCTTCGCCTCTAACAGGCTTTGCAGCTCAGACCTTAATCCTCTGCGGGAGAAGACCAGGCTCTCTCTTCTGGGCTACAGCTGTGCTTCACGAAATATTACCCTTGCTGTTATGAATCTTACATGGTGCCTCAAGGCAGCCATACAGCAGCCATCAAGGTAAAGCCCTTGGGGAACAGGTACCTCTACTGAGCTGGGGGGCGGGAAGCAGAGTCAGCTGCTGCGGAGAGGTTTGGGATGTCAAGCAGGGATTCACCCACACCACCTGCTCCTTATCAGTTTGAAGTCAGACTGCAGTATCTAAAGATAACTGTAGAATAGAGTACCTCTATAATTCCGAAGATAGCTCTAGCATAGAATTCTCTAGCATGGGCCAGGAGAAGGTCCATGGGCATAGTCGGGGGAGGCAAGGGGGCAACTGCTCACCCTCCCCCCCAATCAAGTAAATAAATAAAAATACTTAACTAAATATCACTTGGATGATATTGTGGTGCATTCTAGCGAATGCAAGTGGCAACCTGACTGAGTGATAGATTTCTCAGTGGTTTGTAGTATGAGAAAAAACTACAGGAAGACAGAAGTCCTATTTTATCTATGTATGTATCTTTGTATTTATATTTTGAATAATAATAATAATAATAATAATGATAATAATAATAATAATTTATTTATACAGTGCCCATCTGGCTGGATGGCTTCCAACAAAATATTAAAAATACAGTAGAACATCAAACATTAAAATATATCAAGGTGGTATACAATTTATAGGAATAAAATCAGCAAAAAGTATCCGTAAAAAAACATTATTTAAAATAAACTTCATTAAATACCAGTTGGTTAAAAAGGAGAACATTCATATCTCAAAGGCCTGTCTAAACATTATAGCTTTCAAAAGACATATGAAAGAAGGGAGGGATGGTTCTGGAAAGTCTTGTTACTAGCCTACATTATTGAAATTTGGTATGCAGAATGTGGCATGTGAATCTGATAAGTAGACGTTACCCTATGGGAATCAGGCACAGAGAGATTTGGAGAGAAAAATAATAAAGTTGCCTATTGTAGGAAGTACTTAACTTGGATAGAAAAGCTTCTCTCTAAGCTTACTGATCTATAGAGGAAACAAAGGCAGGTCTGAGAGAGTGAGGAGGAGGAAGTTGTGAACAGGATGCAACCTAAGGCTTGTCAATCTAAACTTCAAAGGAGAGAGAGGTCAGCAGAGAGGCCAAAGGTACAGGGATAGTCTAGGAATCTGAATCCCCTTTTGGTCAGCTGAGTTGCACCTGAACTACCAACAGAAATGAAGCTGTGCTTTTCCACACAGAAGCCCAAGTCATTTATTTGCTGCAGAAATGCTGTTTCTCAGGCGAATCCAATACCATTTCCAGCGCTCTGTCGGGTTGCAAAGCACCTTCAACAATCACCTGCAACTATTTGGGCCAGCTAACATAGGTACCCAATTCTCGAATGACTTCTCTCCTTTGAGGTGGCACCATTCAACTTTGCTCAGCAGGAAACCAACATAATGTGTACCAACCATGTGTACCAATCTATTTCATTTCTTCTTCTTTCCTGGTTTTGTTTTCCAGACGATTGTTCTTCATATACTGCTGTGCCTCCTCATTTTCTACACAGTGTATTACATGACTGGAAGCATTTGCTGTGGAGCATTCAGGTGAGGCTGCTCTCTGTGAACCACAGATGTTACTCTCAACCTCTCCTGTTAGCATCTCCCACAAGCGTTCAGTCTTCCTGCTGCTGCTCCTAATAAGTGTTTGCGAATGTTCTTTTCCCCTCCACACCTGACACAATGCCTAATTACAGTGTAGGCCATTTATTTTAATTTCCCTTTAGCTTTGTTCTGTTACAAAACACACCTGAGAGCATGTTCCTGGGAATCTTAAGGCTTGTGGTCAATGTTAGTCACACTCAGCGTAGATCTATTGACATCCTTTATTTATTTCATTCATATCCCAACTTTTTCTCCAAGGTGCAGAAGGCAGAGTACAAATTAAATTCCTCATTTAATTCCCACAGCAACCCTGTGAAAATTAAGCAACTATTAATATTAACTAATGAACACAATATTATTAATGTCTATATTAATGGATATGATTAACTTAGGTCCATTAATTTCAGTGGGTGTACTCCAGGAATAAGCACACACAGACAGACATAAAGTTTTGATTCTTGTCCATTGTCTTTTAACTGGTTGTTTAAAATTATTGTTTTTTCTATGTTTTTATTAATTGTATTTATCTGTTTAAATAAATATATAAAATAAATTAATAATAATAATAGTAAACATCTCTTTCAATTTTAGTGTCTGTTTCTCATTTTCACACATTAGTTCAGTTTGCCACACTTCTGCTTCAGTCTGTGATTTTTTTTAAGTCCTCAAAGAAGTTTGCCAGCATTTCAGTAATAATAATAATAATACCTTTATTGTCAATGTACAACCTGTGTACAGTGAAATTAACCAAGCCTCTCCCCCACAAACACTAAATCTCATTGCACTCTGTGTGCTTGTTGCATAACACACCAGCCCCGAAAGTCAGTTGCACTATATTATTTTCTGTTTAGCCCACAGATAGAAACTGTTTTTTAGCCTGTTGGTACAACTGATTATACTTCTATATCTCCTGCCTGAGGGTAGATTAAAAACGTGCTGGATGGGGTGTGAATCGTCCCTGATAATTTTTCTCGCTCTCCTAAGGCAACAATCCCTTGCGATGTCATCTAGTGGGCTCAGGGGACAGCCCATGATATGATGTGCTGTGTTCACCACCCTCTGTGAAGACTCATTCCTCCTGATATACACATTCTAGTATGCATTTTTGCCTAATACACTTTTTCTTTTGGAAAGCTTTCTTCTTGAAGGTAGCTGGCCATTGGGCCAACAAAGGTTTCCCACTCCGATTTAAACCAATGAGGCTTTCTTCCAAGTGTAGCTACATTTAAGACCAAAGTGATTACCCATCCATCAATGATAGACAGGTTTATGAGTGCCTAGCTTGACTCCCATTGTTGGTTAACCTCCCAGCCTGGCAAGAAGAGCAATGATCTGTAATAAATTAGACAAAATGTCTGGGGAAGAATGGTACTTAAGCCTTCAAGGGTACTGGGTGGCTCTGCCAAGTTGTCCAATCTGACAAAGTTGTTGGGTGAAACCGTAGATCTCTTTGGGCAAAGTGGACAAAGTAATCAATCACAGTTACATGAAGCAAGCAGAACCCACAGCAAAACATTGCAATTTCCTTTTCAGGGTTCTAGCTGGGTGCATGAACACAATTACCTTTCTGCAGTACCTACAACAGCCTATCACCAGGGCTGGGTGGAAGCTGGGGGAAGAGTTTGCCTAAGGCAGTGGTGGCCAAACTCAGCCCTCCAGACGTTTTGAGACTACAACTCCCGTCATCCCTAGCTAACAGAACCAGCGGTCAGGGATGATGGGAATTGTAGTCCCAAAACATCTGGAGGGGTGAGTTTGGCCACCACTGGCCTAAGGCAAATAGTGGAGGGCCAAACTACACAGTAAGCTAAATGCACAATTATATTTCATGTATCTGGGCTTGTTGTTTGTTAAATAGCAGCTCTCTCTCTCTCTGATCAGGGTCATACAGGATTGGAGAGGGCTGAATCTTTTCTTCCCCACCATGCTCTCATATAAAACTGTACCCCTTAAAACTGCCATTGTCACTAACAGTTTGCTGCAGAGGTTTTTTTATTTTATTTACTATAACTTTTTAATGGGTTTATAAACAAGGATCTTAGGAATAATAAATGATACAAATAAATAGACCAAATCTTCTCATGCCATGTGTATACCACAAAAGGAGCATAATTAATCTTCAGTGATATCTGCAGCATATGGTTCATTATTAGTGGTCAGTGTATAAGTTCTTGGTTTGTGAATTGGTTTAAACAAAAATAAAGGGGAGCAGGACAGAACAGAGTTAACAGTTAAAGTTCAACATTGCATAGCTAAATGTTTAATCAGGAGCCTTTGTGGTTGTGCTTCGATTAAGTATGAGTCATATTCATTTCTCCCCTACTGTTACCAATGAAACAGTTGGTATATTGAGGAATGTGGAGGGGTGGGTTCAAAGGGAAGATAATATATGTTTAAATTAAATTTAGATAAATCCGATTGAAGCAAATGATGACGAGGTTATTCATTTTCTGGAATATTGGCATACGTTACGAAATTAAACCACACCAGAGTAAACCCATCTTTCCTGACCTGTTCACGTTTCAACAATAGTTTATTTGTTAACCTCTTAAAGAGGGGTGTTTCAGTTTACAGCGGTTACATATGCTTCAGGTTACAGACTCCGCTAACCCAGAAATAGTACCTCGGGTTAAGAACTTTGCTTCAGGATGAGAACAGAAATTGTGCTCCAGCGGCGCGGCAGCAGCAGGAGGCCCCATTAGCTGAAGTGGTGCTTCAGGTTAAGAACAGTTTCAGGTTAAGAACAGGCCTCCAGAACGAATTAAGTACTTAACCCGAGGTACCACTGTATTGCAGAATTGAGATTCAAATGCTCAGCTTCTGCACTTGGAAACATCATGTAGGATAAAGTGGACCTTGCTCAGAATCAGCAAGAGTTAGATGAAGTCAGTGGAATTTACAAGTGCCACCATCATAACTGTCATGAAGCTTCTACCGAGTTTAACCTCAAGTACTTTTCTTTCCAGGCTCAACAACTTTGGCATGCTTATGCCTTTTGAATTCAACATGGAACCATCTTATTCAAATCCCAAATATCTGGGTGAGTTGGGGAAACCCTTTAGTGTTCACAGAGATGGCACTGCCTTTGAGGGTGGGGGAAGAACAGAAGCATCAAGGTATGCCTATGATGCAAAACTCAGAGTAGACCCATTCAAATTAATGGACCAAAGTTAGTCATGCCGATTAATTTCATTAGGTTCACTTTAATAATAAATAATAATAATAAGTTATTTTTCATACCCTGCCCAGAGTGGCTGGGTTTCCTCAGCCACTCTGGGCGGCTCCCGACAGATAAAACATCACACATTAAAAACTTCCCTAAACAGGAACTTTGAATAGGACTAGCATTGGATAAAACCTAGAAAGTCTAAAATGAATGACCTCTTTATAGAAGACGACATCAAAGACATTTTGCTCTAGGGGGGCCACTAGGGGGCGCATTGGAAGATGGCTGACAATACCATCTCTCCGACCCACACGGGGTAATTAAGAGGCTGTTATGGGAGTAGGCAGCCTCCCTTGTTGCCCCAAGGAAATGGGGAACACTGTCCTTGCCTGCTGTGCCCATAAATCACCCCCCTAATTCGAAAGAAGGGGGTGAGGGCCCTAGGCAGAATGCCCCCGTGTGGACCTCGGCTCTCCTGGACGCTGTCTCTGATCGCGCACTAGCTGCAGCAATTTGGAATAATTAATTACAAAAGAAGCAAATGCACATATTTCAAGTGAAGAAGGGGAGTGAAGTCTGCTAATTTAAGTGACCTCTGCGAAAGAAGACGACGGGTTGGAGAAACAGGAATATTTTACGGTGAAGATACACCAAAGGCTGGGTATGTTGACAACGGGACTGAATGGGGGGGGAACCTTTTTTACTTTCCTTCTATGTGATTTACAAGAACCCCTCCTCATTAGAATCGTTGGTTGAACTGACCCAAGCAGGATGATTAAGGTCAGTGTGGAGATAAACTTTAACCAAAAGTATGCTTTATGGAGATCGAGAAGCAATAAGAGCTTTTGGAATGGTGCAGCAATTAATTCGGAGTCGCCATCTTGCCAAAGGATTTATAGCCAGGAGGAAGAACGGACTTGTTTTCAGACTGCATTCCTGGTGAATCTCATCAGAGGTTTTGAGAAAGGAGGCAGATTGGTGAAGATTAATGATGCTAAGACTGTTTTGATGTATGGAAGTGATGTTATATGGAAAACGTCTGGATATGGCTACTGGATAAAAAAAATAATATCCACGCAGGATTACAAAATGTTCTAACCAGCTTGTGGAGACTATCAGAGGTCACAAAGAGAAAGGAAAAATATATGAAAATAACAACAAGAGATGTGGAAAAACAATAAGAAAGGACTGGATAGTACTGTGAACATCATAAGGTTAGATTTGTGGACATTAAAACAGCAGTAAGAAGCAAGAAGTTGATTGGATCCCCTTCGGAACTTGAAATATGGGTACCCCCAACAAACATTTAAAATTTGGTTGTGTAATTTGGAATTTATGTAATTTGGTTTGATTTGATGTGATTGGTCAGTTAATAAAAAATTATTCAAAAAAAAGAAAAGAAGACATTTTGCTTTACTATACAGGAGAACGACTGTAGTTTAGAATTTTAGCTGGGTGCTGTTGTTGTTTTCCCCCCCAATTTATAATCCAGAATATCTGGATTACACCAGGTCATTGAAGGCTTTCTTTCCCCTTTCCTCCTTCCTAAGCAAACGTGCTGTCGATGGAGACCACCTTTCTGATCAGCGGCCTCCTCTTCGCTGTGCTACTGAAACGCTGGGTCTGGGATTATACCATCACTGTTACCATGGTCCATGTGCTCTTGACTGTTGCAGGTGAGTTCAAGGCAGTCATGTGCTAAGTTGGAGGGACCCTTTCAAGGATTGAAAAAGTAGCAACGTTTGGCACTGGATTGCAGCTTTCATGGACCAGTGAAGTAACAGCCAACTGTCCAGCTAAGATATTACCGTATTGGCCTGAATATAAGCCTCACTTCCCCCCAAATTCCAACCGTGAAAAGTTAAAGTGCGGCTTATATTCGTGACCTTACGGTATGCAGCCAGAAGCACGGGGCAAACAGTGCCAGGAGCGCGGCAAAGTGGCGCCCGCCCCGTGCGTCTTCCCCTGTCCTCTCCTCCAAGGCCGGGAAGGGAGAGGGCGAGATAGGGGAAAGGCCATTGGCAACACAGCGTGGCTCCCCCGCTCCCCATAAACAGCCAGGAGCAGTGAGGAATGGAGTGGCTTATATATTTTTCTTCTTCTTTTTTCCTCTCCAATTTTAAAGGTGCGGCTTATATTCGAGTGCGGCTTATATTTGGGCCAATACGGTATCAGTCATGTTCAAATCTTTTGTTTATTTACTTAAGTTATATACTGCTTCATATTTCTACAAACGTTTCTAAGCAGTTTATAAGTCACCCCCAAAGCAAGTTAATACAAGGGAGTATAATACAAACGCCACATGCAATGCAAAACAGTATTACTAATCACCATCATAATAATGACTTCAGATGGTATTTAAGGCTTGTCCAACTCAGAGTAGACCCACTGACATAAACATGACCACCTATAGTCTTCACTTCAGTGGGTTTACTTGAGTAGGACTTAGAACCTTCCACATTTTAAGTTAACATAATTAAACAACTAAGAACTGACTGCAAAAGGAATTTATTGATGAAAGAACAAAATATATCCAGGTTATGGGCAGGAGAGAAATGTAATTCATTTTGTATTTAAAGGCAGACTAACCTAAGCTGCACTTAATGAAAGAAGATGAAAAACAATAGGCAGGCATCCTTTAAAATTTGCATTTATCCGAATTTTGCAATGCAGGTTGTCAGCTAAGCAAGGAGTACAAAAATGTGTAAGGGTAAAGTGTGCATTAAAAATGCATTTATCAGCAAAAATTACTGGTACATAAAATATGTTACATCAGGGGAGATTGTTTTGCAAAAACGGATACATTTGTGACCTTCCCATTCACACCAGCCAGCATGCCAAGTAGTCAGAGGAATGATGGGAGTTGTAGTCCAATGCCACTGGTTCTCCTCTCCTGGCCTAAAAAGTTCACCCAGCAGACAAAGCCAACTTTTCCCGTCTTCCCACAGGCATCCTCTCCGCCCCCACCACCCTAGAAGCAGCAGTAACAGCTAATGATCCTGCAAAATCAAATTTAAAAACAGCTTTAAAGCAAATATGAACATTACCAAGGAAGAGAGCGTTGTTTTTAAATAGCTTGCAAATGGCTGGCACCCGCCTCTTCTCTCATGTCCCTGCCTCCGCTATTGTTCTGTCCCATTAATCCCTGTGCCATGTGGAACCATCTTTCCTTCTCTCCCATCATGGCAGCAATGATAACAGGGAAGAGCCTTCCATTTCTCTTGCGCGCGGAAATGCCAGAAAGACAGGCGCCGACATCTGCAGCCTGCTGGTGCTAATGGACTGGAAAAAGGCACCCATCACTTCGCTGTCACCATGAGAGGTGCAACGCTCCCCCTCGGCTTCCCATGTCAATTGCGTTGCTGGGGGGCATCTATGGAAAAGACTAATTGCTTAGTCATAAGCAAAGCAATTTTTGCTAAATGGGAGCCAGACACATGTGCTTTAGTAGAAAGGATTGTGTTGCTCCCGTGCCACAGTCCCCATGCGTTTTCCGATTAGGGCCACTGCATCGGCCTCCAACATGGGCATGATTTGTTGGCGTCCTGGCTCGGGCATGATAAACTGCAGCTACTTCTGCTGCCAAAGCAAGGTGCAGTCATTCTCTCTCCCCCCTTTAAAATTGTGACTCGGAGGGAGGCAAACTTCTGTGCTCCAAGATTGAGATGGATGGATGAAAGGGCTAAGATAGGCAAATTAAGAGATGATTGATGAGCGAAGCGAGGAACTGGGAAGAGCTGCACAAAGAGATGAATGGACTTGCAAACAGATAGATGAGTCAGGTTTATTGGATTTGCTATGCCAGAACAGGGTGGTAGCCACCTACTTTAGTAGTCCAGCACACACCTGAAAGGAGCTCAGCCCCCTTGCTGGAAGATGCTGCACTGGAAGGGAAGAGGAGGATCTGGACCAATAAACTCTAGTTTTGTCTCCATCCTCCTCCGAAAGGGCAGAGACAGAGAACACAGAAGAGGAGGAAGCCAACAGGCAGTGCCACCCTCAGGATTGACTGTAAAAAAGAAGGCAGACAGGTGGGGCAGTGACCCATTCATGCTAATCGTCCCACCTCTGTTGTGCATGTACCTGTATGTTGCAAGTACAGTTCTCCTGAGTACTGGTGGGTCACTCAAGATGGAGAGGAAAGATGAATAGGTAGCAGCAGCAAGGCCAGGAGGCTGCAAGAGTTGGTAGTGGATCCTGCACTGAGGTATGGGCTTTGGCAGCTGTCAAACAATGCTAACCCAGAAGTCAGCCTTGCTTCTTATGCACTGTCACAGTTCAAGGACTCTTTCCAACTAGGAAAAACACTCAAAGCAGGACCAGAAGGATGTATGGTTGAGGAGAGCTCTGAGAGCCAGACAGAGGGCCTTAGAAGGCCACATTTGGTCCTCAGGCCTACAGTTTCCTGACCCTTCAGTAAGGCAAAGCTGTGCTTCAGGTTACTGAAAACATTAGTAGTAGAGGCAGCAAAGGGACCTTGGACCCTGGAATGCCACATTTCTCCGATACGTTCTTTCCTACCAAATAAATTATTCTTTACAGCAGGGATTGGCAAACTAAGGTCTGTGGGCCGCATCCAGCCCAATTGCCCTCTGGATCTGGCCCGTGAATGGTTCTGCAATCGCTGCTTGGATTGGTGCGATCGCCATTTTTCCCTGGTCACCATTTTTGGGTGATTTGCCCCCCTTCCTCCCTCACCGTGGCAGCGTCTCCTCCCTCCTCCCGGCTTCTCCCCACCCTGCAGAGAAAGGGGGCTGGGCTTTGATAGTAAGCCTCGCCGCCCGCCCACCGTCCTCTCCCCATGGCTGCGCTGTGGGCTGGAGCTTGGTGCGTCTGCTGGCCCTGTGCCAGGGAAAGCTGGCACGAAAAGGAGAGGCGCCGCCACCGCCGCCAGCTCCCAACCGCAGGCAGAGTGGCGGCGGAGGTAGGCAGGGGGAGGGGAGGGGCTGGGGGAGAGAGAAGCCCCCTCCACCGCGTGCATGTGCTCCTGCGCACACAGTCCGGCCCGTTACTATGTCTGGGGGATGGTGAACCGGCCCCCTCCCCAAAGAGTTTGCTGACCCCTGCTTTACAGTATAGTGATGCCGGCATATCTCCAACTTTTCAGCTGACTTTTCTGACCTGTCTTTTGCAGTAATGAAAGAATTTCCTCTGGTTTGGCAATGGTGGCTGGCGCTTGGTAAGATCATTTTCAAAAAGCCAACTCTGCTTTCGAAGGGATAGTATAAGGTCTGCAGTATTCCAAGTCAATCCAACATGCATTGCTTTGTTTGGGAGTTCACACCTCTGACAGGGTGTTGAGGGCTGGGTCAAGGTGGCCCTCTCACCTTCACCGTGCTGTGCCCAGACCACCCAGTTTGCTGATTTTGTCAGGAAGAACCTGAAAACATGTTTCCTGCCTTCACTCCGATCTGCTAACTCTCATTGGCTAGTTATATGTTTATGTCAGCTTCAGAAGGGCAATGCTTCCTGGTCTCATTCCGGCTTCTCTTGGGTAAAGGAGAGCAAAACAATGTCCAGTAGTGGTGGAATTGCTACTAAAAGGACCATGAACAGGCAGCAAAGGGACAAAAAACATGAGCAAAGAGTGGATCTGCATAAAGCTGTGCCCCACTCATCAAACCCCCCTTTTCAAGCTGAAAGAAGTTAGAGAACATCTAGTAATATACACTCATCAGTCACCACTGCAAGGAAGAGCCAGGACCCACAAGTTACCCAGCTGCCCAAGAGTAAGTGCCCTAAGAATTCCTGACACTGGTTGCTAGGTAGTCCATTTCTTTTAGGGATTTTCCCCTGTGGTCATTGGTAAGCTTTGAAAGGGAGGAAGTTGCTGCAGCAACATTAAGAGTATTGTTAGGCTATCTTGCAGTAGGGCAGGGGTAGGCTTGGGGGCCAGATGTGGCCCAATTGCCTTCTCAATCCAGCCCGTGGACGGTCCGGGAATCAGCGTGTTTTTACATGAGTAGAATGTGTGCTTTTATTTAAAATGCATCTCTGGGTTATTTGTGGGGCGTAGGAATTCGTTCTCCCCCCCCCCATATAGTCCGGCCCACCACATGGTTTGAGGGATGGTGGACCGGCCCACAGCTGGAAAAGGTTGCTGACCCCTGCAGTAGGGTATGTGATGCCCTCCGGCTGCCTTTTTTCCTTTCTTAATCTTACTTGGTTGCGAGTTCCTGTAAACCACCTTAGAAACCTGTAATCAGTCAGAAAGGAATGATGTAATCTTAAATAAATTATTAGCAGAGGATTAGGTTAATTTAGACAATATTTCATATGCTGATTTACCTTCCCTCTGCAGCCAGCGGCCTCTTCATCATGATTTGCAGCAGAGAACTCGTGACTTACCTCGCCTGCTCCAACACAGACCGCCTTCTTTAAGCTCAAAGCGGCCTCACTTCTTCACATCAACACGCAGCGCAAGGCACTCCCTGCTCATCAGAAAGGGACCATGGAGCATACAAAAGGTCCCAGTTTCAATTTCAGGTTTCTCCAGTTAAATCAGGGATGGGGATCCTGCAGACTTCTAGCTGTTATTGGATTCCAAATCCCATCAGTCACAGCCAGCATTGTCAATAGTCAGAGATCGGGGGAATTTGAGTCCAACACTTGGAGCATCACAGGTTTTCCATTCCAAAGTTAAATGAATCCCAGGTAGAAGGGAATGTGAAGGACCACTGCCTGAGACCCTAGAATAGAAAATGCTGACCTAGATGGACCTATAGTCTGATTTTGGCAGTATATGGCAGATTCTTCCAGCATTCCATTTGAAAAAGACAGGCTGACAAGGGTGCCTAAGCAGACGGCAGCATTTAGCTGTTAATCAGTTACAAATATCAGCTTACAATGTGGCCTTGATTAAACAAACAAATTGCTAACTTTAGAAAATATTTTAAATACCTTACAAAAACTGTAGAGGGCAAGCACCATCTAATATAGGCACTCCTTCCAGTGCAAGAAGGGAGGTGCCTCTGGAGTCGATGGTGTCATCTGCTGCAAAACACACATACTGAAACAATGAATGTTTCTTCCCCCTTAGAACTACTGTTTTTGTACAACTATATGTAATATCATTGTATTTTGTTTATTAAAACATTTATATCCTGCTGATGCAAAACAACTACTCAGGACTGCTTACAACATATATACTAATGGGGTCTGGACTGGCAGTAACTGACCAGGAATGAGATCTTGGGGTTGTATTGGATAGCTCAATGGAAACGTGGAGCAGCTGTGGGAAGTGGCAAATTCCATGTTAGGGATCATTAGGAAAAGCAAACTGCCATTATAAAAATCTATGTGAGACCACACTTGGAATACTGTGTAGAGCTGAGCTTACAAGACTTTTCACGTTGGTGACATACTTTTTAGACATGCATCATTTTGTGACACAGTCATTCATTTTTAGTAGCAAACGGAGGTTAAACCAACCCCTTCCCAGCCCTGAGAGGAGCACAGGGATTGTTCACATGACACACCTACACACTGCAGCCGACACACTAACGTATTGCGCCACACAGTTTGGAAAGCTCTAGTGTAGTTTTGGTCACTGCAAAAAATAAAATAAAATAAAGATATTGTAGAGCTGGAAAGGGGCAATCAAAATGTTCAAAATGATCCCTAAAAACACTTTTGAAACCCCAAATTCTTCAAGTTCATGGTATCACCAACACTTAGAAAATCAATTCATATTCTAGAATTAAAAGAAATATTGACTGATTTTGCCAGGGCTATCACACAATTTTTCTCTGGGCTTAAAACATTTCTATTGTTTTATCTCCAATCTCTGTGGGCCTGATATACTTTCTCATCATAATTAGTCCATGCACTGATAACTTTCATCAAAGCCCAGCACAGCCGTTCTCATTTTATGCTTATGTGTGTGTGTGCTAATGCGTATAAACATACAAGCTTCTACACTGCCCAAGTCTAATGCATGAAAGCACCATATAAGCTATTAAAGCAATACCATGAAATACCCCAGAGGCTGATATAGCAACACTACGTGACTGAACAGCTTCAAGAGTGCCATAGGCTATTACTAAGCTCCAGCAAAAATCTCATCACTGATCAGAGCTAGAGAATTTTATTGGAAACGAGAATCATTGGCATTTCAACGGTCATTACACGGTTCTGCAAGAACAGGTTTGCAATCAAATACAATTTGCCTTCATTTCAGTTACAACAGTCTTGATATAAATAACCAATTTTAAACTAGTCTTTCTATGCGTTATATACAGATTAGGAGGATGACACTTGAGGACTGCAGGCTGCATCTGACGCATCAACGCTCTCGGAAAGTAAGTGGTAACTCCAGGGGAAAAGCCTTGGTAGGCTGGATACAGCTCATGTTGCCCATCGCTAATGGACCAACAATGTGAATTAGAACGCACTAGACATTAAGAGGGCTAGTAGGCAAGCCTCACTTTTCCTGAAGTCTTGACCAGATCTGTCTTCCCATATAAAACTACGCCACTAATGTACAATCACTTTTATGCCTGATTTTGAATGGTGGGAGCACATTGCTACTTAAGACAAACACAGGAAGTGTTACAAGTGGAAAAGAAACAAAAGAAAGATGTGTAGGAAATGGACAGGTTTTGCTGTCCATAATTCAAAAGCTGTTCTCCATCTAAAGAAGGCCAAATACGTTAATTATGCAGTAGTACCTGATCCTAGAAAATGCAATCGATCTGCAGAAGCAGAGCTGAAGTGCAGAAAAGCCAGCAAAAAGTGTGCTATAGGAGAAAGAAATTTGAGCACACAGCAGCTTTTCTACAGTTCCTTCACTGAAAATCTAGATCAGGGTACACTGAGGGAAAGTCTTCCTAGGTCATCCTCCACCCCACCTTCTGCCATGAAACCAGTGTTTCCTAGTCATATAGAAACAAGAGCTCCCACCACCACTATTACTGGATAGTCTGGGCCATTTGCCCCCCACAGTTCCCCCTCTGCCAAGCTACAGGGCATGGAGCTTTGAAAAAGTTCAGTTCTCTAGTCTTGGGAGCCCTCAAACCAGCTGGGCCTGACCTCCATCTGAACAGGCTGTGTACAAATTTCCCCATCAGACCGGCTTCACATAACAAGGATCTGTTTAGCTGATACATAGGGCTTCATGGAAGACTCCAAAGCAGCTTGGTAGTCTATCAGTGGGACTTCTTGGCAGGCTGGAGCTGTGAGCTGACCCTTACGAATGAGATCACATAGATCTTCAATCATTCCCCTCAGTTTCTCTTTGTCTGTATACAGGAAACAAAGCAGAGTTTATATTAAAACATTCTCAAAAACAACTGAGCTTACATTGAACAAGTCCTGGCATGAGAATGAAAAAGGCAATGATGCTAATAAATCTACTGCTACTAATAAGCAGGTTTTGATTGTTTAGAAGTAGGGAAGTCAAAAGCGACACAAACAACACATGGATGTTGTTCAGGGCAGAGATACTGAAATTCCAGCTTGAGCTGGAGGCCGTAATGCATCTGAATACTACTCGCTGGAGACCACAGAAGGGGAGAGGGCCCTTGCCTTCAGATCCTGCTTGCAAGTTCCATAGGCGTCTGTTTTGCTACTGGGAGAAAATGATGCTGGACTTGATGGGCCATTGGGCTGATCCAGCAGGCTCTTCTTATGTTCTGTTCTAACACAGTTCAGGATACCTCTTTTGTGCGCTGGATAGAACAGGAGTGGTTTCTTTCGTTGTTTAAACTAGAGCTTGATGTTCAGCAATTGGAGCAATTGGAGTCAGGTGGAGAGGTGAGGTGAGGTGCCTGTGAGGTGGGCTAAGATGCCAAAGAGCGGCTCAGGGGGCAGAGCGAATTATCTACAGCATACTACTGGTATAACATGCAACTACACATTTACATTCATTTTACTACAGATCAGAGATTCCAACACTAAAGCCGGATAGCAGAGATACACAGAAACCAGCTGGTCAGCTAATGCCTCTGACGATAAGGGGTTCTCCAGGGTCTCAGGCAGAGTTCTCTCTCATCAATATACAGGACCACACATCACCCTGCTCTTTTCTTCCAAACCCTATTTCACCATTGCACATTACCCTCACTTACTCTGTGCGTTGTCCCGCTTCCACTGGGTCATCCAAAAGCCACGAAGTTTCACATCCTTAAAGATCAGTGCACTCTGCAAAAAAGCAGACAGATTATGAAAGCCCTGCAATATATTTTCTTTTGGAGGACATTTTGGAGGACAACATGACCTGGCATGAGAATGGTTTTGCCCCATAGATGCGAAGAATTTGGCACTCTGCCAAGGAAAGAGATGACTCGTTGCAAGGAGAAACACAATAGGAATAAGCTATTGCCCTTAACAAATGGAAATGTGCAGAAAAAAAGTAAGTAAACCACAGAAATCTCATGGCTACTCACCACAGGGGCTGTTATAGGCTGCTTTGACATTCCACCATAGGTAACCATGGTCCCTTTGTGCCTATAGGAAGAATTAGCAGTGAGATTAGAAGATTAAATGGCCGGGCTTTTCCATTTCCAGACAACAAGCATATCCTCTTACTTCAGCACTCAAGTCTACTTTGTTGACCAGCTTCTCTCAACTCCTGGATATCTGGCTAATTTTACCAGGATTAATTTGTAAGCAGCACAGCCCAATAGTTCACAGTAAACAGTACTGCACAAATACCAGAATGCCATTCCTTTTCCTGAGAAAAATGTCTTAAATTTAGATCAAGCAAAAAATTGGGAAGGTGAGTTAGGGTAAGTGCATAGGGGCCCTTTCAGAACAGCCTGCTGGATCAGGTCAAGGGGTCACCTAGTCCAGCATCCTGCTCTTCTCACAGTGGCCAACCAGGTGCCCATGGGAAGCCTGCAAACAGAACCTGAGCACAGAAGCACACTCCTCACCTGTGATTTCCTGCAACTGGCATTCAGAATCCACCCTGTCTATTGCCTAAAGTCTATGACTAAGAGAGATCTGTTCCTTTTCAGAAAGAACATCTGCAGGTTTGTGGCCCTGGGCAATTGTCTGCCTTTAAATAATAGGGCGGCTCCTGGCAGTGCGTCTGCCGAACCTGGCAGGCCTTCAAGGTAATTTCAAGCGGCTACACTAAATTATGGAACACAAGCCAGCTTTGATCAATAAAGCCCCAAACTAGTGGGGTCCCAGTTAGGATACCAACCCCCTTCCTGTGTCCAGTCATGATGACAGCTAAGTTTGCTCAAGAGTAGGTTTCAGTCCTTCCATGATCTGTGTTCAAACAGCTACTGAGCATAGGAGTATCTCATGGAAGATACAGATTTAGAACTTTATTCCCTCAGAACATGAAACTCAAGCAGGCTCAAGATTCAGCAGGAGAGACCCTTTAGCACTGACAGGCATTTGAAAGTTACTAGCTCAACAAGTAAGGTATTCTATGTCTTTTAATGCATCTTAATTTCTCTCTTAAATGTTACCTATGCTGAACCTCTGTGATAATGATCAATATAACTACAATTAAGACTGCTGGGAGCTGGAATCTCATATCCTTGGGAAAACTCTCTTTTTTTTACATTAGGAATAAAGACTTTCAATTCACCCACAATCTTGTTTCTTCAAGAAACATGAGTGCAGACACCCAAGAGAGGATTTTGTAAATCTGCACTGTGAACTAGAGGATTCCAGCCACAAGCAATACTATTTAAATACATTTATTTAAATATTTATTCCAGAGCAGTTCACAATGCAAATATTTAAAATGTTTAAAATATGAAATATACAAGCAGTTAAAAACAGTAAGACAAAGGCATTTAGTAAACACTTAAAATGCACCCCCAACAAATAGCTGAACTTACTGCAGGTGACGCAGCAACTCAGTGGCACTTTTCCCTCCAACGCCATTCAAAGCTAATATGGGCCTAGGGATTTTCTGGAGAACAAGAGATTGTACAGAAAATAAGCTCCTTCTTTTACTGCCTCCCCCCTCACCGCATGTGTTTGCTGCTGTAGCTCCAAGATGTCAACCTTTCAGAAGGGATTCTCACAAAGAGACACATTCACCTGATCCTGGCTCATTTTGTGTCATTCAATACAGCTATAATCAAGACTCCTATGAGCTGGAATCTTTTATCTCTAGGATGCAACTGAGTTGAATTTTTCAAAAGATTCATGGTTTGGCCCATAATACGAGGAGGCAGCTTCTGGGCAGACAGGAGGAGAAACAGAAAGGAATGCAGAAAATCTGACTTCAGTTTTAAGGGGAATAATTGCAACTGAGGCTGTATGGTTTTCGTTGTGGTGTCAGTCCTAAGCCACCTCTGCCTTGCCACTCAGATTTTTGTCTTTGTTCATATTTCATTATCTTCCACTCTACCACCACCAAACACCCTGTCTTCTCTGTCTGTTTTATTTCATTTATTATCAATCAGTAGTGATTCACTGTTGCAACCCTGTTTTCCTTTGCCATCTCTGTCCCCCAGAAATCTGGTTTTCACTTATACCTTAAACAGCTCTTTTACTTCCGGTTTTCTCAGCATCTCCTCTGTGATGACATGGTCTGCTCCAAGGGACTTCAGTCTGTCTACAAGCTCCTGGAGATTGGGTCTGGGAAGGAAGGACAAATGATAAAGGAATCTAGTTAATGTTAAGACCCACTGTTTACCATGCCACGCTGCACAGTAGCGAGGGAGAACATCTTCTTGTACTCGCCATCATGTGAACCCAAGTCTTCATTTAGTGAGAAAGGGAAGAGCTTCTGCTATTCTTCCTGCAGTCAGTCACTGAAGCAGCTTCCTCAGAATACGTTGCTGAGGGAACCACTTGCCAATTGCTCAGACACCTAAGTAGATTACAATCCAGAAACCATAATGTGGGAGCCATCAGCCATGCCACTTCCATTTCTCCACTCTTCTCCAAAATAAATCCCTTTTAATCAGACATCCACATGCCCACTTTTCATTGACTAGACACAAGGGAGGGTTTGGAAGAAATGTAGTCAATTAAACGCTTCTTTAAATAATAATAATGCAGTAGTTAATAGCAATTATTATTATTAACTAAACTCAGGCACCCATAGATTAATGTAACACTGAATGTGAAGCAGTGCAGAGGTGGGAAAGCCGGAAAGAGGTGAAGCAGATGTATGAAATGATGCCTAGTGTACAGTTAGTGGGTAAGGAGTTGTTCTTCTCTCATCTAACTCATTGGGAGCATCCCATGAAGTTGAATGGTGGGAGATTCAGAACAGGGAAGAGGAAATATTGCAAATAGTTAAACTATGGAAACTGATACCACAAGATGTACTGATGGCAGCTAATTTCAACAGCTTTCAAAAGGGATTAGGCAAAATCCTGGAAGATAAAACATGATGGATACATACAACCTCCAGTATCAGAATACTAGTTGTGGAGAATACTAGTGGGAATGCGCTATTGTGCTCATGTTCTGCTTGTGGCTTTCCATAGACATCTGGCTAGCTATTGTGAGAAGAGAACACTTCCCTTAGATTAGATGGGCCTGACTGCCCTGATCCAGCAAGGCTGTTCTTACATTCTTGGGGTAGGGCATATATTTGGCCCTCTCCTCATGCTGCATTAACCACATTGAAGGACAAAGATAACATACTTAAACTGTGACTGTCTTTTGCCCCCAGAGAGGATAACAGCAATTTCTGAGTAGTGGTTGAGGATAAAGATTTCAATGAAGGGGATGGGGGGAAGCACAGACGGGATTCCCCTCTTCTATTTTTTAAATTATTATTATGTTACATTTAATCCCACCTTTTTCTCCAAGGAGCACAAGGTGGCATATATAGTCCTCTCCCTCTCCACTTCATCAACACAACCACTCTGTGACACAGATTAGGCTGAGAAACAGTCATAGAGAAGTCATAGAATCATAGAGTTGGAAGGGACCCTGAGGATCATATAGTCCAACCCCCTTTAATGGGGATTGAACCTGCAGCCTTGGCGTTATCAGCACCACACTTTAACCAACTGAGCCATCCTGACTGGCCCAATGTCACTTAGTTAGCTTCATGGCTGAGTGGGGATTTGAACCCTGGCCTCCTAGGTCCTAGTCCAACATACTAAACACAACACCACTCCAGTTAACACCCCCTCCAAAACAGTCTCTGTGGCAGTCTTAAAAGTTTTCTTTTCTTTAAGAAATTGTGGAACTCTTAATTTGCACCTGGTTTTGTCTGTACCTGCTGAAAGTTATGCTACACCTTAAAAAACCTACATTATGATCATGTTGCAGGACTGTGATGCATTTACCTGCTTAACTCTAACTTTGGGAACTGCTACCAAGAGAATATCCTCTCCTGGCCAAGCCAAGTCAAGCAGCAACTAGGGGAGCTGTTTGGGCCAAAACAAAATAGAAAAGATATGCAGAATGAGCAGTTTCACTGTACACTCACCTATCTCTGACCACATTTATTGTTTTGAACCCCTTGGCTGCTGCGATCTGGATGACGGCCTGCCCCACTCCACTATTGGCTGCATTTTGGATGACTGAATCTCCTGCAGACAAACAGATGCATCTCTGTTTAAGATTCCCTTTCATTTCCTTTGGTGGAGTTTGCTAATTTTCATTCTTGTCTGTTACAGAATATAAAACACAAGAGCAACCCTGCTGGGTCAGACCAAATGCTTCTCTAGTCCATCATTCTGCTCACAGTGGTCTATGGGAAACCCACAAGCAGGACATAAATACAACAGATTCTGAGAAGCCACAATCCATGTTGTTCTTAGTAGGAACCCATCACCCCTTTCAGTCCAAATTTGAAGGGTTAGCTCTAGAAATGCTAAAATGGTTGAACATTGCTAAAATCTTGTTATTTCCATCAGCAGCTATAGATTCTGGTATCAATGTCTGTGCTAAATCACTACTGGTTGATAATAAACAAAACAAAACAAAACAAAACAGAGAAGACAGAGTGTTTGGTGGTGGAGGAAGAAGGGATGATAATGAAATATGAATGAAGACAAAAATCTGAGTGGCAAGGCAGAGGTGGCCTAGGAATGAAAGTACAAGAACCATACAGCCTCAGTTGCAATTATTCCACTGCCCGAGTTTCACTCTTCCCCCTCCTTGTTTCTGGCCACATAAAGTCATTTGGGAAAAACAGAACAAAAATTCATCTTATGCTGCTTCTCGAACAGGCTCAGACTTGAACTTTGGAAATTCTCCCAGGGGATGAAATTCACGATGAAGGAGCAATAATTGAGAATACCTGTCGACATGATTATGCTGTCCAGACTAAAAGGTAATTAAGATGAGCAAGGCAAGTTAGAGTTCTTTTGCTCATCCCTCACCTCTATTCCTCCCTGCATCCTTCCTAGAGAGTCTAGTGATGCATCTTATGACTAAAGTACAGACCGGCTGGATTATAACAAAGGGCCAAAGGTTTCTCCAATGGTCAACCAGATGTCTCTGTGTAGCCCCAAAGCAGGTCATGATGTCCAGTTGGTAAAGTTGCTCATGATGTACAAATACTACAAAACACATTGTCAGTACACACCTGGCTTCAAGACCTCAAAGTCCGACAACATCCGATAAGCTGTGCAGGGGTTGACACTTAAAGTGGCAGCGCACGTTAATGGGATATCAGGAGGAATTTTCAGCAGGGTCTCCTCACCAAATATTGCCTCTGTTCGCCATGTTCCTGATTTGAGGGATTAAAGAAAAAAGTCCAGTTTGGGCAAAGAGTGCAGCTAGAAACAAGCAGCTTAAGTTAGAAGCTTCCGGTTCAAGAAATAGGTCAAAAATTATGAATAGCTCAATTCCTGCAAGCTAGTGGTTTCAAAATGTTTACTGACATGCCTAAGAGCAAAGAAGAAAATAAATTGAGTTTTTGCCTGCTGCTGGGTCACAAATATTTTCTTGGAAGAACATCAGGGCTGTTCTTTTTTCAGGCCTAAGTAGGTATGATAAGAGAACTGATTGGACCTCCTGATTTTCTGTTGTTGTTTAAGAGGTAAACACACTATGGGTATCTATGAAGCAGGCAATGACCATTGCAGTGCACAACTTTTAAAACAACCCCCCCCCCATTTTATTAATCCCTGACTTCAGAAGTTTCTCTTTGTCCCATGGGAAGAAAATACAAGCACTATTTCTGAAGGTCACATAATTAATTTTTGGCTATCCACCAAATGCTGCAAACTCTGCCCACTTAGGCATAAATTGTAAGTTGATTGATGAAAGCTGGTGGGCGCTACTGTATCTTCATCAGAGATTTTCAAGTGCATGTCTTTGTAGATGTACAGCAAAAGAGGGCATCTTTCTTTAAACTGGGGAATCAGACTATCAGACGGGTTATGGCCCTTGATGAGTATGTTTCCTTTCTCCTATCTAGCTGCAGAGCCAATTTTTCCTTAGTTAATTGTTTTAAAAAAGTTATTCAAGCTCACCAAGTCCTGCATCAGCTGGGATAACCAAATCACCTGGCTTCAGAGAAGTCACACGACTCCCAGCTTCAATCACTTGTCCAACTCCTTCATTCCCACCAACCGCAGGCAAGTCAGGCAGAGTAGCATACGTCCCTGCAAGATGACAACTATACCATAAAACATCCAAGCAGTTATTGGAAATAAGCCAATATTCAGACTTGCTTCATTTTTTCTTCATATTCAGAAACAAGATGCCAGCATGTGACAAGCATATGAACATTCGTTACTTATGACTGAAACAGCCATCTTTCAATCAAAATAGTTTCCAAGGTGGTTAACAATGAACATAAACTAAAAGACAATTTACAACTTAAGTAAACGAAAAGTGGTAAATCTGTCACAGCAGCAGTTGGAACACTCACTCTCTGTCTCTGTGAATGAAGTTGCATCCTTCTCCCAGGTCCCTAGTTCAGGGATGGGGTTCCAGCTGCCTCCCAGCTGTCATTGGTTTCTTTAACTTCCATCAGTCCCATTCAGCATTGCCAGTGGTCAGGAATGATGGAAGTTGTAGTCCAATGTTTGGAGGGTTTGGAGGGCGTGGGGTTTACAGGTTTTGCACACCTGCTTTGGATGTTCTGGCACCTTCATATCCTCCATGCACTCCTAAACACAACACATAGGGGACCTTCACCCCATGCCAGAGGCACAAGGGCCAATTCCTACACAATCATTTTAATTTGTTGCTGTTGAACAGGGAGCGGAAGCTGAAACACCTGAATGGCAATTGCTGCCTTCTAGAATATGCTACTGCCTAAACCAGTCAGAGCCAATCTGGGAGGGAGCATGTTGGGAGAGAATCTGCAAAGTTGAGGGGTAAGGAGAACATCTCTTCCTGCTACTTCTTGCTTTCGCTCTTCAGTATTAAGTGGATAGCTTCACTACTGAAAAGCACATATGAATATTTATGCACTTTATGGAGCTTTGCTGCCTATATGTATTTGGGGGCCAAATCATTCCAAGTATTTAGACAACATTAATAACTTGCATGGCACACAGTGACAGACATGGCCCTTAGAAAACATTGTTTTCAGAGATGGAAAGGAATTCAACCTGACTCAAATTGTGTGTGTGTGTGTGTGTGTGTGTGTGTGTGTGTGTGCGCACACGCAGAAGAAGGAAAGTTGGCCATGTAACCCCTGTGGTATATTCCACAGGGTATATAATTAAATTTAGACAATCTATTTTGCCTTATTACCATCTGACAGCATTATATGAAGAAATGATATGGGGAGCAAGAATGAAACTGTCTGCATGCAAGCCAAGGTTACCTTGAATCATATTGATGTCAGATGGATTGATAGGGGCTGCAATCATTTTCACATTGACTCCAGAATCCCCCAGCTCTGCCAGATCTATCTCCTTTAGGCTGGAAGGAAAGGCAGACAAAAATGCAATATTATGCTTAAGGCTCTTTCTCACCCATGTGATTCTTAAGCATTTTGATGGATTTTAATCTGTCTTTAAAGTGTTCATCCATCAGGTTCAATCTCTCATCCGAAAGAGAACTTGTTTAAGTACCATTCAAACCTCCTGATAGCATCCTTCTGCAGCAGCAGTTGTGGACCCTTTGTGGGTTCCTAACCAGTTTTATATGTGACCAATGGGTATCATTCATTCATTGAGATTTTCTGAAAACTGAGTGATTTTCCCAACCTGTTGCATTCTAGTATTTTCTGTATTCTCCTATTTTATCTTATGCCATTTGTTTCTGTTTAAAATGCATTTGCAGCACCACCCTATAACACTAGCAAAGCACTATTTAGGATACTGTGTTAATTCTGGGATGGGAAACAGGATCTGGCTGGCAGGCTAAATCACGAGCTCACCCACCCTTTGAGGGCCATTTTGACAGGTGGACACAGCTACCCACTCATCAATCTGGTGGCATCATCATGATGTCAGGCGATCCATTTTTCTTTGAGCTCAAGTTGTGCTGCAAAGGAAGATACCAGCCAATCCAAGCAGAGCTTGAAGTCAATGCAGATCAGCTGATTGATGCTGTCTTCAAGCTCCACTTCTGGCAGAGATTGATGTCACTTGGGAGCTCCAATTCAGAGCTACTGAGCGGAATCAATCCCAGCAGGGCTTGCATTTGGCACCAAGTTTAAAAGGCACCAGTCGCCAAGGAATAATCAGGAGCATATTTTAAGCAGACAGTGGCAGGGAGAAGCAGCATCTTTAATGAATGGGACTTACTTCTGAGTAAACCCATATTAAAGCTCTCACCCATTAGGATTTGACAGACTTTTCATGGGGGAAAATAGTGTTATGTCAAGTGCTATATGAAGTCAATGTTGTAATTCCTGCTGACTTGTTAGAAGCAGTTTCTCTGAAGCACTAAATTGCTACGGTGAGGAAGCAACCGACATCCTGCTAAAGAATGCACATGGAAGACCTAAAATGTGCTACCTGGCATTAGTGGGATCCCTGCACTGGCTTTGGCCACCTTATACCCTTTGCAAAAGAAACCTTGACTTCCAGCTGCTTGGATACGGTAGGCAGCCAAATTAATTCGCTGCATCTCCACTGAAGCACCTGCCCAACACACTAGATTCCTGAATCGAAGAATGACACACAAACAGGCAAACATTACATCCCAATGAACTGGTCCATCATCTGATCTGTCAGCAATTCTGTTGCTACCCCAGAGAGCAGAGTGGAAAAGTTCAGTTCTTTTGCCCTCAAAAGAGACCAAAGCATCTCAGTAATTAAAGGTTAGATTCGACAACACAATAATGAAAATTAGTTCCAGCTAATAAGGGACTTCCCTAAAGGCTTTGAAGTGTTATAAAAAGCCATCAGCAAAAAGTTTGTCTATATTTAGATTTTTTAACCCTGCTTTCCTGCCCTAGGGCTTTCAAAGCAGCTCACAGTAAGAACATCACACAATAGCAAAACACAACAAAAATGACACTACCACATTACAAATCACAAACCAGACTAATACAATTTGAAAAGGCAGCCACATCACACCAAGATCTTTCACCTACAAAGCCATAAAATACATGATAAAAACACACACAAAAATGCTTGAAAAGGCAATTTAGAAAGCAGGTTGAATCTCAACAGCTAGAACAGGGTGATGAACTTGTAGCTCTCCAGATGCTGTTGGACTCCCAACTCCTATCATCCCCAGCCAACATGGCCAATGGTCATAAGATGATGGAAGCTGTAGCGCAACAACATCTGGAGAACTGCAGGTTCCCCCCTCTGCATCTGAGGTACAGCAATCTGTTAAACATATTGGAAATGTAACTTTTGAAATAGACAGCAGAAGACACAAATGTTCAATTTTTTTTAGCACTTTAGACATTAGCATGATTTGATCATGCAGAGGAGGGTCTCTGAAAATATGTGTTGAACCTCTGTGTAAATAGAGGATGAAAAAAAACCCTTTTCATTCACCCCAAGTCGTTTGTGCTCCCTGGTGGGTATTTCTGGGCACGGTTTCCAAGCTTGAACTCTCATAATCACGTCATTTTTTTATTTTTTTTAAAACAGGAGTAGCCCCTATTTACTGGTGCCTGCCCCTGGTAAAACACTTTGGGATTTTGCCTTTTGCAGAGAAATAAGACAGTTAAAAGAAAGCATACATAAGATTACAACTATGAAATGTATGTTGGGATGAATGCAGTGAGACAATGCATCCCATTTTTACCAAAGGCTACAATCCTACGCATACTTTTGAGTTAACATGTCAGGCACCAAGTGTTCATTCTAATAAACAGACTTACATTTTTAAAAATGTTATGGTCGGTTTACTAACACACATTACTTTGAAGCCAATGCAGGACAGGCTACTGCAGAGTAAATCAATATAGCCTACAGCATAACGTTGTCCTGGCTGTTTTTATTTTGCTGTTCAGTTGTTTAGAAAGGCATTTTATTGTTGCCACTGTAAGGTTGTTATCAGTGCAAAAGGCAGGAAATTATTCTTAATAAAAATAAACTGTGGGGAGGTCAGAAGTTCTGAAGTTACAATAAAATAAACCACTGAGGTGTGAATATATCTGTTACATCTCTCAATGACGGTCAATGTAGACGGTCCCATATACGGCGCAGGGACAGGGCACACTCCAAACTATGAACCCTTAATCTTAACAAATAGTATATACATTTAGTTAATGTTGCCACATAAGATCATAGGGATCAGATTCTGAAAAATGCATTTTTAGGTTGTAAAATAATTTCCTTTCACAGCAGCGTTTGGTACATCTTAGACACAGAGTGAAATGTTTGCCACAATGCTATCCATCACTGATGGATTTAGCACTGATAACATTGTTTAATCTTTTTCCACAAAGATACAAGCCACACACAGCTGGAGCTGTTGGAATTAAAATAGGTTTGGCTGTTTTAATAGACCTGTTCCAGCCGTTTCCTCTGAAAGCATGACAACTCTTTTCAGAGGCTTCTGATCCTAGTGTTCTAAAACAACCGATCACAAACACAATTGCTCATTTTCAGCAATTAATGTCATGGGGAATTTGTGTATAGACTCTTAAGTACAAATACCAAGGCCCTTGTTCAAGTCGCAAGTAGCATCTGTGCTGCAGTTAGGGAGGCTTTATAGCTTAGCTCTGTTTGGAATTATTGCTCATGTGTTTGGACTTAACTGAAACAGAGTAATCCATCATCCACGTGACTCAAGTGGTTACATTCTGTTTGCCTCTGCAGCTTTGTGCTGTAGTAAAATTCATAGTGTATTTTACCTGCATGATATTTAATCTCCTTCCTCCCACAAAGAGCCCGCTTCATTTTCCCTTTGTTGCAGATTCATGCACAAACTTTCCTCTCAACTGTTGTCACACACTTGGGGTGGCCTTGCCCCACCCCCTTTTTAAAAAGTGTGTGAGCACCACAGCAATGTTTCGTTAGCGTAGTAATTGCTCAGACACTGCAATAGCTCACCTTCACCTGGAGACTTGTTCATTCTATGTCAGAGATAAAGCAAAAATTCCTTTAGGATTTTCTAATTTTTAGCTCCCCAGGTTTGCACAGGGACTGAGACACAGCAACTTCCTATCTGCCCTCAAACAGGGGGTGGGGAGAGGAAGATCTGGGATTTATATTAGTGGTAAGATTTATAAACGTAATTTATAGGAGTGGTTTCTTTACAGCAGCACTCTACATTTAGCACATGGGTAGGGTACACAGAGACACCATTGAGGGTAAAGACTTTGCTTACTCTGTCACACAGTGGTGTGATGGAGGGGGACTGTGGGAGAGCGTAGCTCTAAGACTTTTTCCTTCCTGGAAAGGAGAGATAGCATCATCTCCTGGAGCACAAAAATAACTGATGGACCCTCCTTGCTTGTTACCTATTGATGCATCCTATCATAGAATCCAAATCAGAGTTGGAAGGGACCCTGAGCGTTATCTAGTCCAATACTCTATAGAACCAACAAACAGCAAAATCCAGTAAAAAAAATAGCAGCTGCATTAAATAAAAATAAGAGGGGCAGGAATCACCCACTGAATGCCCTAAATAGAACATGAAACACAGTTTGACAGGGGTCTTAAATATAAAGGACAGGTGCCAAACAGCTATCTGGGGGCATGTATTCAACACTAAGAGTGCCAACACAGAAGAGGCCCTACCCCTGGACACGACTCTTCTAACTTCTGAAAGTTAGGGCACCTAAAACCTCAGAATACGATCTTACGGAACAGAAAGATTCTTCTGGGAGGTCAGCTTTCAGCGTGTCAGCAGGGTACATCCCCTCAACTGTCTTGCCATCTGTTGTTCATCTGGTCATAGAACTCTAGGATTAACTGAAAAAAAAGCTTACTCCTTCACTTGCAGACTCCTATTTTAGCTTCCACTTCTCTGCACGCTAGAACGTAATAGAGGAAGGAAGGGTTTACATACTACCCAATATTCACTGTATCTCTGCACACAGAGAAGACACACAGTAACATCCCTGTCAGGACAAATTTGGAGCGGAGGTGGTGGTTGTATAAGAACCCTTTCTGCACCACAGCAGTACAGTTGGGAACTGACGTGAGCAGTCTGCATCTTTAAAAAAGTAATTTTAAAAAGTAGGCAAATGGGGGGGCAGCACTGAATACATCCCACAGGCTTGCCACCCCAACTTTTAAAAGGAAAAGAAAGAACATTTTGTGATGCTATCATAGCATAGTCCTCTGTAAACCACAAGATAGCACTTTGAGAGGCACACATGGTTCTTTCATGGACCAAGAAGGGACTTCTCAGGCCACTATTTTTTTAGTGACTAAAGGCATGTGGTTAATAATATATTTATCTTATAAGATGCCAGATGTGCAGCTAGTGTAGCTGGTGCTGAAAAACCAGGAACAGTAAAATCCAGTAGAGAAGACAGTTTAGTCTGAGCCCTTGATCTCAACATTTCTGAACAGACCAGATTTCTTTTTTCAAATTTATAGCTCCCTTGAAAAATTGATGTTCTAATGGAAATGCGGGCAGACCATTAATTACTACATTGCCAGCAAAGTATGGCAGGAACCTAATCATCCAAATTTGCTCAAATTTATTACGCCATTCAGCTGAATAATAGTCACTCGCTTCAACTGATCAAGTAAATTGTGTAAGAAATCCATTGCTTAATCTACAAGATGCTGGGCAGGGAATTTTATGGCCAATTGTCATATTTGATTTCCTTTCAGGACAGAAATTAAATATCACTGTGGCACTTTCAAGAAGTAACACGGGAATCAGGGGAAGAGAGTGCAGAATCAATTTACCATAACTAAACAGGGATAAGTATCCTTAGCAGCACATTCCAAAGTTTTTATATCAACATTGCAAGACCCCCCAACAACTTTCTCCAGCCTCCACTGCTTCTCTCATAGCCTCTGCTGACACCATTTTTCCTCACCTATTGTCCCAAATAGATTTATAGCCTTCTTCATCCCCAGTCAGACCACTAATAATCTCTTCCTGCAGGTTGCCCATGATGACAACCCAAGTTGCACCCTAGGCCCCTCAGATTGCCTTATCAGCCATGTTTCCTCCTCTTGGACTAGCATGTGGGAGGTAAGATACCTTCCTGCTAGGCATCTAGAATGCTTGCATACTAAGCAAGTGTACCTCTTAAAGTTTATTTCTATTGACTTCAACTGTCCAGTAGCCCAATATGACATAAGTCATAGTTCTGATATCCTTCACTCAATCTTCCCCTGCCCCTTGTGGGCCAAATTTGACATGTTGGTGAGGTCATTCACTTGTCAATCACCTGATGACTCTCTGTGGGGACTAGATTGCACCGTTGATCCCTGTACAAGGTAGGCTTGAAGTAGGCTTAAAGACCCATCAACGTCAAGCCTGCTTCTTGTGTGATCAAATTATCCATGTTGAACTCAGCTGTGCAGCCAATTCAGCCTTGTGACGTCTAAATATTTAAAAACATACTTTAGTTGTAATAAAAACCACAAATATTCAAAGCAAAAATGTATGATCTGATTCAAAAAAACTATTTATGCTACATTTTGGAACCTGAAGCCATTACAACTTAAACAGCAGAAGTTAAAATCCATATTTCCAGATAACTAAAGAAATTTAGCAGTTAATTTTTTTACAACTGGATCTAGAATTTCTATACTATACTATAATCTTGTAAGAAAATCTGAAATTCAAAACTCAGGCTCAAATTAGAAATGAGCTATTATTAGAGCAGAATCAGAAGTTCCTCTTTATATCTACGATTTTGTGTGTTTGGAGCAAGCTGTCTCTCTGCCACAAAGTCTAACCTACTATTTTAGAAGCAAAAACATGCATTTTGAACAACAAGAGAGCTCTCACTCAAAATCAGATGTAGCAATAATAATATAATAATAATTTATTATTTATACCCCGCCCATCTGGCTGAGTTTCCCCAGCCACTCTAGTATTCATCTTACTATGACTTTGCTAAAAGGATTTAAAATCCTACAGTTAGCTGGACCTTGACTTTTTAATCCCACCTAAAAAGTTATACTTGTAGGCTTGATTATCCCTGCCTTCCTTCAAAGTAAGAAGGAAGAAATGTCACTCCATTGAGTATTATATCTGACACAAGGCAGACTTAATGTCAGACCTACTTAACACAAACATTACCTGCTTGCGTACTTGGAAGATTTCAGTAGTTGACTAATCATTTATATAGGCCAACTCCCACCCCCCAAAACCCCCAGAATAAAACCTGAACTTTAAATAGTCACGGAGACTGTAACAGCTGGGTATTTTGGCCATATATGGTATGGCAAACGCATCCCCATATCCAGCACAGGAGTGTTGCGTCCAGTTTCCAAAAGGATGTGATCTCCAAAGCTACTACCGGTATATTCAACGTCCCTTCAACAAGAATGGAAAAATGTTTGCAACAATCTAGTAAAAGATGCTAAAGAATGAGGTTCTAGGACCAGAATGTAAAATCTTACCGTAAGCTACATAAGGTTGTTTCAATTATTTCACTATTTAAATGTTTTGCACATACTATCACTGAGAGCTGATGCCCAGCAGCTGAGAACTACTCTGCAATATCTGTCAGTTGGGGTCTTTAGCTTACCAATTCAGAAACAGCAATCCGTAATGGGCAAATCTGCAACTGCAAAGCGTGGAAAGAAACTTCCACACACATGTCCTCATCATGAGAACGGAAATATTTGGGGATACCTCTGAATTGTTTTACTTCTGTTGCTCTTCAGGAAATAGAGCCAATTTGAATATAAGGCAACGGCTGTGACAGTGCAGGAGCTTCAGGGCCTCTTGGAAGTCCTTTGAACTCTTGATCAAGCTTTGCAAGTTTAACACGGCCACAAAGGCAGACACTTACCCAAAAGAAGGAGAAACCAAGGCTAGGTCACCAATTACCAGGTCCTATATCCTTGGCCATTACATCTTAGAGAAGGTCAAATAAAAAGAGCAGGGCAGCGGGGAGTGCAAGGAGGAAAGGAAAATTCCTAAGTACACAGAGGCCAGTTCCAATGCACACACAAAACCATAACAAAAGCTTAAGTTCTGAAATTGCATTTTATTTTTATGCCATCTTCAATGATGTAATGATTACAGGTGATGAAATACTATGCACCTACACTCAGGAGAAGCTCTAGCTTTGAATAAACTTAACACACTAGGTAGGAGAACAGCCGAAGCATGTAATCTCTCTCTTCCCCTACGACTTAAATACAGTGGTACCTCGGGTTAAGAACTTAATTCGTTCTGGAGGTCCGTTCTTAACCTGAAACTGTTCTTAACCTGAAGCACCACTTTAGCTAATGGGGCCTCCTGCTGCTGCGCCGCCGGAGCACGATTTCTGTTCTCATCCTGAAGCAAAGTTCTTAACCCGAGGTACTATTTCTGGGTTAGCGGAGTCTGTAACCTGAAGCATCTGTAACCCGAGGCACCACTGTATTCTCTTTCTCCAGCCTCCCCTCGCCCTGGTGCTTCTTGCCATCATGCCATGCCATACCTACGTGAAAGGCAGAAATTCAACAGGTGCAGCCTCCCCCAGCCCGGGCGATGCACTGGTGCGGTAGTGGTTTCCCGCTCCACCAGCTTAATTCTTGCCCATTCTGAGGCTGCAAACCCAGGACGCCCTGAGATATATAACGCAGCCCCCCACTAACCCTACGGAACACAGCGGGACTTTTTCACATCCAACCAGACGTCTATAGCGCCGTTGGGCTGTGTGGACGTGGCTTCTCCCCACCGCACCTGCTGTCTCCATGGCAAAGCGGACACCCGGCCCAGCCCAAACATTTCCCTCCCTTACTTTAGGACCTGAGCCGGCTCCCCATGCTGCTCGTAGACCAGCCCGCGAGGCCGCGCCCGGACAGCCGACGCCGACAGAGTGCGGAGACCGGCGCTCAACAGAGGCCGTAAGGGCCGAGCACGGCTCCCTCGCGCCGCCACAGCCGTTAAACCCATAGCAACCGTTTCCGCGGGTGGCGCGCGGCGATGACGACAGCTCCAGCGTTTCTCGCCGGGCTGTATCAACGCGCGTCATCGCCGCGCCTCCCTTTCACGCCACTCACGCGGAGTGGGAGGGGCTTTCCTTTCTCTGGGCGGAGTGACCCGTGACTTGCAGAGGAAAAGGGTGGGGAAATGGCGGAGTGGGAGTTGCTGCCTCCTTCAGCCTGACCTGCGATTGAATGAGGGTTTGGGGGGTGGAGAAAGAATGCTTGTACCACCTCGAGCTCCTTGGAGAAAGAGGTGGGATATTAAATGCAATAACTGAATAGAAGAAATTCACACCCCCCCCGTTAAAATCATACGCATTTAACGTATGTGGATTCAGCTTTATGTGCTTGCCAAGAGAAAGCAAGAAAAATTGAAAGGTGGTGGGCGACTGGGACAAAAATAATTTGGCTTAATCCTGCCCAGCATTGAACCCAATGTGTTTTGACTATATGCGATTTTGGCTTCAGGTCTGATCCTGGAAACATAACCCATTTGTAAGTTTCAGGCTTACTGTATATTGGGCCTCTTGGGCTTGCCCATCAGAAGGTTGGTGGTTCGAATCCACAGAACGGGGTGAGCTCCTGTTGCTCTGTGTCGGATCCTGCCTACCTAGCAGTTCAAAAGCACACCAGTGCAAGTAGATAAATAGGTACCACAGTGGTGGGAATGTAAACGGCGTTTCCATGCGCTCTGGTTTCCGTCACGGTGTTCCATTGCGCCAGAAGCGGTTTAGTCATGCTGACCACATGAGCCGGAAAGCTGTCTCTGGACAAACACCAGCTCCCTCAGCCTGAAAGCGAGATGAGTGCCGCAACCCCATAGTCACCTTTGACTGGACTTAACCATCCAGGGGTCCTTTATCTTTACCTCCTTACCTTGGTTCTCGAATGGCTTAGTTGACTGAACAAAATCGGCTCCCGAACTCCAAAAACTCAGAAGTAAGTATTCGGGTTTTCGAACGTTTTTCGGAAGCTGAATGTCCAACGCAGCTTCTGCTTGAGTGCAGGAAGCTCCTGCAGCCCATCAGAAGCCACACCTTGGTTTTCGAATGGTTTTGGGAGTCGAACGGACTTCCGGAACGGATTAAGTTCGAGAACCAAGGTACCATTGTAGTCTGGGCTGGCCCACCCATGAGGCATGGTGAGAAGACTGCCTCAGGTGGCAGGATCCATGGGGCTGGGGTGTGTGGATCTGTCTGCCATGGAATGCATCCCCTCCTGCTGCTGTCAATGGCTATGGTGTGCTCCTTTGAGGCCAGATCTGCCACCGCTACAGCTGCATCTTGGCAAATAGGAAGTGCTGCTGGTCTGTTCGCACCCCTTTGGGAGGAAATGGTAGGGGCTGTCCTCTGGGGTCTCCTGGGCTCTACACCTGGCCAGCAGTTTATGGTTTTGATTTCAATTCCCTCTTTAACCTAGAAAAGTCCCTAAAGATTAACTGACAACGTGGCGCGAGACACATAAAAAATGATAACAAGCAGCCTCAAAATGTCATGTTTCCCACTTTATGGTTACAATCCTATGCATGCTTACTTGGGAGCAAGTCCTCTTGATGGGAGTGAGACTTATTTCTGAGTAAACAGTACAGGATCGAGATTGTGGGCATGGGAATTCACTCCCTCTCACACACATTGGAGGATGAATATTGGAAAGGAACAGTTTAGCCTCTTCCCCGTGACAATTCTGTTCTCATTAGCAAGCCTAACAGTTGTTTTCTGGGGAGGGGAGAGTATGGTTTACATGGGGAAGGTGGCATGCAGGGATGGCCCTGCCATCCTACTCACCACAGTCACATCCTTCCCATTTCACAAAACAGATCTTTAGCAGGCTATGCAGCCAGAGGACAGCAGCATGTGAACTTGGAGGAGGCAGCAAAAATCAGCGGCAGGGAGAAGTGAATGAGACAGGTGGCTTGAGATCCTGCCTTGAAGACCCCAAATAGTGATGTGTAACATATGTGATGCCCATACGTACTCTAAAGTATCTGGAGCCTTTCCTAGTTTTATAACCCCTTCATATTTAAGCATCCATAGTGTCCCACTTTCAAGCTATTCATGAGGATGCTGAATTGCAATTGACCCATGAGTGACTGCTGTTGAATCCCATTTTATACTTCTTTCAAGTTTAACATTGATCTATTCTAGGTGGTCACAAATTAGTTTTATGCCTTAATCTCTGATCTCATTCAGGTTTTAAAAACATGCTAAAGTTGCCTATTCTGCCAGCATTCCATCCTCCTGCTCCCCTTGTTCCTTCCCCAGCCCGCAACTAGACCGATATTTTACATCAGGAGTGGCAATATATTTCAGGGCCCTGATCCTACTTATTCATGCTCGAGCCCAAAGCATTCCACGCCTTCACATGACTAAGTGCTGCTGGATCGGCTCCAGTTGTACCAAAGAAGTTGAGTTATTACTGTGGTTACAATCTTTTACTTAGTAATTTCCTGACTTATTTGAAAAAAATGAAACATTAATGCCCTCTTTTCCTTCTAATGCAGGCTCATAAACACGTCATTTTCATAATGCTCCTAAATCTACTGCATGTAAATGCGCTGCCTTCTTTGGGCCAAATGAGAGCCATTAGCGGAACACTTAGCACCCTGCCATCCAAAGGGGGGCAAAAAAGACAAAGGACAAGAAATCACTTCTTCCTTTTTTGCAGGAATCCAGTTTGCTCTTCAGCGTACAATAGAAAAGCGGTGCAGTGGAGGAGGAGGAAGAGTGCAGTATTTATTTGAAATAGGACACTTGGCAATCAGTTTAAAAGGCAGTGACTCAATTCATTTCTGTATATTGTGTGGAATTCCATTCCTTGGAGACTAGTCCACTGGGGTGAGTGGAGCACAGCCCAGTCTGCCCTCAGCCAGCCACCACCTGCCTGCTTTTCTATTTACAACCAGTCTGGGGGATGGCATGGATTGTTGGGCTTCCTCCTCCTTGGTCTCCGGAGAAGTTTGGGTAAGGGCAACTGAAATTATCAAAGGGATGGAGCGATTCTCCTATGAGGAAAGGTTGCAGCATTGGGGGCTTCTTAATTTAGGGAAAAAGCAAGTAAGAAGTCCTTTACTCCCTGCATCTACTGGGGGGGGGGGGAATCCCTGCAAATACCCGTGGGATCCCTCATCATCATCATCATCATTTTTTATTTGTATTCTGGCTTTCCACAGTTAAAACAATGCTCAAGGCGGCTTACAATATGAAAAGATTTACATAATTACAAACATAGCAAAGTAGTCATAAAAATAAACAAAACACATTAAAAACTACATAACCAAACTGAACAATTTCCACATAAAAATAAAGATACAAAAAGTTAATATCGTTAATATCTGTAACGAGCAAAAACTCCCAACAAAACTTCCCTCAAAATACCCCAGTCTTTGCTGGGCAGCAGCAGTTCTTATAAGGCCTGTCAGGCCCTGCCCTGGGCCAGGTAGAGGCAGGAACGGGGCCCTCAGGCACTCAAGCAGGGGAGTCCTCAACCCCTGAGGTGCCCTATTATGTGCAAACAGCCTCTTTTTACACATTGTAGTGAACAAGCACTCAGGATGCTGGCAGAATGTTTGCCTGTTTGAGAGGGAACTTTTGTTAGGCCTTGGAGCACCTTCCCAATTTCTCACCGCTGTCCTTGCTCCCTTGGTATTAAGAGTAGCTCCTCCAGGGGAGGCTGATCTATTAAGAGCGAACGTGGCATTGCCCCACCAACCTCAATACGTATGCTGGGAATTCCACAAGACGCAACTTGAGGCACCCTATGACAGCCTTTTCCATAATCTCTAACCCCTGGCTATGCTGGCAGGAGTTGATGGGAGTTAAAGCCCTATAACACCTGGAGGCTCACAGGTTCTCCGTCCCTGTGTTGGTGGGTCAGACTCAACTTGGGGAGACCCTGGTTTGAATCTGTAAAGCTCATGGTGTGACCTAGAGCCAGTCAGTGCCTCTTAAGCCTAAACTACTTCACAGGGTTCCTGTGATGACCCACATATGGGGAAGAGCTGTAGCTCAGTGGCACCGCATGCAGAAGGTCCTGAGTTCAATCCCTGGCATCTGCAGGTAGTACTGGGAAGGGACTCTTGCCAAAACCTTGGAGGGCTACTGCCAGTCAGTGTAGGCAATACTGAGCTAAAAAAGTAAAGGTACCCCTGACCATTAGGTCCAGTTGCGAATGACTCTGGGGTTGCAGAGCTCATCTCGCTCTGTAGGCCGAGCATTTGTAGGCCGGCATTTGTCCACAGACAGCTTCTGGGTCATGTGGCCAGCATGACTAAGCCGATTCTGGCAAACCAGAGCTGCGCACGGAAACGCCGTTTACCTTCCCGCTGGAGTGGTACCTATTTATCTACTTGCACTTGATGTGCTTTCGAACTGCTAGGTTGGCAGGAGCAGGGACCGAAACAACGGGAGCTCACCCCATTGCGGGGATTCAAACCGCCAACCTTCTGATCGGCAAGCCCTAGGCTCTGTGGTTTAGACCACAGCGCCACCCGCGTCCCAATACTGAGCTAGATGGGCCAATAAGAAGAGCCTGCTAGATTTGGCCAGGGGCCCATCTAATCCAGCATCCTGTTCTCACAGTGTCCAACCAGATGCCTGTGGGAAACCAGCGAGCAGAACATGAGCCCAAGAGCACTCTCCCCTCCTGTGGTTTCCTGAAACTTGTATTTGGAAGCATTGCTGCCTCCAACTGTGGAGGTTGTGCGGAGGCATCATGTCTAGTAGCCATCGTTAGCCCTCTCCTCCATGATTCAGCAATGCAGCTTCCTTTGTTCCTCTGCTCCTTTGAGCTCCTAGGAGGAAAGGCAGAACGGGCTCAGGCTGCGCAGCAAAGCACCCTGTCTCCAGAGTTATCACCAAGCGAGTGATCTAGAGTTTTCTGGCTGCAAGTGACAAATTATACCATGTAAATCCAGAAATGGGTCAGGAGAACAACCTGTTGGTATGTTAAATGCATCCGAGGGTGTGTTTTTTTGTTTTTGTTTTTACAAAAGTGCTTTGAGAGCTCTATATTAGCTTCTCAAAGGTTAATTAACAATTTGAATTGTAAATCCAAATCCCTCTGGTTCTGTTCGGCATTCAACAGCAACACAATTCCTTTCAATGGTACAAGCTTGCAGAGGACTCAGCCAGTTTCTTACCAGGCAGCGGCTCCTCTGCCAAGCATGGCTCAGAGATCTAACGCTCAGCTCCCTCTGCTCGCCAGAGATAAGTTCCCTGCCTCTTTAGTGCTTAAACGTATCTCCTGACCTCTAAGGAAGGTTTCATCCTGGAAGCTCTACAAATAGACAATGTTTTGCAGTTTGTTTTTTCCAGAGTCGTCTTTTAAAAAGTTTTTAAAAAGTAATAATAAAAGAAGTTTGGATGATGGTACTATGCAACACTTAATTTAGGGCATGGCAAGCTAAGGTATTTTAGATTGGAACTCAGGTCTGAGACAAAATTGCATCAATAGTCACTGTCAAGTCTAATCTGCTAAATCTAATCAGGAAAATAAAAACCTGTCCTGCAGCAAGTTGAGACGGGAGAGAAAGTCAGTTCACTTAACATTTTGAAAGAAACATTCAAAATTGGCACTTCCCCAAACAATGTGCGAATCACAAGGTAAATGTCCTTAAAAAACATCATTTCTTTGAATTTTGGAATGTACTTGTACAATCTTTAATTGCAATGCAGTTCTCCAATTAAGATTGTATTCAACAATGTATAGATTTGAGGAAAGTGTGCACAAAAATGCATAAAAGTGCTTACAAGTGAAAATGACATGCACAAATGCATTCTATTAAATTGTTTGCAGTAATGTATATACAGTGGTGCCTCGCAAGACGAAAAGAATCCGTTCTGGGAGTCTCTTCGTCTAGCGGTTTTTTTGTCTTGCGAAGCAAGCCCATTGACGGATTAGCGGATTAGCGCTATTAGCGGCTTTTAGCGGCTTTTAGCAGCTTATCAGCTTATCGGATAAGCAGATAAGCGGCTTAGCGACTTAGAAAAAGAGGGGGAACGGAAAAAAAAAACCCAGGAACTCGCAAGACATTTTCGTCTTGCGAAGCAAGCCCATAGCAGATTCGTTTTGCGAGGCACCTCCAAAACGGAAAACTCTTTCATCTAGCGAGTTTTCCGTCTTGCGAGGCATTCGTCTTGCGGGGCACCACTGTATTAGGCAACAGCATATAAAATGTGTAAATTAGGAAAAATTAGGGAAATTTTTCATATGGACTTAATTGCAAACTGATGCAGAAATATGGTGAACTATAGTTGGAAAAATGAAGAGCTGACAGAAGCGACAACTGACAGACAAGAGTTGTGAACAGTGCAGAGAGAAGAAATGTCGTGCTGCGTTTGCAGCAGCACAGCCTTCAGCTGCCCCAGCTGCAACAAAACATGTCTCTCCCATATCGGTCTCTACAGCCACAGCAAGCACCTTAACTCTCCAGCAAGTTTGACTTCACCACCAAAGGCACACTCCTCCGTTGTCTCCAGAGACAGACGGAAGCCAATCAATTGACTAGCAAGTGAGACCATTGATCCGTAAAGCTCACTATTGTCTACATGGATTGCCTGTGGCCCTCCAGGGTATCAGGCAAGAGGCTTCCCTAGCTTTTGCTGGAGATGCCGGGGACTGAACCAGGGACATTTGCACTCTACTATTGTGCTATGGAGAATTAAAGCCCTGTCAGGGCAACTCTCACAGTTTCCTATCAACTCTCAGCACCCTTAACAAACTACACTTCCCTGGATTCTTTGGGCGAAAGCCATGAGCGTTTAAAGTGGTATGATACTGCTTCAATGAATAGGGCAGTTATGGCCTCCCTCTCATGTTTTCACTGCAAGAAGCAGTTTTTTCCTTATAATAAACTGTTTCTTTTTCCCTTATCCAAGAGCTTATTCTAGATTCCTTAAGTGGGTTCCCTATCGGTAGGAGAAAATAACAGAGGCCAACCAGAGAATATTGAGAAGCAAAGCAGCTAGTAAGCCTGATCGTTATTAAACTGTTGCAACAGGGTCCCGCACTCCCCGCATGCAGGGAGGGAGGAGAGGAACCCAGAACAGTGGTGTGCAAGCTCTTATATAGACTTTTGAAATTGCCTCCCCTGTAGTTCAAGACCACCCCCCAAAACCTGATACATACATCACAGGGTGCGGTCTGCAGCAGAAAACCTGTCTCTCAGGATACCTGATAATGGTCAATCATTGCTCAGTGATTGGGCACTCTGGCCATTCTTTTGTGATGGCAAATACTTTAGTCCCCGAATCTCTTACATATATTGATAGTTTGCTCAGCGTAACAGATACTTTAGTGATGTATGGAAGTGAGAGCTGGACCATAAAGAAGGCTAATCGCCGAAGAATTGATGCTTTTGAATTATGGTGCTGGAGGAGACTCTTGAGAGTCCCATGGACTGCAAGAAGATCAAACCTATCCACTCTTAAGGAAATCAGCCCTGAGTGCTCACTGGAAGGACAGATCCTGAAGCTGAGGCTCCAACACTTGGGCCACCTTATGAGAAGAGAAGACTCCCTGGAAAAGACCCAGACGCTGGGAAAGATGGAGGGCACAAGGAGAAGGGGACGACAGAGGATGAGATGGTTGGATGATGTTCTTGAAGCTACCAGCATGAGTTTGACCAAACTGTGGGAGGCAATGGAAGACAGGAGTGCCTGGCATGCTCTGGTCTATGGGGTCACGAAGAGTCGGACACGACTAAATGACTAAACAACAACAACAACAGATACTTACCAGAGTGTATTTGCAAAGGGAGCTGTAAGCCCTACAGTCCAAAGTCATCTGGAAAGCTTTTCCCATTTCCTTCCTCCTTGCAGATAAATATTTGAGGTCAATTTGGGAGAGTCAAATGGCTTCTCCTGTACTGTTGCAGACACTATACTTATGCATGTGTGTTTGCCTTGTACATTTATGAACATTTATTCTCTCTATATAACACCTTAGAATTCCTATAACATCACCATCCTCAGCGTGCCCAATCGGAATATCTATTCTGTGGCTCTTTGAAGCTGCCTGGTTCATATTGACCCTGACCCCTCCACACCTGCCAGCTGTTCCAGGGCTTCTGTGGCTGTGGTCCCTAAACACCAATCGGTGTCAGTAAGATTCCAGGGTTTGACAAAGAGAGGGAGAAGTGCCCCCTCAACTAGTGTTAGAAACTCAGATATGAAAGCTAGGAGATAAATGGCACCTTAAACCTAGGTTATGGTCACAACAATGGAATGTCTAGGTGCACTTTTTTATAACAGGAATACAAAGCTCAAAATGAATCTTATGTTCATTTTTCACATGGTCTAGTCCTTCCCCTGCCCACCCTGCTAATATTCTTAAGAGGGTCTCTTCTCCAGTCTTCAGAGAGCAGTTGGAAGTGGGGAGGCAGAAAAAGATCCTCCTTTCCTTCCACTCTGCAGTTTTAATCTGAAATCTTAGACACAGTGCTTTTGCCCAGAGCTCAGAAACCGCTGGAGTTAATGAAATTCCCTGTCACAAAATGTGCCTAGAAAAATGGGAGTTTCAAACTTTGCCCCCCCAAACCCCTTCAGTTGGCTAATGGTTCATTGTTTAGTGATAGGGGCATCTGACCTGAGTTGAATTACTGGTCTCATTTTCTCATTCTTCCAATCTTAAGTTCAGCGCTCCACATTTCCACACCAATTTGCAAATTTTTATGATAATTACTCAGCATATTAGTACACATTTATTCTAAAACACACATTATTGTATGCTGTTTTGCCTAATTTGCGCACTCGAATCTTAGTCCATGAATTGTTTTCAAAAATGTGAATGAGGTACGTTTGCCTTTAAAACTGTGAACTAGATCAAATTTCTCCCCAGTCCATAAATATGGTGGAATACTGAAATAATGAAGCTGAATTTGTGTATGAAAATTGAAGGATGATGCAACTTTCAGTCACAGATAACCACTAAGGGCTGGATATATTTAGAAGCAGGTTAGCTGCACTTTTTAAAACAATTTGGAGATGGCGTCTGTAAGTATTACAAAGGATTGTAATGTGGCAGGTTCCTCCTGCTGCCGCTCAGTTGCTAACTCATATCTGCAGCCAGCCGCTGCAAGGACTTGTTTTTACCATCCCTCTGCACTCACAATGGAGCAACTGCTTTTCCTAAGGCATTCTGCTTCCATTTAAGCATCTGGAGGCACGCTAGGCATTTTGTGACGAATATGCAGCACCTGAAAGCTCCCGTCGCGACATTTACGGCCAAATTGCCATGCTGAGCATTTCTGAAATGTGGCCTCTACACCCAGGTTCTTAAATTACAGTGGCGAGGCTTTTTTTTTTTTGCATGGGGGAGGGCGAGGAGGAGGGAAAAAGAAGAAGAAGAAATCAGTTTTGTCCTTCTGGGCACAATTCACTTCTTTGAAAGATGCAGATAATACACCCCTGCCTTCAAGCAGTGCTGCAGGGCTTAATGATTTGGTAAAGTCATTCAGGTTTGCCTGATAATGATTGGAGCGCATATGCAAGGTAGCTGGAAGAAGGCCTGCGCTGAGCCTTTCAAGCCCACCCTTGGAGGAACCTAACCACATGCTATGCCAAGGAGCTGGTCGTCTGGAAAAAAAAGTAAAATGACTCCCCCTTTTTGGAAAAAATAAATAAATCACATTTCTATGCATTTCTTCCCCCTACATGCTGGGGCTGCACACAAATTCCAGGTCCTAGGGCAAAGATTTTGTATTCTGACTTGAACAAAAGACACCCTTCTTTTCTTTAATACACATTTGGAGGCAGTTTGTCTTTGAGAGCCCTTTTACAACATCCCGGATTCTGTTAAACTCTTGTGGTCACTCAGTGCCCATTAATCATAGAATTGTAGAGTTGGAAGGGACCCTGAGGATCATCTAATCCAACCCCCTGCAATGCAGGAATATGTAGCTGTCCCTTATGGGGATCGAACCTGCAACCTTGGCATTATCAGCACTATGCTCTAGCCAACTGAGCTATCACATCAGCAAGGGGCACCAGAGCTTGACAATGCCTCTTGCTTGTCTAGATGAAGGATAGAGAAATGTGTGTCCGTGTGTGCATAAGTTATCCTTCAGTACAAAGGTAAAAATAACATCATTGCTCCACCCACTTTTGCCTCTGGCACCTCCCAACATAGACAAATGGCCCTTGGAAGGTTGCCCAGAAGATGTGGTCCTGGGGCTGGAAAAGGTTTTTCCACCTCTGTCTTAGGAGGTTTCTTCTTTAGTTTAGAGTGTAAGTGGCACCCTCTGTCTACGTGTTCAAATATTTTGCTTATTTACTAAGGGCTGCTGCCCCTGCTCACTCCAATTGTCAACCCCAGCTACCAACCCCCACAGACCCTGATCCGACTTGGCGGCCTGCAGCCTTTCCCTTGCCTCCTGTTGACTCAATGCTACTCCCAGTCTTGACCCACCATCTCCCTTCTCTTGACCCAACATTAAGGTTGCCATATTTCAGAAAGTGGAAATCTGGACACATTTTTTTTTGAGCTTTTTTTTTTGCCCCCTCCCCCAGGTTCTTGAGCATTTTTTTTAAAAAGCCGGTTTGCCATACGTTCTGGTTTTCCTGGACATTTGAACCAGGTGAAGAAAATTCTGCCCAGACATGACCTTTGGCAGCCAAATCCCAGCATTGTCCAGGAAATTCTGGATGTATGGCAGCCCTACCCAACATCGCTCTCATGCCTAATCCATCTTCTCTCCTCCCTTGACTTGGTGTCCCTTGACTTCAATTTCCACTGCTCCTTCCTCTGACAACTCAGCTTGCCTGGCTGATGGAAGGAAGGAAGTTTTTAATATGTAACGCTGTACTGTTTTTAACACTTGATTGGGAGCCGCCCAGAGTGGGTATTATTATTATTATGTGTTCAAGGTGACAGCGACAGTGGGGAAGAAGGCATGGAGGGCTCTCCTCCCTCCCTATTGGCTTCTGCTAGCAGCTCCTCCTTCTGTTCAGGGCTCACTCTCCAGCCTCCACTAGCTTCCTCCTTCTTCGGGTCTTCCAGATCATTGCAAGACACCCCATCCTGTGACCTGGGTGCTGAGTGCTCCTCCCTGTTGCTCTTGCTTGCCTCCGTGTCTGTTTCTCCCTGATCGCTCAGGGGAGCCACCCCATGGTTCCCCCCATCTCCTGCTAGGACCCTCCTTTAGTGTTGTCCTCTTTGGATTAGGTATGGGGTACAGGGCGCCTTGGACAGAGTGTGGATTCATATCTCATGAACGCATAACCCCAGGAGATGTGGATCAAATTCCACCTCAAAATACGAACTTGCTGAATTTCCTTCCCCGTTCCTACAACAGGTCATAGCTGGTGCCCAGAGATACTGGTGGGATGGAATGAAGGTAGCCCAAAGAGTAAGAGGAGCCTTAGTCAATGGTAGGAAGAGCCAACTGATTCTAGTTTTGTCTCCATCCTCTTCCTTGCAAGGACAACACTGAAACTAAGGAGAAGGAAGCTGGCAGGTAGTACTACTGCCTGGGCTGGTTGGAAGTAATGAGGCATGCAGGTGGGAGCTGGGGGAGGGCAGATTGAGATTGGTGGGGCAATGCCTCCACTGCCTAGAATTGTATTGGGAGAGAGGTCAAGGAGAGAGTTGTTTGATTCAGGTGGTTTCATGGGGCCCAAATGAGCACTGTAATGTGGATCTGCTGCATACAAATAAGCCTACTTGTGTACATAGAACTTCCTTACCGGATCACGGCACAGGCTTCTGACTGTATGTCCTTGTCTAGGTTCACTGCATTAAACTGGAGGTAATAATTAAAATATTCACTCAACAAGGCATTGAGTGATGCAATTAATATTCATATAGTGCTTTGATCTAGACAATCTTCCTGCCCACTTTTCAATGCACTCGCAGAGCAAGGCGTGGGGATAATAATAAATATTGAGCGGAATAAATCTGTATTCAGATCATATTACATGAAGACTTTTAAAACAAAAAAATCAATGGCCGCCCAGTGTCTTGTGCCAGTTCTGATTAATCTTCCGCTTCTGGTTTTGTCCCTGTTACACGAATGCTTGTGGTTGGCGAGAACCCATTTGAAAACTGCCAAAGAATTGTGGGGCTGGGAATTGTAGCTCTGTGAAGGGTAAACTACAGTCCTCTGGATTCTTGGGGAAGTTATATGCTTTATATGTCTTTTCAGTGCACGACGTGCATGCAGTCTAAGTCTTGGAAACATCTTACTAGTGGTGCAATGGCATTATTTTAGACTCTGGACTTAATGGTCTTACAGCTCCCACACTCCTTGGAATGATAGAAAGGATCCTGTGGCCCTTCAGCTTTGGTAACTCTTACCAGCCCCAGTCAGCACGGCCAATGATCAGGAATGAGGGGAGTTGTAGCCCAGCAAGCATCAGGAGGGCCAAAGGTTAAGACACTTGTCTTAATCTATGTTCTAAATTTGGTACATCTGTAGGGTTTTCCTTTGCTTTTCTGTATGCTGCCTTGAGAGCTGTAATGAAAAGCGGGGTACAGTGGCATAGAGGGGGGGCACAGGAGCAGTTGCCCTGGGCACAAATTATTAGGGGTGCAACATTTCAATACCTTTTGCTGCCTCAACATAACTGCATGCTTCCGTCATTGGGTTCTGTTGAAAATGTCTTCTCCCTGCAAACCAGGAAGTAACCTCTCCATACAACAAATTGACTCTTCTTTTCTTATCTCTGTGGCCGTGATCTCCTGAGTTACGCAAACACTGTTAGGCAGTTGAATGTGCATGTGTACTCTGTCCGTTTCCCCTCCCTCCCACCCTTCTGTGTGGACCTGGGCACTGGCAACCCACGCTATACCACTAGCGGGGTATACATTTCACTTGCTTCAAAAAGTGGTGAGCTAGCCCTGCTGCCTTTGGCACTGCTCCTGGGCCTTCTGCTGAGTGCAGCTCTTGACCTCTGCCTTGGTGGCACGATTTCATCCTATGGGTCTCTGCAAGAAATGCCATGGTTGTATCCCATGCTAATCCTGTTCAGACTAAACCCATTAGGATTAAGGTATGTCTATTAATTCCAGTGGTTCTACTTTGAGTGACACGTAGGAGGAACTGAGATGCTTGATGAATTGCACCCCCCACCCCAGTTTCTCTTCTTTCCAGCCTCCTCCCTCCCATTTTACGACTTGTGGCATGCATTTATCAGGATCACTGCGTGTGAAAAGCAGGACACCACTCATCATGTGCCCCTTCCATCTGCCATCTGCTTCTCTTCCCCACCGAAACGGTTAAAGACCTAATTACCCTGGCAAAATGAGAATCTCTTGCATATTGGTCCAAATGTATGTGTTTGAAAATGAGTACTGACAGACAATTTATGATTTTTTTTGGTTAATGTTTCTCTCTCTCGCTCTCTCTTTTTTTAACAAGCACAATTTTCCGTGATTAAGAGCATTTTCATCTCTTGAAGCTACAATTATTATTATTTTTTAAAAAGGACACACAAATCTTGTTTACGTTCTTATGGGAGGCTTTCTTTCTTTCTTTCTTTCTTTCTTTCTTTCTTTCATTGAGAAAGGCGGAGGTGCACTACTCTCCAAGCACAAACAGCATTTCATGGCTTCATTAGTCTCTCCCCCCCCCACTCCTCCCCCAGCAGAACCGCCTGGCCGGGAGGATAAATGAGCCTGTTTGCTCCTTTCTGCTTTGCCTGGCTAATAACCATTATTGTTAATTATGAAGCCATGATTTATCATGCTCATTGACTGATTCAAGTAATTCCTGCCTGTTCATGTCCTGAAAGCAAAATGTTGCCAATATGACATTGGGGATGGATATATATATAGAGAGAGAGAGAGAGCGCGCGCACACGCCATTTTAAGGACTCATTCATCTATGGTGTGGGCAGCGAAGCTTCAGGCTGGTCTCTGTGCAGGTTTGCAGACTACCTTTAGAATTTCACTCTCCCCAGGTGAACATTCTGCTCCTCCCCCCCATCCACACTTCCATATCCCCTACTGCTTTCCCCCAGGAAAGCCCATGGTTCAGCGCTAAATCTGAACAAATGGCAACCAGGTTTTCTGCAGACTGCCATTTGTTCCAATTCAGCAATAAAGAGTGGGTTTTCTAAGGGAGGCAAAACTGCTCAGACCCATGCTTTCTAGGCACGGGACAAGTGGAAATGGGGACGAGTCCTCTCCCTTTCTCTCTCATAGCAGTTTCAGAGTCTGTAAGGCTTCAGCTCTCCCAGACCTGGACCCAAAATATAAGATCTGTCCTGGATCATTCCAAAGGCCTGTTTAGTCCAGCATCTTGTTCTCACAGTGGCCAACCAGATGCCTGTGGGAAACCCCTAACAGGACCTGAGTGCAACAGCGCTCTTCCTACTTGTGCTACCCAGGGACTGGTGTTCAGAGGCATACCGACTCCATCAGAGAAGGCAGAACACAGCCATGATGGCTAGTAGCCTTATCTTCCAAACCCCCAGTGATTCTGAGGAGCCTTTGGATCTGGGCATCTCTGTTGCAGAAGTGGAGGTTACCACACTGCCTGCCTGGGTTCCTGGTTGTTGCTGTTATTTATTAAACTTATTACCTGTCCTTCATGAGCAGGTCCCAGGGCAGGTTCTAACAATTTGAAATTCAGTATTAAAACCAGTGAAAACCAGTGGCAGTTGCCAGAATAGGTTGGGTTCTGAAAATACATGTCTCAGTCATCAAAAAATGAGGGTAAAGAGGTAAGTATTCTGCATTCACTGAAAATTGCATAGTGAAGGTCCCAGGTGCACATCTTTGGGGAGGGAATTCCACAACTCCACACCCAAGCAAGTCTGTAGGGAAGGAAGCTGTCTCTCAGATATTTGGGACCCAAGCCACTTAGGGCTTTACGCAATAGTGTGAGCACCTTAAATTGGGCCTGGAAGTGAACTGGATGCCAGTGAAACTGTTTTAGAATAGCTCTCTGGTTGGATCTCTGATCTGGTGCATCTCTGCCAGGGTCACAGGAGCAGAGGAGATGGATCCACAAGGATCTTCTTATGCTAAC